AAGGCTTGTGGCTTGACGTTTTGCGCACTAATAGCCCGTTTGACCTGTAGTACAATTGTTCGATGTGTCGAGGTGACAGGTGGTTGATGTTAAAGGTGAGGATTGTGAGAGAAGAGGTAAGAAATGTGTGGTACAAAATTGGTATAGTGGATATCTGATGTCAATTCTCGTCAAGCTCAATGCTCTGCGCAAGGAGAGCCCACGGAGGAGGGGGAGGAAGGTAGTATTGTACAGAAGTACTTATGATAAGAAGACTCACTCTTGTGTCATATCCCATTCCTTCATTCTCTCCCTCACCCAACCCCTCCACATCTCAGATTCCTCCCTCCCATCCTTCTCCCCTTTCACCTCAACATTCACAGTCTTGGGATAATCACACAAATTGACATGGATGGATAATTCGCTCGTGGTGCTGCGAACGAAGAAGCCCCCCAATCCTCTTGTGAGAGTCTCAGTGGGTAACAAACTTGATTGAATGAGTTCTATCTCTTCTCGAAGAACGTCTTCCATCGTCTCCGTGGGTCTATACTTGAATGCTTCATGTCCTTACCACTCCGTTCGCATACATAATCTGCGTATCTGCTCAATCTTAATCCACTTGGACGTTGGAAGGGGTACATCTCGATCATATTAGGCATGCGAACCTTTCCTATTTAGCGCGCCTATCTTGAGCCGTTCAGATGAACAGCCAGGATTTCGGTTCCCTTCTCCTCCTCGATTCATCTCTCCACCATGTCAGCCATCGCAGTAAGTCATTTCTATTATAAGAAGAACTACAACTGATCCACAAAGCCAGTCAACCCGAAACCTTTCTTACAAGAACTCACTGGAAAAATAGTGGATGTCAAGTTAAAATGGGGATTAGAATACCGAGGTTATTTAGTTTCGACAGATGGTTATATGAACCTTCAAGTGGGTTTCAAATTTATCTATTTCTTCCCATCCTCTTCGCTTCTTCCTTGTAAACTTTTAACTTCCATCCATTCCTCCTTTTCCCATTACATGAGGAACTACAGGCTGGCCGTATCGACATCGCAGATGAATGTGAAAACATGATCGTATCAGTGGAGAACTTATGTCGAAAGTAGCTCTCAGGATCGGGGTTACTCTTAGCAGTGGAAATCATCAGAAACATCTTGAAACATGATGTGAAACGAGAGCAATTAAAAAGGAAACGTGTGTCTGGGAGGTTCAAAAGAGGGAAGAAGGAAGAATGAAGTTGTGGAATAAGGAATTGGACTGATAGACAGTTAGCAAATACGGAAGAAATGGAAAATGGGAAATCTAATGGAACTTTGGGAGAAGTGTTCATAAGATGTAATAACGTTCTTTACCTTGGGTATGTCATTTCTCACTACTTCATCTTAGAATACAGAACCAATCTGACGGATTAGTGAAGCTAAAGATACACCTAAGATGGATCAAGATTGAGGTTGTTGGGTGTTGATTGTTGGATGTTGGTATTTCGATTGAATGGTGATTCGTAGGATTGTGATATGCAACTGGATTCATTTGATTATTTTCACTTATCCCTTTGACATTTCTTGGCTCATTTGATCGATCGTCTGTTCAACCAGCGGTTGACGGAGGACCACGGGACAGTTCGATGGGATTCGGTGTGTTCGAGCAGATTGATGATCGCAGAGAAACAGAAAATTATGAGTTTAAAGATGATGTAAAGACAAAATGCTAATATGCAAAATATAATCTACAATTCGTACCATTCTTATTTCCTTTGCAATGGTCATTAGACTGGTCGAGAAACTGGACGAAGTGATCAATCTTGTTTCACATGAACCTTCTCGAGCAAATCGGCAAGACTGTATGTCAGTGTTTTATCTCTTAGAGGGACCTTATCACTCTTGGTTACCCTTAAGGTTGGGACAAGGTGATAAAGTGACGGGAGGAGAGAAGGAAGGGAGAGAGAGGTAGACAGACACAGAAAGAAAGGTAAAGAGAGGTAAAACAGGAGGTAGAAAGAAGAGAAGGAAACGAAGGCTAGACAGAGAAAAACTCACACATCCGTGTCTTTGTCGTCCGCAGGGGGTAAAGAGGCCGTACCGTCTACACCAGGAGCCACACCGTCATCTGGTTCTTCATCATCATCTTCATCCTTTCCATCTTCATCTTCATCTTCATCCTCTTCTTCTGAGGGTGGTTCTTCCATATCGTCAACTGTGTATCAGCTCGATCAATTTACTTGAGCTTTCCATTTTGCTTGTCCCCTCCCTGATACCCACTGCGAACTTAGGTTTGAGGAGAAAGTATCTTGATTCAAGCAGGATTATATTCACAAGCCCGTCAACACGGTCATGTACGAATTTTCACGAGTGAACCTTGCAAGATTTGCAAGTGCGAACACGTGGAAGGAGAAAGAAAAAGTATTAAGAGTCAGAAATTAACTCACGTTCATCCAAAGCATCTTCAAATCCATTCAAAGCTAAAGCTTTTCTCAACCCTTCAACACAATCATCATCCGCTTCAAACCAATTCCCATTCAATTCCAATTCTTTCAACTTTTTCAAATGTTGAGCGATAGCTTCGGTCAAAATCTCTACAAACCTTTTATCCAATTCACCATATTGTAATTTCAATATTTCTAATTTATCATTATTACCTTTAGCCAATAAACTAGCTAAAGCTATTCCACCTGAAGGTCCTAACAAACAATCAGAAAGATTAAGTTCTTTCAATTCTTTCCATTTGGGTAAAACTTTTATCAAACTTCTCATTCCTATTTTCGTTATTGTATTATCTTGAAGATCTAATATTTCCAATTTTGTATTATTCTCTAAACCTTCTGATAAAGATTTAATACCTTCCATTCTTATTCCATTTTGAGGCATTCTGATTTCTTTCAAATTCCCATGAGCTGAAAATGCTTTTGCCCAAGATGAAGCAGAACCATTTTCTAATCGATTCCTACCACAAATGATTACTTTTAAATTACTTGGTTTACCTTCGGATTTACATTTCTCTGCATTTTTTAATAAAGCTGAAGAAATGATGATACCGCCTTGAGGACCTAGACCGTTGTTGTTAAGTTTGAATATTTGGAAATGAGTGTTGGAACTTAGGAATGGGACCATTGAATCTGCACAACGACCACCGAATGCGTTATCGGATAAATTGATTTCGACCAAGGAAGTATGGGATATGAGAGAAGAACATAGAGCAGAGAGAGATTGAGGGATTTCAGTGATTAGTCTTCCTGTGAAGATATCGGCTAAATTGACGATCTAAAGATGTCAGCCTACTCCTATGTCGATTTAATCTCAAATACGACATGCTATCCTTCATACACTCCCCAAGTGCTTCATGAGGGTAGATGCAAATCAAATGACCTTCAACACCATGCCTGCTTAGCACGAGAGAATCATCATACCTAACTTATTCCCACTGCATGAAGCAGGTAGGAGTCTGTAGCACATTCAGCAATGGCATCAGCCCCATCTACGGTACGAAGAAAGCGAGACCATGACAACTTAAATGGGTTGAGGTGGCAACTTTGGTCACTAAAGAACAAGTCATAACCCACCTTGAGACCTTTCTTCTGTTTGAAAACCTCCGCCAAAGCTTCACAAGCCCCAACACCTAAAGAATTCCCACCGAGATGTACCTCTTCAACATCCTTCATCTCCACAAGTTGAGAAAAGTACGGTTCCAATTGATCTGCGGTGTCTGCTTTTAGGTTTTTACCTAATATTGACCATACTTTGTGATTATCACTGGAAGAAACGGAAGTGGAAGTGGACATGATGCAGATAAGCAACTAGGAATTCTGTAGGTGCGGAGAGAAGTAAGGGAAGATGAGAAGTAAGGAGAAAGTTGGAGAAAGTTGGAGAAGGAATGTGAGGGAAACGCTCGGACACGAAATTCGATCGAACCTCGAGGTCAGTGGCGGTGGCGATTGTGTGCCACACGACATAGCAGCATGCAGCAACTAACTTAGCAACATGCAACACTGCAACAACCCGGTTGGCACGGGTCACGTACTCTCATGGTCTGTTCTGAGCAGGTGGGGTACACAAGCAGGGTGCAGAGAATACAAGACGAAGATATTCGAATGCGCCGATAGGATATGAGAATACATGTGCTACGACGACAAGGATGACCTAGAAACGTCCAAGTATCCTAAGACTAGTTTTCAAGAGCGATTTCAAGAATCATGATTAGCATGTTGATCCTGATCCATAAGTCTCCTATGACTCCAGTCAACATCACTCACCCAAGGTATATCATTAGATGAATATTGTCTCGCTGGTCGTTTATACGGTGCAACAATATCCGCCATCGCTCTAGCTTTATCCCGCGCTGATTCATCAGCTCATTTCACCTCATGACGCAGAGCGTAAGCTGACGGAGAGGGAATAAAATCCCAAGTTCGTAATTTCGTATTGTCAATCTCTTCTCTTTAAAGTTCATTGTTCCCTTTTCAGTCAACATTATCCCTTTATATGATGAAGATTGAGTCGGTCTTGCGACTCACCCAAGCTGCAGCGGAGAAATTGTGACTTCCGACATATATCCAACCACCATAGGGTGATTCTTCCATCTCGGAAGCTTTGCGTTTTCCTGACTTGCAATCGACAGAGGTGAATCCTAACGATCGTGGTATAGGCTCAAATGTCCCTATCAACATCTGAAGTGTCAGCGTCACGCTCCATCTAATTTCATGGCCAGTTGACGAGAGGCTAAAGCAGGACCAAAGTTGATCATATACTGTACGATGTTCCAAAAGAAGTGTGTGTGAGCATAAAGAATGTGACAACTTAATGAGATTGGCGAAGGCGGGGGACTGACTCACCTTCGTATGCATCAACACACCACCACGTTTTGACTCCGAATGATGAAACAGATGTTTAGTATTGGCCGTAAAAGCCTTCCCGCAAAACATTGTCCCTCCGCCCTGACCATCAGCTTTCTCTATGAATGATCATTCTGAAGCTGACATCTTTACCGAGTTCGCTCGCTTCCACAGTTGCCAAAGAGGGAAAAATGATCTTCAGAGGTGGCCAATCTTTGTATTTTGGATGATCGACCAGCGCCCGAACGTCTTTACCGGTACAAAGTTGGTAGAAAGTATTGTACCATTCGATATTATATTGTCCTAAAGAAGATCCCTTTCGGTCAGCTGATGAGTCATCGTGGGAATAGCTGACCTACTTGGAACTCCGCTACCAATCTCTCTCCTTTTGACTGAACCAGCCCTTCATCTTTCAAGACCTTTCCCAATCTGGTCATACCGTATTTATCCGCTTGATCATACCCATGATGATACCCTGCCACACTCATGATCAACCTCACACTTACCCGAGACCAGTCGTACTTGTCAAGTCCCTCGAATGCGCCGCTTACCTGGGGAGGTAAATCAGAACCGGCTTTATGTTGATCTTTAAGGTATCTAAGAGCTTTGTGAACTTTGAGATGGATGAAGAGAGATCGGAAATGCGCCACAAAATCTTCGCCTTTTGTTGTGGGTGCCGGAGATGTCGGTTTGCGAGGAAGAAAGTCCTGAACGAATGTAGTCTATCAACGTCAGTGTCAAAACGAATTGTCGACTATAAACTCACATTTTCGATCCAGTCCCAATCATATGGGACAAAATTAGCGGTGGAAATCATAACTCTTAGTCGTCCAGTTTTATAGAAGATCCAAGCGTATTTCATGTGGGCAGCACTAATGGTCAACTGAACAACTATCAGCTCGGGAAAAGAACTTACCCCCTCTCATCCAGCATGAGCGGATAACAGAACACCTCACCGGTCACTTGTGCTTGAACTTTCCCATTGTACGTGGAATGCATCTCTTTAGGATGGGGTCGGACGATGACCGTAGGTACTTTCTGCGGATCGGGCAAAATACCAGAAAGCCAATCATCATCTAATACGAAAGTCGACAGTATGATGAGCTTAATCTCCGATGTCTACCGGTCAGATTCCGGAAGACATAAATGATTGACTCACTTTACCAATTACTTGAGGGAGCGAGAAGGTGGGTTCTGTTGTGGGCCTACCGATCGTCAGTGCGGAGTGACGAAGCTCGCCGTTGAGGTAGTATTCTCCTGCAGCATCGCGAGGTAGAGGACCAGACTGATGATAAGGGTGAACCGATCTGGGGGCTTCGCTGCTTGAAGAGGTAACCACGACAGGCTTGGCCGTCACATTTGAAGGTCCAGCACCATTTCCTCGTAAGGATTGGAGCTTGCTTCTACCGTCGGTCGCACTATCGGCTCCTGTAGAAGTAGGGGCGGCAGGGGTCGACAGCAGCGAGGCTTCCAGAGGTTTCCCAACGGCTGATGATGTATCTGCTGATGCAGCAGCACGAGCGGCTTGTCGAGCAAGACGTTCTTTTTCGAGTTGAGCACGATCGATGGTAGCCCCACCTATCCGGATCACAGAACCAGTGGTGTCTGGCACGCTTTTGGACTGTATCGAGGGTTCGCTTACCCGCTCTTTTCTAGGAAAGGCATCGGAGGGATTGACGTCGTTTGCAGCTGGCTCATAAGGGCCCTTTGCTGCTTTGGACGCGGCGAGAGAGGCATCCATAGCTCTGCATGTTAGAAAGAATACTGGACCAACTGGAAAAAGCTGACTCTTGTAACATCCGCCTCTCTTCCTCTGGAGTGTCCTCCCGTCTTTGTCGTTTGGGCGCTCGGACTTCCTGCTTCGACAACTCCAACACTCTCTGCAACTCATCGTCCTCATTTGGCTCAGAGTGCTGAGAGTTACCTGAGTTTCCACGGGTCATGACATCAGCTGGGTCGATAGACAAGGCGAGCGCTCTAAACATGAGCAATCTGTCACCCGCTGAATAGGGAAGACACACGCTTGTAGCTCGTCATCTTCGTCGTCATGTCGACGGGCATGAGATGAGCTTGACCCAGAAGGTGGTGCAGTTCTCCACGTAGCCCATATTGCTCTGGCTCTCAGCTCAGTCAAGTCAGGAGGGGTCAAATCTGCGAGCTCACCGTTTCATCTCTGCATAGTCCGTGGTCTCCGGATCCATATCTTGAAAGACTGAATCGCAATGAGCGTCAAACTCGGGATCCATGCCCCTGACTGGGGGCGGTGGTCTCCCGACGGCTCTGAAAAGGTTAGCTCATGTGACACTACATATTGTACGGAGAAGAATCCTTCATGACTCACCCTCTGTACATGGCTGCCCGGCTGCTTGGCTGCTTAGGACGACAACCCCTGAAACGATGGTTGTGCTCCAAAAAGTGTCACCCAAGAAGAGCTCTTGGACTTGAAAGTGGAGGTCGCCGTGTAATAGTAGTTACGTAAGCAAACCCCTTCCACCGAAAAAGCGCGTCAGGGGTTTGAATGAGCATCGCCCCCAGTGCAGAAGAATAGACGTCACCGCAAAGTCTGTCCATTCCACCTCACCATCCATCCAATCATCCATACATTCCTTCTAATCAGGCTCACCCTCAGCGGTACATAGTTAGTCCCCCTCACCCCAGCTCTGACCCCTGTCGTTGTACGGTACGACAAGCCATTCATCCACAGCCCAAGCTCTGTCTCTGTCTCTCAAACCGGTTTCAAAACGCGTTCCTGAAGTACCCCGGTCACGGACATTCCTCTTCCTTCTCTCTTTTTCTCATCCACTATCTTCTATCCCACTCTTTCTCTTCTCTCTTTTCTTCCATCCTCGCGTCATACATCGTGAGCACTTCATTCTGTCTACCTTCGTTTCACCATCTCACATGTCAACCAACATCATACCCCTCCCCGTCCTTCCGCTCAGACACGGCATTAGCATGTAATCATGCCGCTATGCTAATCTGACACTTGTCTCTCTTGCACCGCATTTCTATCACGATCGTTTCTCCAGTTCTCCACTCTTCCCCCAACACCCGAGACAAACGCTGACACGTAATCCTTCGTCTGTCGTCCCACCTCGCACTCAACTTACTTTCAATCTCCAAAGGAACCCTTCGGCCCGTCACCCCGTTCACTCCTTTCTTCTCTCACAACTATAACAAAAACACCAGTCCCTTTGCTCTCACTTCTCAACATCTCGATACCTCGTGTTTGCAGACTGACGTAGAGGCCAGCGGCCATTTTCATTCTTTGACACCATGTGTGGTGAGCTTCTATTCTCTCGTCCTTCATGTTTCGTCGCAAAGCTTGGGCCACTGTTGACCTCGGTGCAGGAATCTTTGCATACTGCTCCTATCTCGTCGAGAAAGATCGCAAGTATGTCTGTGAAGTGTTATGCAATGGTCTTTCTCGATTAGAATACCGTGGTTATGACAGTGCTGGTGAGTATGAAATTTTTCTCTCCGCCATATAGTTGTTCACATTTCATCCCTCTAGCCCTTCATCCGGTCTGTGTACGAGCTGACATCTGCAGGTATTGGTATCGACGGCGATACTCCTACATCCCCAATCATCCTCTTCAAAGAAGTTGGCAAGGTCGCCGCATTGCGCAAGCATATCGCGGAAGGCATCCCCACCCCTGCTCCCTCCCCTGACAATGTCGCTGTCAACGGAAGTGCAAAGCACGTCGACATGAGCAAGGTCTTCCTCTCGCAAACCTCCATGGCACACACTCGATGGGCGACTCATGGTGTTCCAAACCCTCTCAACTGTCACCCCCACGTCAGCGACCCCATGACCGAGTTTAGTCTAGTGCACAGTACGTCAAGTTCTGTCACATGATGATCTGGCTGACGGACAACAGATGGTATCATCACAAACTGTGAACGCTATCATGTTAGAAGCAAGGATACAAGCTAATTAAACAGACAAGGAACTCAAGCAAGTTTTACAAAAGCGCGGATATGTCTTCTACACCGATACCGATACGGAAGCAGTTGTCGTTCTGTGCAAATACGTATGGGACAGCCAACCTCATCGCCGTCTCAGCTTCACCGAGCTCATCAAAGCTGTCCTGAAGGAGCTCGTAAGTACACTTCTTCATCCGTGGTAACGTAACTGACGCGAGTCAGGAAGGCTCATTCGCGTTCGTTTTCAAATCTACCCACTTCCCTGATGAAATCTTGGCCTGCCGACGAGGATCCCCTCTCCTTATCGGTGTCAAGACCGACCGCAAGCTGAAAGTCGACTTTGTTGATGTCGAATTGGCAACGGACGAGAGAAGTGCGTTCTCATTCCGTCAAACGATAATACTGACGTCGTAGTCGTGGACGAGCACCCTAATGGCCTTCTTGCTGTACCCCCTGGTGCGGCTGAACGAGTTGGTCCTCACGGGGCCAAGCTTCGTCGATCTCAATCCCGCGCCTTCCTTTCAGATGACGGCATGCCACAGCCTATCGAATTCTTTGTCGCTTCGGACGCTAGTGCAGTAATCGAGCACACCAAACGTGTTCTCTACCTCGAAGATGATGATATCGCTCATATTAGCGAAGGAGGTATGTCTTTCCCTCGTGCCATGATATCTCGCTCATTCGTCAAGAACTGCATATTCACCGCTTGCGTCGTGATGACAACATCTCCTCTGTCCGAGCTATCGAGCATCTCGAGATTGAGCTCGCCGAGATTATGAAAGGCAGATACGACCACTTCATGCAGAAGGAGATCTACGAACAGCCCGAGTCCGTCGTCAACACCATGCGTGGTCGTGTCAACTTTGACTCGCGAACGATCATGTTAGGCGGCCTGAAGGTGTATCTCCCGGTCATCAGACGGTGCAGAAGACTCATCTTTGTGGCATGTGGGACGAGCTACCATTCCTGCATTGCTGTGAGTGACAGAGTATAGCTTTGAGGCATAGCTCATCAGCCAGGCGAGACCAGTGTTCGAGGAATTGACGGACATCCCTGTCGCGGTCGAACTGGGTGAGTGGAGGAAACAAAAGGTCGGCAGCCATACTGAGACCAGCTTCTGATTTTCTGGACCGACGCACTCCTGTTTTCCGAGACGATGTGGGAATATTCGTGTCGCAGTCGGGTGAGACTGCCGACACCATTTTGGCCATGAGGTACTGCCTGGAGCGAGGTGCTCTTTGCCTAGGTGTCGTCAACGCTGTCGGAGTGAGTTTGCATTGTGGACCGGGGGCAAGGAACTGATTGCAAGTCGACTCTGTCGCGTGAGACTCACAGTGGTGTTCACATCAATGCTGGCCCGGAGATTGGTGTTGCGTCCACCAAGGCGTACACGTCACAGTATGTGGCGTTGGTCATGATTGCTGTTCAATTGTCGGACGACTCGATCAAAAAGACTGCTCGCAGAGAACAGATTATTGATGGCTTGCACGACATTCCAGAACAAATCAAAAAGGTGCTTCATATGGACAAGGCGTTGCAGCAGTTGGCAAAAGACATGTTGTCACACGAGAAGAGTCTGTTGATTATGGGTCGAGGGTATCAGTGTGAGTAGGAGGCTTGTCTCGGAGTTGCAAACGCTGACATAAAGATGCGACCTGCCTGGAAGGAGCTTTGAAGATCAAGGAGGTGTCATACATGCACAGCGAGGGGGCGAGTTTGTCTTGCAAGCGTGTGATGTAAGCGCTGACACCGGTAGATTCTCGCTGGCGAACTGAAACACGGTCCTCTTGCGCTGGTCGATGAACATCTTCCGTATGTCATGTCGCCTTACATCGGAGGACTTGGTGCTGATGAGCAGGGTCATCTTCATCATGACTCGTGACTCGCTTTATCCCAAAGTGCAGTCTGCGCTGGCCCAAGTGATGGCTCGTAAAGGTCGACCGAGTGAGTCCATGACTGAATATACGAAATTCACAGCTGAATGGCAGTCATCCTGTGCAACGAAGACGACTTGTCTATCCCTGAATCAGCCAAGGTAATCCGCGTGCCCAAGACGGTTGATTGTCTGCAAGGACTGATCAATGTCATTCCACTCCAACTGCTCTCTTACCGTAAGTCGACTGTTGGGGTTTTACCGCCCCGCGTTTCTTCATACCAACTTCCCTCTCCTTCTCTGGTGAATGGACGGGGTCGACGCTGATGTGTCCCTACGTCAGGGAATGCGACAAGAAGCAGACTGACGTGCAGACCTGGCAGTGATGAACGGCGTCGACGTCGACTTCCCTCGTAACTTGGCCAAATCAGTGACTACCGAGTGATCGCTCCTTGGTCAAAATCCCCATGTTGTGTCTTTCCACCAGCACCCCAAGAATCGTCCCCTTTGCATTTTTGTTTCCGTACATCGCACGTCTCCCTTTCTCTTGTACTTAATGGTCAGAGTTTTCATTGTGTCTATGTCACGTATGGTCATGCTACTTGCCGCGACTGCTCGACTCGACTCACTCTATTGACATGAGCATGGACAGCTGTCCGTTACCATACGAGCTGACTATTCAATTACTCTGCAGCCGATGAGAAGGCATACTGACCTCACATGGGGTGAGATCGTAAACATGAGTCACTATATCGAATGACATACATTCCTCGTTTCTACATATCTAATTCTCACAACCTACAATCGATACGATTGGACACACCCAGGTCCACTTCTCGACGGTTCAACGGGATAAAAGTGATGATACTATGAAGAACTGCTCTGACCATCATTTTCCGCTTTCTCCGTGACGACATTGGCAATATGAGCAGCTTGGGCTTTCTGAGCTGCTATTTCGTCTGCGGTAAGGAATCTACCTCCTTTACCACGAGGACGAGAACACGCGTGTCGATGACGAGATTCGTGTAGATACGGCTGGGTGTCAGCGTCTTATCTTTACACACATCCCGTTAGCCCCCCACAACCCCCGACCGTAGGAAGAAGCTATGCGTGAGAGGTCATGTGTACTGGCACCCGGCACCCGGCACCCATCATGAACAGACGTAATCCTTGAGAAACCCACGAGTATATGAGTTGAGAACACAGAGAGAAAGTAATGGATTGAAGGGAAAGAAGAAAGAAGGAGACATACTTTTCTTGATCTTGATAACCTATTTAATTCTTCTAATCTTGCTCTTGCTAAACGTCTTTTCAATATCCTATGATATTGTTTAGCATTAACATATAATGGTTCTTCATTATCCATTTCTCCTTCTCCTTCTCCTCCTTCATTTCCATCATCAATTCTCACTTCTTTATCCACTCCTACTCCTTCATTTTCGTTTTCATCTTCATCTTCCTCCGTCCTTTCCCTTATTTCTTCTTCACCACCTGTTTCATCTTCAGATACTTGTTTTTCACCTTTGGGACTACGATTCAAACTATCAGAACGGTTTTCAATTTTGATTAATCCATCTTTATTATAATCCATATTACCTGTAGAGAGAAACCCTTTTAGTTGAGTTTGGTTTTGACCAGAACCGTTTATTTGATTATGACCAGAAGAAGAAGAAGAAGAAGGATGATGATGGGATTGTTCATTTGAGGAATGCGGATTTGTGAGTTGATGAAGTTGATTATGATTGTAATTCTTTCCGTTTGATTGAGGATTGTTTAATTGATTGATGTGATTCATCGGATTGATAGGGTTAATAGAATTGATATTGTTAAGTTGATTGAGCTGTGAAGGATTGACGGAACGATAAGAAAATGGATTCAAGTCGTATGATGATTGTGAAAGGAAAGATGATTGTGAAAGAAGTGGGTATGTTAAACCTTTTTGGAATTAGCTTGTCTTCGTGTGTGATTTGTATGATTGAGAACACACGTGGAAAGCATGTGAGATGATAGTGGGATAGATATGAAACTGTAACTTCTTTTCTTAATTATGCAGTATGTAGTGTGTAACTTTCAACTCTCGGAAGAGGGTATCTGTCATGGAATAATCGAAGGGTTCAAATATCAAACTCCCAGCTTTGACATATAGATCAAGGGAAGGAAGGGTATCTTCTCCGAAATGATATGAACCTTAGGAAATTCCATGATTCCAACAAGATGGGAATGGATGAATGAGTCGAAACCTTAGTGGAAGAGAGAAGACGAAACTCACCATTATCAACCCTTCTTGATCCGCCAACCCCTTCATCAACATCAGAACTCTCAAATTCCCTAGAATCGAGGTATTGATAATAATCCAAAGATCTACTCCCATATTGTCTCGCTAGATCAAAAGGGGATATAGGTAGGTCTGAAGAACCATTAGAAGGAGGTGGATGATTCATGAATAATGGTAATGTTGAATTCATGGTAGGTTTCTATTCACGATACGTATCATGTACCGAGTAGCCAGGGAGATGATGAGGTATAGGAGATGAGGGAAGGTGGCGGTGAGATATTCGGATTTGAAATGACGATCTTTCGGTTGAGTCAAGTCGGTTAATTTCTGGATGTATTCAAATCTGGAGAGAGAACCGAAGATGTTTGCTTAGATGGACACTTGGTGATGTGACAATGCTAGGGGATGTTCAATACGGTTGAGATGGGCAATAGGGCTGGTATGTTGGGTGAAGAGGATGACTTGAAGGATGGTGTGAATTGCTCTGTTGAACCACGGTTGTTGGGGAGAATTGTCGCTATACAACGATGTCAATTCGGATCTGATGATAAAACCGGACTGGAAGACAACTAGAAGTGTTGTCTAGTGCACAAGAGTCGAGGAGGATATATGACGAATGGTCCGGTAAGAGCGGAAACAAGGGATCGGCTACTTACACTGGTGTATACTCTCCCAGTGTCGATGTTCGAGGACCAAAAAAGCTTTTTTGGCTAGATGAACGAGTAAGCTATATTGATCGAGTTGTCTTCTGTTTCCACAGTCGCGATAAGATCGAGAAGAGAAGAGAGAAAGAGAAGATGCGACCTGTAGTACTATCACTCTGCACTTTGTTAGTGGAAAGAGGGACGAATTGGAAAACCGGCCGAGATCCCGATCAAGAAGAAAAGTGCCACATTTGATAAAATCTCGAATTACCGAAGGAAGCGGCAAGCGGCATTTCCACTGGCTACAGGAGGAGTAAGGAAGGAAGAGCCATCATAACAGTGACAATAGACATAATGGCGTCTGTTATAAGGAGTGTTATACGAAGGGGGTATGCCACGGCTGCATCTACGGTCAAGGTGAGTGAATCGTCTTATCCGAAATCATAGGTCGAAAGGAAGGAACTTCATATATATCCTCGTCGTTGATTTCTTTCCAAAGAGTGGAATCACCTGTTAGACGATGTTTGGTCTGTGAGGAGAGCGACATGGGTTATGAAAAGGATACGGGGGAGATAGATGAAGAGACAAGTGATTCGATTCCAAGGGGACATGAGAAGAAAAGAGGTAGCGTCATTGAAATATACTGACTTCAGGCCCCTATTCAACTCAATTCCCTCACCGGTACCTATGCCACATCAACTTATCTCGCTGCTATTCGCAAGTCCACTCAAGAGTTGGAGAAACTCGCAAAAGATATAGAAGCTTTTGAGAAGAAATTGGCCGGTGATGCGAAGGTGGCTGCTTTCATGGGTGGGTTGTCTCCTCCAATCATGACCCTCTACTTCTTGTACACCGAGGTCTTCATCGGACTCACACACCTTCTTTCCTACTTCATGCCTCAAGAGTAGTGACTGGTCATCCATTTCATCCGTTGAACAGACTCCGAGGTACTCTGTGATTCAAACCCATTGGGACCAAACAGGACCTAGTGCTGACTATTAGAAAACCCCACGTTATCCGCTTCGGACAGAGCCAAAGTTCTCCCTACCCTCGTTCCCTCTGGCTCATCTCCGATCCTTCTCAACCTTCTCGGCGTTTTGTCAGAAAATGGTCGTCTTACCTCCGCCACAAAAGTATTCCAAGATTTCCAATCTCTCATGTCGGCTTACCGAGGCGAGCTCGAGGTGGTAGTTACCAGCGCTGAACCTTTGGACTCTAAGACTATGAGCAGATTGGATAAAGCTTTGAAAGATACTCAAGCTGCAAAAGGGAAAATCCTCAAGATTACCAATAAGGTTCAACCCAGTGTGTTGGGAGGATTGTTGGTCGATTTTGGAGATAAGACCATTGATCTTAGTGCGAGTAGTAAAGTGACGCGGTTCAACGCTGCTTTGGCCGGTCAGTTTTTTCATTGTTCTACTGAGAGAGATGCTGATTCAATAGAGGGTGTTTGAGGGGTATAGAGAATAGGAAAAATGCACATCATGCCGCTGACAATTCTGCGTGGCCCGATGTGGGTGTTGACAATGTACTGTTCCGACCATGAAGCGGTCAAGTGGTCACGGCCAGGTCTTCTCAGTTCTAGTCTTTTCAAAATGGACAGATTGTAGTGGGGAGTCAATCATTTTCCCACTTTCTTACCCCTTGTCTGTCTGAATCATTGGAGAGGCGTACGAGTTAGTGTTGAGTGGTCAAGTCGAAGGCACCCTCAAAAACTTGGTCGTCAACTCCATTGTTGAATCTTACCTCCTTTCTTCAACCATGATTCGTGGTCTATACCTGGTTTGTACATTATTGCTCTCATTTAGTAGCATCTTCTAGACTGTTCTGCACTCGCACACTCGGTCAAGCCAGTGATCATTGATAATTTCGCTATCACACTTGAAGTGTGTGTAACCATGTTTCAGTGATCGGCCCGACTGGCCGACTGCCCGAGACGAAAATTTCATCAAACTCTTCTTTTAACGTCATCATTCCAATCAAACATTGCTGTCTTCTCTTTACTATAACCACCTTCTCTCTACCCCACCCGTCTGGCCTGGAGAGAGACTCACGAGATCTGCTTCATTTCTATCTATCACCATATTGTCACCCTTCGACCGTCCACAAAATGTCCAATCACAGCTCCCGCCTCCCCACCAGACGAAATTCCTTCCAACCCTCTTTGGATTCACCACCAGCCGACGCCGTCAAACCTGATTTCCAAGCAATAGATGACGTTTACAATCAAGTGGCTTCAACGGGAAGTCTCGAAGCTGCCGCTAGGAAATTGAGGAGGTTCGCTTCTGCTCAACGAAAACAACCAAGTTTACCGTCTAGGGAAAGGATGGTAGAGTTAGATCCGGAAGAAGAAGAGTTGAGAAGGTATAGAGCTGCAGCTGGGAAGACTCCAGCTAAACCTGCAGCTCAGATTGTTGGTCAAGAGCAGGTGAAAGCGTCTGAGGACACTGGAGGTGAAGGTCCGTCGACTCAGAGGTTGGATCAAGAGATGAATGGGGATGTAGTAAGGGAGAGTGAGGAAGAGGGAGAGGGAAAGGGAGATGATGGAGGGGAGGATATAGAACAAGATGAAGGATTGGTACATATGAACGAAATTATCAAAGGGCTTTGGATTGGGGATTTGGTTGGTGCTATGGATATACCTGGATTGGAGAAGAGGGGTATCGTAAGTTTGACTTTCATTCACCGTAAACATTCTCTTCTTACACTTTCATCGTTTTACACACCATTCCTCCCTTTAACAGCATGTCATATACTTCTCATAACATAAAAGAGTTACCCTTAGCTTCGCATTATTCACACCTTTCACCCACGCCACCAGGTCCGGGGCTTCAGCGAACGAAAGGGTTTGAGGTGTGATGATAGCTCAAGGTACTCCTAACTCCATGTGCGAAAGATGTCACTGTGGACGGAATGATGGCTTACTTCAGACTAACATCCTCTCACTTCTCCGGCCTTCACTCCAATTCGAACCTCAATTCGCTCATTACCCCGTTGAAATCGACGATTCACCCGATACGGACATCCTCACCCATTTACCTTCTTGCGTAGCTTGGATAGAAGAGGCTTTATCTCATTCATCTCCTCCAAAATCTGATATTCACCATGACGATTCTATCAACTCTCAATCTGACCCTTCTAAGCTCAGCCCGCCAAAGAACAAACATATCCCAGCGTATCCACCTTCGGCCGGTCGGACGAAACCTGGTGGTGTATTGGTTCATTGTCAAGCTGGTGTATCTAGGTCAGCTACTGTCGTAGCTGCTTATTTGGTTCAGACATTAGGTGTTGATCCTGTTGAAGCTGTTGAGTTGATACGACAACGTCGACCTCAAGTTGAGTGAGTATATTATTTTTGCCCCTTAGTCCTGTTCCAGAGATTATCATGCTTTTCCCGAATGCCCAAAACACTTTTGATTTCTATCTGTTCGTTGTGAGAAATATGAACTCTTGACTGACCTCAGTCCGTCCGACACCTTTTGGCATCAATTGGGACTCTTTTACAACGCATCAGGTCGTGTTTCCTTAAAAGACAAATCCACCCGTCGTTGGTATATGGAACGTACAACCAGTCAATTCATGAATGGAGATGGTTCACCACCAATGTTAAGTAACATTGCTAGATTTCCAATCACACCAACAGCCAGTAATCCACCTACACCTCATGGAGTAATCGGTCGAAGGAAAATACGTTGTAAAATGTGTCGAAGACATTTAGCAGTTAGAGAACATATGATGGATCATATCTTTGATCAAAATCCTCAAAGTCGACCTCGAACACCTTCCAATGGTATTCTTCATCTTGATCATATAACAAATTCTTTCGATTCTATTGGAACTTTAAGTGATGTCATCAATCCTTTAACGGGTAAATCAGAAAATCATTCAAGAAGAGCATCAGCTTCTTCCATTCCAAATATATCATCAAATTCTTCAATTTCAGAAGAAATGGAAATTAGTGGAGATAAACCTTTAAAGTCTGCACCTATTTCACCTCATATTCCAATGCCAAGAGCTTCAACAAATCCTACTGTACCTACACTTTCGACTTTTACCCCCATAAACAATCCACAAAATATATCCGATCCCGTAATAAACGAACGGAAGGAAGAAGAACAAGGGTCGATAATGATACCTAAATCTATTGGTAGAAAATCAAGTAAAGGTTATCAAAACTCTGATCAATTAGCATCTCGTTTACCACCAGCTTTATTAGCTCTTCGTACGGGTGGAATACCAATGTCAGAATCTGCATTATCTTCTCCTCTTTCATCACCGGATAAAGATAATCAAAGTCAATTCGTACAGGTTAAAAGAAGATTATCATCGACTTTAGCTATGACCCCAACGGAAACAGGTCATACGATAGGAAGAAGAGGTTCACATCCTCATACAGGTGGAAGTAATGTGGGAGAAGGAATAGGAATCACTGGAGGAATGGAATCTCCTATAGGTTATCCCATTTTGGTCAATCCTAAATGTTCAGGATACTTTGTTGAACCACTCACTTGGATGGAAGTGTTTTTGAAAGATGGAGAAGTTAGTGGGAGGATTATATGTCCTAATGAAGCTTGTAAAGCTAAGATTGGGAGTTATGATTGGGCTGGAATGCAATGTGGTTGTAAAGAATGGGTCACTCCAGTGAGTTATCGTTTGGGTCGTCATCCGCCTATTCACTCATTCATTTACCTACCTTTTCACTCGATCGCTTTTCGATTTATCAATCTATTCACCTATCTTCCTGTGTCCTTGTTCAGCTCTTCGTCTGCCCTTCTGTGCTGTGGTTGTTCGAGATGACTGATCAAAAGGGTTTCTGTATCCATAGGAGTAAAGTGGACGAGGTATGGTGAGAAGTTGAATATAGGGCTGTCCGTCATGGCGTGAATGAGTTTGAGGAGGGATCTGAAGTGAAGGAATGCTGGGGGTCAGGGGATGAACGTATCCGAGATGTATCTGTGATATATGTATCACTACTGTATTGCAATGACACAAGTTGATTTTGTATTCTCAAAGTTCATTGCACCATTCATGTAGTGACTCGTACTCCAAGTGTTGGATGTGCATGAGGTGGAGGTGGACAAACCGGTTAGAAGTGTTAGCGTTTCTTGCATCTATCCCATTCTAAAACCTCTACTTTTCCCTCCTCATTCTTTTCTTTTCCACATCTGACCAAGACCAGACTACTGAGACCATCGATGAGATGAGCGTCATGGTACCACCGTTAGACATAGAGAAACACGTAAAGTACATACAGAACTTAGATAAGGTATGTCTTCCCTGCTCTCTCAGACACACGTTAGAAGGAACAGGAACTGAATAAGAGTTCTATGCAAGATATGAAAGAACCTCATCTGATAAAGTAGAAACAGGATTTATCTTACTTCCTAACTGAACATTTAAGGATAAATGGAGTATATTGGGGTTTAACAGCTTTATGTATCATGGATGAAAAAGAAGCTTTGGATAGGGAAGAAATGATTAGGTATGTTAGAAGTTGTTGGGATGATGAAGTTGGTGAGTTTAACCTCCCTCTTCTTCCTTCCTTCTTCATGTTTTACACGCCCATCCTTCTCTTTGATATCTATGATTTTTCATTCCATTGAATGACTCTCTCATTACGTGTCTGGTTACCTTCCCTTTGAAACCTTTTCCGTATCACTGGACGATGAAGAATGGCGCTTCTATCTCACATGCTGGATGACAAGTTGAGAATATCTCATCATGCTACACAGCATGGACGTATCTACTCAAAAATCCCATTATGCTTGTATTTCTCGATGAGCTAAGAAGAAGGATGCGCGATGGAATCTCCAGAGGGAGCGGTAGAATAAGCTGAAATCAATTAGGAACTTATGGTGCTCATCCGGGACATGATGGACATATACTTGGGACTCTATCAGCTATACAAATACTTGCTATACAAGATGCTCTGGATCAAATAGATGTGAATAGAGTCGTTTCTTGTGAGTTTATAACTTTGTCATCTCTTCATTCCCAACTCATGCCATATGACATTTTCATTTCTGTTCTGATCACCTCATCTCCATCATCTCAATCGCCATTATCACTCTTATTTTATCATCACCATAAGTATTCAAGTTAATCGTGAAATTCATCTATGGCCTCCACTACATCGAAGAGTCACACACATGACATTAAAACCGATTTTGGCAAACCATTTTTGTCCCTCGTCATAGCCATTGTGTGCCTTCATAATGGAGCTCATTACTAACTACAGTCCTCCTCTCTCTTGTCTCACCAACAGGACAAGTATCAGGCGATTCATTCGGTGAAACCGACACTCGATTCTCTTACATCTTACTGCAATCCCTCACACTTTTAGGCAGAATGGATGATCTTCGATCTTTACACGATGGAAGAGGATTACAACTCGTCGTTGAACATATACAAAAGTGTATGAATTTTGATGGAGGTTTTGGGACTACTATAGGTGGTGAAAGTCATGGTGGACAAGGTGGGTAGTGATATGTTTCCCCTCGTTATCTTCAATAATAGTCAATCCTCGTCCTTGTGTATTTTCAAGACGTCCATCTTTTGTAACTCATCTCAGCCACTCGTCTTCGCTCGTTTCACATCTCCGTCACTCATCTTCCCTCGAAACATCTTACTCCCTTGATGACTATGAAATACAAGAGAGAAATATCAATTCGAAATGTATGAAAGATGGTGAAAGTCATAAACTGACACACAGTATGGGTATGTTTAGCCGCTCTAGCCCTCGCAGACAAACTCGACATAGTCGACAAAGATCTTACCGCTGCTTGGCTTAGCGAAAGACAAGTAGGTAGTGGAGGATTGAATGGTAGACCAGAGAAATTAGAAGATGTGAGTAAAGTGATATTCCTTCAAACACTGACAATAACTTACATTATGCCTTTGTAAAGATCCCCACCTCATTCCTCTTCACTGTAATCAATTGTCAGACTCTTCAGACAAGTATGAAAATCTTGACAGATGGGGAGAACGTTAATGAACAGGTTTGTTATTCATGGTGGGACTTGGCATCTTTATCAATTCTTGGGAGATTAAATTGGATCGATCGTGATAAATTGATAGATTTCATACTTTCTGCTCAGGTGAATCTTTCACTTAATTCATCTTCCATTTTCTCTTTTCCTTTTCCTTTTCCTTTTCCATCCTTTTCGGTCTTTTTCATCTTTTTCCTATCCGATATCATACTCTGTTCCTCAACTTGCTCCATCCTCGTAGTAATCTTGATAGCATACCGAACTCGCTGGCCCCATGACTCTAAAATCCAATTACGACCACTTCTATCCTTTCCTTTTTGAACGGAAGAGGCTATATCTTGAATATATAGGAAGGAGTCATATCGAGCTGTCCAAACTAATCCATAGGACTTGGAAGATGGTGGAATAGCCGATCGACCGGGTGATTGGGTAGACGTCTTTCATACCGTCTTTGGACTTGCCGGTCAGTTTCTTTTCCCCTTCTCTGAAGTAGTAGCTGATGACAAAGGTTTATCTCTTGTTGGATATCCAGGTTTGAAAGATATTGATCCTGTTTATTGTATGCCGTCTGAAGTGATTGATAAGATGGGGTTACGAAAGACTTATACCACTTTATCTCGTATGACACATTATCCACTCGATCCGATCACATAATATAAGCATCCATCAATCTCTCCATCTTCATTCGTAGTACTCATCACCCGTAGAATACCCACGGAATGACATCATTTTCCCCTCTTGCACATGAAACTGAGCAATGTGATATTGTAAGATTAGCACTACGATGATATTATGTACACCATGCATCGTGTCATTGCAAATTATTCAACCTCGAAACTAAACTCATTGCACTCCAGATTCCCCACCGGGCGCGGTAACACCTGATGGAGGTTGAGGTGTCGATGTACCGGAAGGAGCACTGGAACCCATCGCCATGGTCGCCTGTCCAGCTTGAGTGGCAACTACTCGTTGGCGTTTACGTTCCGCTTCAGCCTCTTTCTCAGCTTCGATAGTAGCCACAATTTTCTCAATCTCCGTTTGTTCCAGGTTCTATGTATCAGCATCGTCACTCAGTCATTTGTTTGGCGAGAAGGAGATGTAAAAATAAACTCACAGTGATCACACCATAAGACTCCATTACGCTGATTTCAATGTTCTTCGCACCCGTCTGAACCACCTCGAGAAGACTCTTGACAGTCAATTTGATAGCTTCGTCACGCTCAAGACCTTCCGTGAAGTTTTTCTCGAGGAATTCTCGGACCGTCTTGGATGATCGACCGATAGCACACGCCTAGGGTCTCAGTATATGACTTCAATCAAAAAAAGCAGGCCACAACGGTGGAGTGACACAAGAACGACTGGTGATGATGATATCGGGGGAGTGAGATGACGACTCACCTTCCAAGCAGAGTATATACCACTAGGCTCGGTTTGATATAATCGGGGAATGGTGTCGTGAGGATCAAAACCGACAATGAGGGTGGAGATTCCGAATGGTCGCACACCACCGGATTGAGTGTATTTCTATCGGGTCAATTATCCTTAACGTTCACACAGTTTCCGTCGTTACGACCACGATGGGTCAGCTGCATGATTGGTGTTACACCTGGGGAGGAAGGTTTGTAGTTGAAAAGTAGACAATGTCGGTGACGACTTCCAGATCAAGCCTGAGACTAGGTGCAGCTGAAAGAGAAGGACACACCTGTTGAATACCCGCAACGTATTTGGTGATATACTCCACGCTTACGGGATCTTCCACCGTCAATCGATGTGACTGACATTCAATTCGCGCGCGGTCAATGAGGATACGCCCGTCAGCCGTTAAGCCTGGATATGTCAGCTGTATGCCAAAAAGAGCTTCTTTTCGGTGAGTCATTTGAGAAAATAGGTGATCGTAGTGAGGTAGGGAAGATGGATAAAGAAGTTGACAACACACCTGCAAAAGCGACACATATGTGATCATCCAACATGGCCACCTTTCTCACGGTTCTAGGATCTTGGAGTTGCAAAGCTGATTTCTTCTCTACGCCCAGAACGACGCATTTCTGTCCTCGAACCCCGACCTGAATGTCAGATTGCAGCGTCTCCTCGAGGGTTCATCCCTCTTTCAAAGGTATTGGGCAAAGGTCGGTAAAGAGTTGAATCAGTGTGGAGAGGAATCTAGAAGTTTGATGGAAACGGAGAAAGAGGGAGTGATGGAAGACACATACGGCACATGTACCCCGTCGTACAGCTTCAAGAGCGTACTCGACCTGGAACAGCTAAACCATCAGCGCTGAGAGGACGAGGAGTGACAGACGAGCTCACATGACCATCGGGAGAGAAGACGGTGAGTGCTGAGAGGTCAGTATGAATACAATACACATAATGGAGGAGCTGCAGTAACTACCAAGCTGTTGGGGTCGGGGTGTGAGGACAGGAGACAAGGGTTGAACCGGAAAATGCGAAGAATAGACGCACCTCGATCGTAAGACCTTGACATAGCGAGGGAGGATATTGAGAATGTAGAGAGGGTCTAGAGAGTAGCCAGGGATCCTCTTACTGCTACCAAGAGAGCGTTCCAAGTGTATAAGTGAGAAAGATGAAGTGGGTGAACAATGTCGGTCCAAGATTAGGAAAGAGGAATGTGGTCATAGGACGACGCGCGGTCATTGAGGAAGGTAAGGTGAGTGACGTGGCATTTGTCACTTTCCAGCAGTATCACTCCCGTGCCTTAACCTCGATGTCTTTGTTGAATGGTGGTGACCCGCCACACTGCGGTGTTATTAGGAGATAGAGCGTGGGAAAGATGACTAAGGACTACGTATCCCCTGTGTAATATATATCTCTCGATAGTTCTCTAAGATCTTATGAATCCATACTAGATCGTGAATTCCAACAGATTTGGAATCAGAATATCTGAATCACCGTATACCGCCCAATCTACACCAGTAACACATCTACAAGTAGTACAATATGCCTCCCAAGCAAGAGACTTTCGAATTCGTCAATGGTGCTGTCAAACCAGTACTCAACGGCAAGAATTTCTTTGGTTGGCATCAAGCCGTCCTTGACGCTGCCTATGCAGGAGGTTATGTCGATATCCTCCTTAGCAAGTCCAAGAAACCCGTCGATCCATCCATCAGGCGCACCGAGATCACCATCAAGAAAGAGCCGGCAGTCGAGCCCGCTCAAGTCCCTCTGCCAAGTGAGGCAGAAGATCAGGGACAGGAAGGTGACGGTGGCAAAAGTGATGAAGATAAGAAAGCGGAGGACAAGAAGGCAGATGATGAAGAGGACGTGATGGAGGTAGATGAGAAGGGCAAAGTAATTAGTATGGATCAGAGGAGGAGGGAATTCTTGCTTTGGGAAAAGCGTAATCAAGAAGCTCTCTCGCTCCTTCTACGATCAGTCGATGAAGCATTCCATTGGCAAATCAACGGCATGGAACTTGCTTCTGAAGCGTGGTCACTCATTTGTGACGCACACCAGTTTAAACAAGCATCAGTCATTACCGACCTACGAACTGAATTATCCAAGTTCTATCTGTCAGATGGTGGTGACATGCAAGAACATCTACGTCGTTTTGGAACTCTAGTAGAACGTGGGATCAAGTCAGGTCTCCCAGAGTTTGCAACCGACACAGCCCGCTGTGACATACTTGTGGGTTCACTCCCTTATTCACTCAAAGATATCCGTCGTGACTTTCACAATCTTCCATCCGACAAACAAACCTTCCGTGCTCTACATGCTATGTACCTAGAAGAAATGCGTGCAAGAGAAGTCTCAGAAACAAGAGAAAAGGACGCAGCCAGTAACGGAAATATTCTCTATGCAGGAAAAGCTCAGCGTGGACGAAGTGGTGGAAGAGGAAGAGGTGGATTTAGAGGGAGGGGTGGTCGTAACAACGGCGCACCAAAAGAAGAAAAACAACATGGAGGAAAAGGTACACCTCCAGGAAATTGTTGGAATTGTGGCAAAGCTGGCCACTGGCGGATTGACTGTACGGAACCGCCAAAGAAAGAAAAGGGTACTGCAGCAACGGCAGCCCGTGAGAAGAAGGGAGAGAAGGGAGTACCAATGGCAATGGCTACATATGAAGGGTGGCAACTGCTCCAGCAGTACGATGAAAAACACAACGAGTCAACCTGGGTGGTTGACACCGGCGCCACTCATCACCTCACATACGACAAATCCCTCCTCTCTGATATCCTTCCTCTCAAAATCCCTATGATCCTAAACGGAGTATCTGAAAATGGAACTCTCACCGCTAAACATTCCGGCACTGTCCTCAGCACAACCCCTTCCGGCAAGGTCTTCAAAATCAGTGACGTCCATTATGTTCCAGGTGGAAAGATCAATCTCTTATCACCAAACGTCATTATGAACAAAGGATGGACTGTTAGTTTTATGCCTTCTGGAGGAGAAATCAAGGGTCATGGACAGGTGTTCAAGATGAAGCGTATGGGAAGTTTGTGGGTGGTACATCTACCACGCCATAAAGTAGAAGAGGGCTCTGCACTAGCGTCGTCTGGTGAAACCCCGATACCAAGCAAGACATTGAAGGATTGGCACGAGTCGTTGGGACATGTTGGAGTTACGTCAATCAAGAAGCTCGAAAAAGCAAATCTACTCAAGATTGAACCAACAGAACCACCTTTTACAGGAGATCAATGTGACGTCTGTATGATCAGCAAATCAACCCGTCTATCATTTACCGATGTTCCTGTTCGTGCAACAAAACCTCTTGAAATCCTTCATTGTGATCTCGCTGGTCCACTCCAATTATCATATCAAGGATCAAAGTACTATCTCAGTATAGTGGACGACTTCACAAAACTAGTCGTCTGTATGGCTCTCCAGAACAAGGGAGAAGCGACACAGTGTATGATACTCGCCGTCAAGAGATTAGAAAACATTGCCGAAGCAAAAGTCAAGATCATACGTACCGACGGCGGTTTAGAATTCTCAGGTGGGGTTTGGGATAGATTCATTGGAGATAATGGAATCATCCATCAAGTAACGACACCGTATACACCTCAACTCAATGGAGTTGCAGAAAGAATGAACCGTACTCTGAAGGAGATGGTTGGAGCACTCCTACGTCAAAGTGGACTAGGAATGAAGTTTTGGCAGTACGCACTCTTTCATGCGAGTGGTATGCTGAATAGGTGTAGGGTTGGAGAAGACGGCATCACCGTCTATGAACGGTTCTTCAGACGTAAACCCAACCTTGCAGATCTCCATCCATTTGGTTCCGATGTCTATGTCCATATTCCATCCCAGGTACGTGGTGGAAAGGCGGACTTAACTCTTCCAAAAGCTTGGAAAGGTAGACTTGTAGGTCTCCCGTTTACGTCAGCTGGATACATTGTGTGGAATCCTGTCACCGACAGTTTCACAAATACAAGAGATGTGGTTTTCCCAAGGCAGGGGGGATCACAGTTGGAGAATGTGGTAGACGTGGAGAAAGATGCTGGAAGTGATGCAGAGAAGGAAAGTGGTACGGAGAGGCAGGCAATAGGTCAGCCAGAGGAGGCTGAGGACGACATTCCCCCTCCTGAAACAACAACAACTCGTACTCCTCCTCTCATCCCAGAATCAACAACACCTCCAGTCCATTCCCCTACTCCTATCCCGTCAGAACTTACTCCAGTTGAAGACGTACAAGAACAAGAACAATCTGTAGTTGAAGAACCTCAACAGCCTGTAGATCCAAGCGAGGATGCAACAGGAGAAACAGAAGAACAAGAATTGCCTGTACAACAAGCAATAGAACCACGTAGATCAACACGTCAAAGAAAACCAAGAATTCTACTTCTTGAAGGACCTCAGCTCATTAGTAGTGACGAGCAAGAAGAGGGATGGGTGTTAACAGTACAAGGAAGTATCTTAGATAACGACCCAAAGACATATGAGGAAGCTATACGCTCTCCATTAGCTAAGGAATGGAAGAAGGCTATGAATGCAGAATTAGGAAGCATTCAGAAAGCGGAGACGTGGGAGGACACGGTCGCTCCAGCAGAGAGAACTCTTGTTGGAAGCAAGTGGGTATTCAAGACCAAGCGTGATCAACATGGTGCTATCCTCAAGTACAAAGCTCGTGTTGTAGCGAAGGGATATTCTCAAATCCCTGGTCAAGACTTCGATGAAACCTATTCCCCTGTCGCTCGACTCACATCTCTTCGTATTTTCCTCACTCTTGTTGCTCAAGAAGATTTAGAACTAGGTCAAATGGACGTCGTATCAGCTTTCTTGAATGGTAAACTCGATAAACCAATCTTCATGCAAAGCCCGCCAGGATATAAATTGAAGAAAGGTTGTGATAGCGTCAAACTACACAAGGCGTTATATGGACTGAAGCAAGCAGGACGGACATGGTGGGAAGCGTTGGATGAACATCTTCAGACGCTTGGATTCCGTCGTACAGCTCAAGATTGGGGTGTGTACCGCTTCACAGGAAAGAAGAAAGCATATATTATTGCGTATGTTGATGATCTCCTCATTGCAGCTGAAGATATCAACACGGTCAATCTTATCAAAGAAGAACTCTCTCAAAGATGGGAGATGACCGACGCTGGAGAACCTCAATTCATGTTAGGATTGAAGATCACAAGAAACCGTTCAGAACGTACAATATGTCTTACGCAGACAGCTTATATTGATACGCTACTAGAAAAGTATGGTCTTACCAATGTACGACCTGTTATCACTCCTTTTGATTCTAAAACAAAGCTTCAAGCAAATGGTCCAGCCTGCAAGGAAGGTATTACACGTTATCAACAACTAGTTGGAAGCTTAATGTGGACAGCTATAACCACACGACCCGACCTTGCTTATGCAGTTGGCGTACTCAGTCGCTATTGTGCAGATCCCACAGAAGTAGCGTGGGATGCTGGAATCCATGTCCTCAAGTATCTTAAAGGTACACGTACCCACAGATTGGTATTAGGTGGGAAAGGGGGGACAAAGTTATTGGAAGCATGGAGTGATGCCGACTGGGCTGGAGATTTAGACGATCGTAAATCAACAAGCGGATATGTTGTCAAATATTACGGATCAACAGTCAGTTGGGGAACGGTAAAACAGAAAGGTGTAGCATTGTCTACGACCGAAGCAGAGTATATGGCTTTGACAGAAACAATCAAAGACGTAACATGGGTTCTCAGTATTCTCAACGAGTTTGGAATCAAGACAGAAACATTCCTTCCCGTTCTTATTCATTGCGACAATCAGTCGGCAATAGCTCTCTCAAACAATCCCGGTCATCATAAAAGCAGTAAACATATAGATCTCCGATACCATTTCATCCGTGATCACGTCGAACAGGAAAAGATCAAGTTGGAATATGTGGAGACAGAACTCCAAGAAGCAGACATCTTTACAAAAACGATAGGTGGACCAGCACATTGGAGACACGCAGGAAATATTGGGATTAGACCAGAGAAAGTAGTCACGGAAAGCGGCACGGCTGCAGTGGTGACGTACGGAACAATTCTCATGGCAGTGGGAATAAAGAATAAGAAGGGTCGTAAACAAGAACGTAAAGGAGTATGTTGGACGTGTGGAAAAGAAGGTCACTATCGACATGACTGTCCACAAGCAAAGACACTTATAAAAGAAAAGAATAGTCCAACAGAAGATGAGACGACAACACACTCAACCGTCATGACACACAAGAAAATAATTGAACAAGACGGAACATCATTGTCAATACGTGTCACAGTAAAAGCTCCAAAGGAAAAGGAAAGGACGTATGAGGAAAAGTGGGGACATCTAGCGAAGAAGAAAGATCTCACGACTCACTATCATACCCTTGGTAAACATCATATCCCAATTAAACAACGTCTCGGTAATCACACAATAACCTCACAATCATATTCATATCATAAACCCACTACTCCATCGTCGAAGAGACTCATTGATCGAATCACCCCCATCGCCCGGCCCGTTGACCAGCGTGAACTGGCCAAGGACTCAGAGCGACAAGTTGACTTCCCCGGCCAACCCAGCGTAAACTGGTCGACACTGAGGAAGAAGGCAAAGTTGTCGTCAGGGTTCACCCCCACCTCCAGGCCACTCCAGCGTGAACTGGAGGACTCAGACAGGCAGGTTAACTTGCCTGGCCCGTCCAGCGTGAACTGGAGGACTCTCGACAAGAAGGTGACGCGTGGGAATTGAACTCAAGTTCTTCAGAAGAGACCTTCCGTACCAGTAGGAGCGGCGATACTCAGCTGTTGAGACGAGAGAAATAATAAGAACTTAAGGATGTGAATGGATGGATGTAGAGATGTAAAAGAGAAAGAGACGGGGCAATGTTTGTTTATGTGGAGCGTGTGAAAATTTTCAGGGTTCAACGAGGAAATATGGAAATATGGATGGACGGCTGAATGTGGCACTTTGGAAGATGGTTAAGACGTGCAGTGTGATCGTGTCAAGGGGGGTGTTGAATGGTGGTGACCCGCCACACTGCGGTGTTATTAGGAGATAGAGCGTGGGAAAGATGACTAAGGACTACGTATCCCCTGTGTAATATATATCTCTCGATAGTTCTCTAAGATCTTATGAATCCATACTAGATCGTGAATTCCAACAGTCTTGCACTCTCACTGCACTCTCCATCTACAGTATCAATTACCTTGCTTGTCTTCCCACACAATGTCATTCACAAAAGCAAGGCATCGTACCAAAGGTGAACGTCAACTCAAGCCGGATGATGCCAGGGAACAAGAATGTGAGCTACTCAGCAGGAATCATGGTAGACAGCTGACGCGTAGCTCGCATTTTGGATGAACAAGGTCAGCCATTTTGCACGGTGTTTCGGCCATGCTAATCCCCAAGAACAAGAAAGAGAAATCACAGAGCTCAGAGTGAAGAATAGAAGCGATAACGTTAGAGCTCAGAACGTTCTCGATGTTGGTCTACTTAGTAGCGCCTTTTTGTGAGTTACAGTGGCTCACAGCTTTCTCTTTTCTTCCATACCCACTCTGTACTCCCGCGTGAGAGCGGCATACCATCTCACACTATTGATGCTTTGATCATCAAACCTGATATATGGATAGTGATGTAGACTACACACTACTGACTGACTCATCAGCTCCATACTCCAACTACTCAAATACATCCGTATATCTCCTCCACTGACTGCACTATCAATCCTCCAACTCGCTTTCATACCATTGTCTCTAACCCCTTACTACCTTCCACCATCCGTCCGACCCGTATCTCGGTATCACCTTTACATATGGCTCACCCACTGCGCTCTCTTCCTCATCGCATTGCAAGAGCTACGCTCCCGGCCGCTCGTTTTTGGCGAAGTTGCCCGATGGGCCTTACCCGGTATACTAGCTTGTGTTGTGGAAGTGCAACGGAGGGGTGAGACGGATGTGCTCAGAAAATTGGACGAGCTGGAAGCTTCAAAGTATCATCTTAAGGGAGTGTGAGGGCGTGAGGGCGAGATGGATGTGGGGAGACGGGGGCAGTTGTACTGTCCTTCCACTGGACCATGGACCACTCATAATCGTTTCGACAAATTTCCGATCTAGGGCAATAAACGGAAGATATCAAACCCGCACATTGTCAACATAGTCTAGGAGTAGGATACCTGTTGGCATAGCAAGGAAGACGATGACAAATCTGTAGTGTTTTCATCAGCACATACGACATTATAATGCACCATTTTACGACGCCCTCATTTGTCATTACCACGCGATACATACTCTTCACCTCGCGTATTCGCAAGAAAAAACTCGTCATCAGCGTAATGACAGGCAATCACTTGTGCTCTCGCAATAGACAACCATTCGATATGACGAGGGATGACGGAAATCGTGACGACCACCATCATTCAAACTCTCGGCATGAAACAGATGAATTAAAACATGACCATGGTTTACTCTGGAATGTATCAACATCGATCGGCGACTCATTTCTTTCTCTGTTCCTCTCACTTCTTTCGTCCCATTCATTCATTTACATCTACAACCGACTTTCCTCTTTTTGACCCTCTCATCTCACACAAAGTGCGAACTGAATACACAATATGTCTTCTCCTGAACAAAACAACCCCCCAGAAGTCCGTCGTCAATCCGTTGTTCGGTTCTCTCGCGGTGACAGGTCTCCTATAGGCACCATGGCTTCGGATTCGACTATCAATGGACCCCATATCCATCCGACACCACTCCAGCTTCAACAGGCCCAAGCTCGTGCTAGGCAGCAACAGCAGAATCAACAACAGCAGTACCTCCAACAACAACAACAACTTCAACAGCAACTTGAATTTCAACATCAGCAGCAGCAGCAGCAACAACAACAACAACAACAACAACAACGTCAAGATGCTTCTCCTCGAGCCTCACAAACCTATCTGGGAGCACCCCTGGAACCGTCTCATCTCCCGCTACGCGGTCAGTCCCCGGGATCTCAACAGTCCATTCAGGAAGGTCAACCTCCTTCTGGCCAACGATCCCCCCAATCACAAGCGACCACGAACATACAACACTACTCTCAGGAGGCGTTCGACGGAGCGACTTATCCTCTCACATCGGAAGTCTCCTTAGGTCCCACGGAAGCAGGCAGTGATTACTACGGTGTCGGGGACGATCGTGAGACCCTAGCTCCCGGAGACTCGGAATCAGTACGGTATGTCCAGCTACAAGAAATGGAAGATTCATACACTGCCCCTCCTCAACGTGTCATCAGAGGAGGTAGACAATCAGACGCGAACAACAACCTTCCACTCGAACTCAGTCCCAGAAGTACTATCGATGCTCAAGGATACGAAGACTATCGAACTTATGTCGCCAGACAGCAACAAAGTCCTTCTGGTCAGCTTCATCCTTCTTCCCCACTTCGAGGACCTGTGGTTCAAGACCAAGGTTATTTGTCTCCATTAAGTCTCCCTGCCTCACAAGCTCCTAGGGGTTTTCGGGATTCTCGTCTCAATCGTATAAACGTACAAATTGGTGATGAAGATATCAGAGGATCACCTCGAGCATCCCCTTCCCGAGGAGCTCAGGGGGATATGTATAACCAACAAAATAATCCTAACATTCCCCATCGACCTTCCTTAGGTCCAGCACCTGCATACTCTTCACCTAGGGGAAGTTTAGGTACTATGCCGTATTACGTTTTGGACGATATGCGTCGGGCTTCGTGGACTAGAGAACAAGCTGCCAATCTTGTTTACCCCGATGAACGTGTACAACCTACCGTCCCTCATCGGAAAGACAGACATCGACCCAGGTCCTTGAGTCACTCACGTAGACCTTCCGACCAAGCAATGAGAAGACGAACAACTAGAGAGATGGAAGATGATGATGAAGATGATTCTTATAAAGTGAAAGGTGGTTTCATGTCGTCTCTCCTTCGACTCACTGGTCAGGGAAGTAGTACCATGCGTCGTCGACTTTCAAGCAAAGCAGGTAGTGAAGTGGAAACAAGACCGCGTAACCCAAGACGACCTTCATTGAAGAAAAATGACTCGTTTGCTAGTACTGTCTTCGGGGCGGACGAACTGGAAGAGGATGATCCTAGATTGACGGGGAAGCAAAAGAAGAAGAGAAGTCATTCCATTTCTGATTTCTTCAATAAAAAAGATGATTATGGTTCGGATGCTGGTTCTGTTGCTTCGAGGAAACCGAGGAGGGCGTCGATACAGGTTCACGTTTGTGGTGAGTTGAAATATGTCCCCGTCTTGATGACTCTGCCTCCATGACCCATAAACTTTTGCTATCCTTTCCCCTGTCAAAAATCTCCTCCTCTCCTGACCTTACTTCGTCACTCGACTGCCTTCCTCCGATTTTTTTGTCACGCACATCCTACCACTTGGCAATACCCAGTAAGCTATGAGGAAATGTCCAGTAAACTGACACACCAAGACATTTTCACTCGTCAACGATTCATCCTCAAACTCGCCAAAGCCTTAATGACATTCGGTGCACCTTCCCATCGTATCGAGTCCCAACTCGCCGCGACATCCCTCGTCCTAGAGATCGATGCTCAATTCATTCATCTCCCTTCCATCGTTATCGCCTCTTTTGGGGATATCGATGCGCACACCTCAGAAACCCACTTCGTCAAAGCACCTTCAGGTCTCGAACTCGGCAAACTTCACAAAGTTCATCAGATATACCGTGAGGTGGTACATGATGAAATTGATGCTGCTGAGGGAACACGAAGGATTCAGGATTTACTCAAACAACCTACTCTGTATAATTTATGGCAGAGGATGATCCTCGCTTTCCTGTGTAGTGGTCTGATCGCTCCCATGGGGTTCGGTGGAAGTATTATTGATGGTTGTGCCAGTGGGACATTAGGGATTTTGTTGAGTTTCATGCAGTTGCATGTGGCTAGTAAGAGTGCCATGTATTCAAACATATTCGAGTGAGTCATGAATTCCTTACATTTATCTCTTCCTTATTTGTTTCTCCCTTCTCTCCCTATCGCCTCCTAACACTTCTCCCAACCCTTTGCACCCCCCCCCCCCCCTCGCTCGACTCAATTTGTGATATTGTCCACGTATTGTTGCACTGCGGGAGTTCACGGTCGAGTACAAAGATTTGCGTAGGAGGAAGTGAGATCAATGCTCATGAGACAGAATCAGTATCGCTATAATCATCAGTTTCACCGCTCGAGGGTTATCTACCACGGGTTATTTCTGCTATCAAGCTGTGGCTTCTGCAGGAGTGGTCTTGATTCTTCCTGGGTATACCATTTGTGAGATGCTCCGCGTCTGCCGCCATGGGGATGTTCAGCTCATGATTAGTGTGCGGATCGCTTGAATTGGCAAGTAAGAATATCGTACCTGGTTCTGTCCGGATGGTATATGCCATCATTTATTCTTTGTTCTTGGTCAGTCATATTCACCCCTTTTGACGTTTGATCTCTACCTACCTTCCTCCGTCTGTCATCATCTACTCCTTCTTCGTCATCTTGCCAATATCCCCCCTCTTCTCCTGTCCTCTTCACCCTTCATACTCCCCTTAGTATCCTTTCAGATCTCATCCTATCTTGCCTTCAGCCTTCGAGGGTGGATCCATGAAAAACGTCGAAGAACATAATGGCTAAGATACAGGGCTTCGGTATAACGATTGGTTCCGACCTTTTCTACGTATTCGATCGTCCAGCCCGTCGAGCAGCCGATGCCGCCCTAGCCTCCAATAAAGCAGGTATAACCCTAAACGGTATATTCTCACCTGATCCACTATCAAACGGATCCATGCCTTTCTTTCCATTCAACGGAACTTTTACATTTTCGAATAGCACAACCGACGCAGTGGCTGGAGCTCTAAACGAAGGTTCTATCATTTGTGTTCGTAATCCTGATTGGCCTTGGTGGAGACAGGGTATGCCCGTTTATTTCTTATTCTTCATGGTTCCTATATTCAGCGTCTTGTTGAGTTTATGGAACATGCAACCTTTGAGGAGTAAACAATTACCTGTAATGTGTGTGATTAGTTGTGCTGGATATCTGGCGAATACTTTGGCGAATCATTATATCTTCGACAGGAGTGATGTTGTTAGTGCTATTGGAGCTTTTGTCGTAGGGTGAGTTTTTTCGTCATTTTTACCTTCTTTACTTACTCCCTTCTCTTTTTCTTGACTCCCATTCCGATCCCCTTTGAAATCTTCTATCTGCTGTCCCGCTTATTGTCCATCCACCCTCCCTGTTTGAATTTCCGACTTCTTTGCTTGTCATATACCCTACTTCCACAATCCTTTAAAACTTCCTACATATTCAGCTGTTCCACTTGTAAATACATGTCGTCTGCTACCGATCTCTCTATTCGAAAGACGTCCCATGACAATTGATCGTTGTCACGACCTCACACCAGCCCTTCCTCAGCTCACGTTGACTGCCGGAATTGAGCTGACATTATAGAATCCTTGGTAATATATATTCACGAATGTTTGGAGGGACAGCATTCACATCCATGGTTACTGGTGTACTTTTTCTCGTACCCGTACGTATCTTTCTGCTCCATTCCCCCTCACCCCCTCACCCGCGGTGTCCTTCCTATAGGATCGAATTCTCAGGAACCCCGACGAGATTGAACCTTCGGAAAATCCCCTCTCCCCATCACTCCACTATCTTTGACTCTGGAACACCCAAACTCAACACCTCACTCGACTGGGTATCGCTCACGTCTGTCTGTCACGTAGTGGACTAGTACCCACAAACACCAAGAATGACCAAGACGCTAAATTCCCAGTCGGGTATCTCAGCTGCTGGAGGTCTAGCAATGTCCAATAACGCTCGACATAACGCCTCTTATTCTCAAGGTTTAATGATCGGATTCCGAATGGTTCAAGTCGGTATTGGAATCACTGTGAGTCTTTTCCAATTTACTTCATTACATATGTATTGATAGATGATAGGTCGGTTTATTCGCTTCTGGTCTTTTGATATATTCTTTCGGTAGGAAGAAGGGTGCTGCTTTGTTTGCATTTTAACATTCCGTGTATATACTTGTACACTTTGCGTATTCGTCCTTTGTCTGTTCGAATTGTATAGTCCAACTGGTTTGGAAGAATGATTATCATGTATGTAAATGTATCATCTTACTCGAATCACCAACTAACTTACTCGTCTGGAGATGTTCGTGGTATCGTCATGAGTGCATGAAAAGTGTGATAATCACATCAAAGACGCCCTAGTTCCCGTTTCTCTACCTAAATCGCCTGTTTGCATTCGGCTTTCTCTATCACTGACAAAAGCTTTGTATCTATCCATCAGCTCATTGACTCTCAGAGATGTGAACCCTCTTACATAGTTTCGAGTCGACGTCTTTCCGTCAGAGAAACACTAGGACGAGTGCTTTCTAAAGCTCGGAGTAGATGTATCTGCTGGATCAAGGGCTACCGTCAGCTCTGTATCACCAGTGACGCTGGATGAGCTCACTTGAAGGGTCCGCTCAATTGGTCGAGGTTGGAATGTTGGTCGAGGAGTGACATTGGATAAAATCGTCTCCATCTTTCATCAGCTCAGCTGAGGAGATGCGAGTAGAGATCTTACTCGTTTGGTCATAGATTTCATTTCGGCGGATGGGATGCTTTCTGAAATTCCATTCATGACATTTTTTTCTCGACCGTTACTCTTTCCTTTCCCCTTGGATTTGGCGATTGGACCATCATGGAGTGTTGCATAGGAAGAAGCGGTGGAGGGTGTTTGTGAGAGAGAAGAATGAACAACTTCGAGATGTGCGTTGTAGATGACAGCTTGGAGATCTGCACCGGAATATCCAACGGTTTCATGTGCTATATGTTCGAGGTCGACAGAGTGGTCCAAGATGATTTTCCGACTGACTGTTTGGAGGATCTACGAGAGTCAGATGATCCACCACACTACGTGATTGTGATTCTGTACGCTGGGGTGATCCCCTCCAATCCAAGTGCATAGAAAAGAAAGAGAAATACAAGTAGAGAGTATATGGACGTACGCAGGAGCGTTGTTTGTAAAACAGTGTCTGAGAGAGAAGGATACAGGTGATAGTTGATAAGCTTTTTAGCAGGCAAGTAGAGGCGAAACCAGAGACAGAACCTCGGGAGACGAGTTAAAAGGATGACACATGAGACGAGACGCGCTCTTGACGTACTCACCTCGAGACGACCTTCAAACGGTGGCATATCACATAAAACAGACTTGTCCAACCTCCCCGGCCGAAGAAGAGCAGGGTCGATGAGGTCCGGTCTACTGGTAGCTGCTAACACGTACACCCCTTCAAGTCCTTGAGCACCGTCCATCTCCGTCAAGAGCTGATTGACTATACGATCCGTGACGCCTGTTGAATCGTGTCCTCTAATCGTATCAGCCCCTTGTGCTCGACCCTTCAACCCACGTCCACACCTTATTATAGTCCCTATATTTATTCATCGGTCACTCGCGAGACACAGCCGAACGTGCAGCACACCCTAACGAGGTCAAGAACGATGGATGTAGATGAATTTCTTGTGAAGTGAGATGCACGAACACATACCTTTTCGGAGCAATCGAATCAAACTCATCAAAGAACAAAACACAAGGTTTTGCTCCACTGGCTCTCTCGAACAAATCCCTCACTGCTTTCTCGCTCGCCCCGATATACTTATTCAAGATCTCCGGTCCTTTTACAGAAATGAAATTCAGCCCACATTCCTTAGCGACGGCAGAAGCTAGTAGAGTCTTCCCGCATCCTGGATAACCGTACAACAATAATCTACCAGTCAGTTCAAACGGACCGGCCGGGAATCAACTGACCCTGAGCGGAGTCGTAGAGGACAAGAAGCGAAGATTTGGGCGTATTTAATAGGCCACTCCAATGTCTCTCGTAAGATACGTTTGGGGAGTCTCAAACCTCCAATGTCGGACCAGACAGTGGTAGAATGTTGGAATGTGATGCCGCGCAAACTGATGGGAGTGAATGACTCTTGGGCTTGGGTGAAGTCTTCCATAGTCAGGTCGAACTATGATCAGCCAGATGACAGGAAAGAGAGTGAGCAAAACATACGGTCTCTTCTGGGGAGTGGTGTAGACGTATCATGGCTTGCTGTGTTGCGGCAGACACGAGATCGACTAGATCAGAAGTGGAATATCCTTCGGTCATACTGGTCAGAGTGATCAAATCGAGGCCTATATGAGAAATGCCCCATGCTTTAGGATGTATATTCAAGTCTGGGAGCTCGGAGGTGGTGCTGCAGAGTTGCTTCTCTATGGCAGCGGAAAAGATCTTCGAATTAGCCCTGAAGTACTCTCTGATGAGAAGACTCACCTCCCGTCGAACTTCTTTGGTCAGAGCCGGAATCTTCAAGATCTCTCCGAAGACGTGCGATGCGTTAAGGGCCGGATGCAGAGACTTCGTACTTGCAGCAGTGACTAAAACCCCTATCCCCTCAGGCAGATGTCCGGGTGATACCAGTCGACAGAAATGCTCCGCAAGGATGATCGGGGTGTTGGAGGAGTTGAGCTGACTATGAGCTCGCAGGCCTTGAAAACGGTCAAGCTCACCTCCGTTTCAGGCGTCAACAACGAATCCAGATTGTCAAGCACAAGTAAACAAGGACGTCTTTTCTTCGCTTCTTCCACCCATGACCGCATTTGATCCTTGATAGCCGAAAGTCGTCCATCGGCTTGTATACTCCTCACATCGACGTAATGGGTTTCTAATCGTCAATCGTTGCCACGTAGTCGTGTACTCACCAGCTAAAATCTCCCTGTCTCCCTCCAGGCGACGAGTGATGGCCATGACCAATGTCGTCTTGCCCATCCCTTTGGTTCCTGTGACGAGAAGTGGACATGGTCGGGCAAGAATAAAAGCTCTGGTCAGGGCCCCCACGGCGACACCCAAAGTCGCCTCCAAGCCTGGCAAGCTTGTCATATGGATATACGGAGGGCTGAAGAATCAGTGTCACATGATCCCACATGCGACTGGCCACTTACAGCATGTCCAAAACTCCTTGTGACCTCCCAGATTTGCGACGGCTTCTTTGTTTCGCAATGCTCGACACTTTTACGCTGCCCCATGTCTGCCACTGCAAGAGTCCTTCGCCGGTGACGACCAATGCTCCGTCTGGCATTTCATCCCACGCTACCAATATGACATCCAGGTTTTGTCCGTCCTCTTCGATGTTGCCATCTGCATGCCCGTCACCGTCTCGCTCGACTGCCGTCACCTCGTTCTCTACATTCTTCGATCCATGTTTGAGTAGCCTGAACACCGGAGGTCTTTTATCGTCATATTCCAATCTTCGTCGCAGACGCCGGAGGGTATTCGGAGAGCAAAGGGCCACCGCAAAGCTCCCTACCTCCGTCGACTGTGCTTCTGAAAGCTGGAATTGGCCCCAAGCAGCGGCCACGGTAGGCGGGATGAGTCGTAACCTAACATTCCGTTCTCGGGCTTTTTTATTCGGTCTTGCCTCTTTGTTTGTAGTATCGACGACTCGCGGCTCTTCCACGGCAGCGGCGATCGCTTTTCTGGGTCGAGGAGCAACAATGACCTCCGTATCTGGATGAACGAGCACGGCCCCCTGTTTGACCCCAGGGTCTGTCCCATCTATGAGATCAGCTTGATACATGTACCGACCCAAGTAACTAACCAACACGGAGTTGAATCTTCGTCCGACCTGCGACCCAAGCATTGATCACTTGATTTTTTTGGACGGCGCGTAGTTGACTAAGAAGGTTATTCTCAAGGAAAGAGGTATGTTGTTCCTGATCATCAGAGAAGAAAGACACATCGAACGTCATAAGACAGCTATGATCTTGCAGTGTATTTCGATGTGAGAGACCAGGGACGGAGTTCGGCTCACGAGAATTTCCCAGTCGTCCGGTGTTAATGGTGTGACCGAAATGCTGTTTGCTCGTGTGGGGTCATGTATGATGCCTATTTCCACCTGAGTGTTAGGGCATTCGTTCTTCTCTGAGAGCACTCCCATTACTCATGAAACATTCGTACGACTCAGGTATCCATCGCAATCTCAGCTTTCCTGACTTTTTGTCCTCAAAAAAGAACTGCTCAGGGGGGTTCATATGACAGCGTCCAGATCCAAGACGGATGTGCAAAGAATGAAGTCGTCGGGGTCCCACCTCCGGCGATTGTCCAGACTGTAAAGAACGGAGAGACCAAGTTGCAAGCGGGGTTCAGATACCGAATAGCGATATTATAACAAACGAAAGAGAGGAGATGAGGAATGTTGATGGCGCCATTAGAAAGAGAGGGAGAAGATGTGGAATGACGATCGATCTAGAGAAGGGAAAGCAAATAGACGTAGATCAAAGAAGTGACCACTATCAAGAAGAAGAGTAAAGAAGTATAACAAAGATAGGAGCAATTTAAAAATCAAAGAGGTGATGTACACTAACGATAAAACCAACGAGAAAAAAGACGGGTTATGAACTCACCACGATCCCCTCCATCCACCCATATTGCATAGCCACCTCCGGATCAACCTCTACAGTTTCCAAAACTTCTCCATCTCCCTTACGTGGGATATTCAAGGAAGAAGCAGCTGCAAGACCTGACCATCCTACGTATGCAGCTTGAGTACGAGAAGAAGAAGGTGTGAGTGGGGACAAGTGTATGAGAAGGCTTTGTGGACGCTGAGGTGAGCTGTGCTATTCTCGACTCTGTTTATGCCCCACTTCTAGGTTTGCTACCACCTGACGCTTTGTATCATATTATTATTCTCATATACTCTCACTTTGAGAAATATGAAAAAGGGAGCTGATATGACTTTGGAGCGACAAGACAGAGAAAGAGCGAGGAGAGGGTGAAAAGGGTATGAGACGTGATCGAGTTTATGAAGTGACTGGTGGGTTTGCAAACCGTGAAGATCAATGAGGGATGTGGATATGAAGAAAGTGATAGAGATACAGATACAGGGAGTATAGTGAGAGAGTGGAAGTTGAGTATGGTATGGAATAGAACGAGAAAGAGAAAGACATACGATTTGTTGTTGAGCCAATTGAGCGAATAAGGAAAGTGGGAGATGAACCAAATTGGAACGTAGTGATCTATATTTTATCAAAGCTTTCTTGGTCATTTCTTTTTCTCTTCTATCTTCTATCTTCTATCTTCTATCTTCTATCTTCTATCTTCTCATTGTCCGTGATACCACTGTAGGTATTGATAGTAGTATACCTACGTTCTTGTCCGATGGTAGAGTAAGATGAGTTTGGTGTTGAAGGTCAAATGGGAAAAGTGAAACCTGAACCTGACCGGTTAAGATTTCGACTTGTTTCCCGATCACCCAGAGGGAAGTACCTTATGCCCCATGATCCCATGAACTACTACAGTACATGTATGTGACTACCTATGATTATACTCATATATATATATACCCGGACATCCTAAAATGAATGTACTAGGAACGAATCAGTGTGAAGATATACACACAGTACTCGAGATCATCAATACCAGTACCAAATCATCGGTCACAAAGATGAATGGAATTGCATAATATACAAAAATGCACAAATATCATGAAACAACACTTTCGAATCACAAAGGTATTTCACATTTCCCAAACTTTGGTGATTCACCAGAACTCCCTACTAAACTCCTTAATGTCTGAACGGTCGTATATATTCCTATACCGATCCCAAAGCATAAGAAAACATAATCTGCCATTCGACTAGTACGGGTCTTAGCACATGCTCGTAAGTGTAACAAAGGTGGGTAGATGAAACATAATGGGACACTGAGATCAGCTAATTTCCTAGGGCACATGGTCAAAGCTGGAGTGAGACGTGAGTGGTCATGATAGATTGATAAGGGAGGGACGGGCGAGAATGAAAAGTCGGTTTTGACTGGAGTAACAAAAAAAGAGGGGGGGGGCCTCCTCTGGGGAGATACGACAGCACGAGGTGCGATATTGTGATGAACGATGTTTCCAATAATTAATGAGTGGAACACACTCACCATGCAAAAGATCCAATGAGAGCGACAAACTTATCCAATTCTGCTGATCCGGCCCAAGAGACTAAAGAACAGAAAATGACTGTACCGACGCGAAAGAGATTCTTTTGCCATTTGACTTTCGGGTTATGTTTCCCCGAACGAGAGAATAGTCCATTTTCCATGATACGTACGGCTGGGAAGAGTTGAAGGGGAATGGAAAGGAGGATGGCGATGCTATCTATTACGTTAATCCCGTTTAATCTGCATTAAAGTGGGGTGGAGTACTTCTACATCCAAAGCAGACAGTTCACTCAGAGAAGTGGAAAGAGATATCCATGCACCCAGATAAGTCCACGGATGAGCGCGTGGATCAGGTGGGGGACCGATGGGAGATGGAGTGTGAGTTGTGAGTGTGTGGGCGATGGGACATATACTTGAGGGACGTCTCGAGATGGTCCAAGTGAAGAGATCAAAAACTTACAAAGGAACTGAACAGCTTGAACGAATTTATCTTCCTGCGGGAGATTCACAATGACCACAGTTTGTATATCTTTTCCGTATGCTCCATATCCCAACACACCAAAAGCGGCAAAGAGGATAGCTACGAATAGCATGACGATGGATAATAGTCGTGGAAGCTTCTGAGGTTGTCGCATGGATTCAGTGATAGGGATGATCCTGTGAATCAGTTGATTGTTTCATCTGCCAATCATGTTTGACTCTAATCCCCGGGAAAAATGTGCAAGACGGGGTCACAGTGCATGAGGAGCAGGCCAAGCACATGGGATGAAGATCGATCGAAGGGTAAGCAGGGAGAAGATAAAGTGATCGCGATGCAGAAGGTGGATGAAGATGAACATTTCTAGCGAGGGAGTGGCGGATTGTGTAGTCAGGATGGACACGGAAGGCATAAACTCACAACCCAATACCTTCAAAAGCAAACACGGCAGTACCGATCAACAACGGAAAGTCTGCCTTGTTGAACAAAGCTACATCTGCAACACCTCTTTTCGCCAGAACGGTAGTTTCGATCGTCCCTATATAGATGACTTGAATGTCAGTTTCATCCTCTTTACTTTTCTGACATTGTCACTCGACATATTATTATCGACTTGAAGTCACAAAGAGAAATACCATGACAATCCATATTTCAGGGATGGAGGAAGGTAGTGACGTCAAAAGAGATCATTTCGGGTGCTCTGTATGATAGAAGTTTGGAAATCTGTGATGGATGAGGAACTCACGCCCTATAAGGATGAACGCATCAGCCACTAAAGCCGTCCCTGATAACTTTGCAAGATTCCTTATCATTGATAAAGGCAAGAACACCAATAGTTGAGCGAAGATAAGATATCCGACGGATATATAAGTTTTACAATTTGTCACTGCGAGTACGAAAGCTTGTAAATTCTCCGCGATGAATATCGTGTATGCTAAGTTTCAGCATTTCATCTTCTTTGCTAAGTCTATCCAAGCTGATTCTTCACCCTCAACTTCAGCTGTCTTAGGGGATTATAGGATTTGGCTGTCCAAAGAACAGTAGAACTCGAAAGTCGGGTTGAAATATGAGAGATGGATTGGATTCGCTCACCGGCGACAAAACCAAGTTGCGAGATTGTTATACTGGCAAGGATTATCAACCTCATGTAATTTCCATACAACACTCCTCCAATATCTCTTTATCAGCTTTCAACCTCTTTTAGTCATGAATCCACACATACTCACCTCCGAAAGAAGCAGGAACGACCATATAACATTTGATGAGAAGCATGAAAGACCAAAGACAGATAGCTGCCATCCCTAATAAGATGATTGACGAAAAGAGAATTCCTGATTATCAGCATTGGTCTGAGAACCGTACAGCTGAACTCGCCTCCATTGTAGAATGCCTTAGCCATGAATAGAATGCCCGTACCTACAAACCCCTTCAGCAACTAAGAAGTCAGTATGCGATAAAGTATCACGAGAGTAAAGACGGACCATTAAGACAGCTTGAGCTGTACTTGCCGTCCCGGCTTGAGGACCACTACGCATCCGACGATGACGTGTTTTACTATTTCCTCTGGTTCCCAATAAAGAGGTCCGTTCTGTGCTTGGCGCTCGGGGTTCCCATCCAATGATACCTCCACGAATTGTAGCAGAGTCACCGATGGGATTGCGACCATTCTCGATAGAAGCAAGAGTAGGTAGTTGACCATCGAGATCATCTGATTCTTCATCCGAATCTTCTTCTAAATCTTCTCCGGCCTGAAACATTCAGCTCGTGGAACCCTTCCAGCTTATCATCGACTAAAATCTGGAAACTTTGCATAGGTGTCTGCAGCCGTGGATGGAGGATGATGGATGTGAGGCCTGATGAGTGAGAGTCGGGACAACTTACAAAATGACCATAAAAGTACAAAAACTCGACAACATTCCTTAGCATTGTAGGAGCTTCCAATCCTTGTTCATGCGCTCTATTCACCACAAAGTTCCTTCTGAACCCTCCCGGCTCCTTTATATGGGCCAAGGTGGGATCAAGTATTGCTGATCTGTCCAATGGTATATGGGAGAAAGAAGCAGAGCGGGTCAAACGGGCTTGCTGATCATGATCATGTTGCCATTTGTATAGATCGTGTCTTTTTGTCAGCTGCATCACTTTGTACTGGCTTAATACAATAACTTGATTTGATTGTTGGGAGGTAGAGAGAAGGCAATCACGGAGGTTGACTTAAGATGTGAAAAGAACTGACGTTACATCCCCACCAGGAGCATCATATGGCATTGGAAAAGGATCATCTTGCCCTAAATTAGAGATCATTCCACTTGCTCGTGAAACTCCAGATTCACCTTCCACCACAGGCTTCTGTCCACTCGTCTCTCCCATAGCACCATACCCATCTCCTGATCGAGGTTCTGGACTAGCCGGTCTAGGTGTTTGCCCTGCAGGTGTTGGAGTGGAAGACGATTTACGTCTCTCTTCCGCTGAGACCAAATGTCTCCTCAACACTTCTGCTTTTGCCTCAGTACTGACTTCCGCAGCTTGGGAGAAAGCCACATCTGTCTTGGGTGTGGAGCTCCCACTTCCGTTACTCTTCAACGGCGGGGATCGAACATTTCCTGAAGACGCTTTCCGAGGTAGATCAACGGGAGGTCTGATAGAAGTTCCACTTTCCTTTCGTTTACCTTTACTCTTGGCGGATAAACCTTCCATGGATGATTCTCTTGATAGAGCTGGTGAAAGAGCAGGTTGAGGTGAAACGGCCAATGCGGCTGTCAAAGCGGAAGTTTGAGGTAAAGGAATAGGTAAAGATTTATGTCCTATTTCCAAATCTTTATTGTCAACTTTGGGGATAGGTGGTTGTCTACCTGATGGTGTGAAAGATCTAGAAAGAGAACGTGAGACGGAAGAAGAGAGACGAGGAGGGATGTTGCGTATCGAGATGGGTGTCCCGGCGATAGGTCTGGCAGAAGCCAAAGAGCGAGGTTTTGGTTGAGAGTTTGAAGAAGCATCGACCGGAATAGATCTGTTGAGTCTATCAACTGGAAGAGGAGAAGTCATGTTGATTTATATCCGAACTTATGAGAGTGTCAGGAAAGGAAAGGCCGGTTGACCTTGTATGAAAGGGAGAAAGAGGGGGAAGGGGGGGTTAGATGTTCGCTTCAACCGCTTGGTTGGAGGAGTGTCACGTGACATGACCGAAGGCTGACTGAAAGCGACGCGCAATCTTTCGACTTTCTCGCATCCTCCATCATGCTCAAGCCTGTGAAGCATCTACTTCTACTCATGTTGCCACTCTGCACACAAATATAATCGCATTTACACACATCATTCCTCGTGAAGAAAGAGAAAATCAACAACATGTCATTAGTGGGAAGGTTTGAACATCTTCCCAATCGACCTAAATCCGATGCCGCCCGGTGAGCGGACATTTTCCCCAAAATGGGTGAGAAAGAGGTAACTAACCTCAAGACCATTATTAGAGAAGATAGCTTCTCAGGTCAAACCTATAATGTTAAAAAGAGGATGGAAGGTTGGTACTTTGGCCGAGGTGAGTGTATCTCATGTACAGTAATGTGGGAGGAATTGACGGGATTCAGTTCACACCCGCCGACCCATCTCTTTTAGGTGAGAGCTCCCATGTCGATCATTGAGAGACAACTGATGAAGAGGAAATAATACGAATAAAGGAGAAAGGATAAACCTACGTTTGAGACCACCTGGAAGTCCTTCGAGCTTTTACGAGTTTGATCAGTTGGTATTGGTCATGTTACATGAGGTGAGTACTCTCTTGCCACTCAGTCAGCATCGAGCGATTGAGAAATGGGATGGTCAACGATGTGAAGGTACTGATGGGTAGTTGACCCATAACGAGTTCGGACCTCACGATGCGTCTTTTTATAAATTGTTGGGCGAGTTGGAGGAGGAATTTTATGAATTAAAACGTAAAGGGTATACTGGTATGTGCTTTCCTTCTACTCAACTTCATCTTCTCGCGCTGCAGGTGCTCTGATTGGTTGAATCACTAAACCGGAGGCCAGGATCGTGTGGGAGAGAGCCTCGGAAAGGTAGCTGACAACCCAGGCGAAGGCTTCCATAGCTCAGGCCACCATCTATCCGGTCTCAGAGTCAACGAGTACCAAGGTCGTCTGAAAGGTCTCACAGCAGCACAAAAGAGATTGGATACACAGAGGAGGATTGGTAAAGGCGGCGTCTTGGGAGGATCGAGAGTGTTAGGAAAGAGCATGAAAGAGATCATGGCAGAGGTTAGTCCTTTTGGGTTTCTTGGATCGAGAACAGGACCATGCTGACATGCAGGCCGCGGAGAGGAGGATCAGAGACGACAAAGCCTGCAATACCTCAGACGAGGGACATGCCAAAGAGGTGGAAGAGGAAGTCCGGAAGGCTCAAAACGAAAGTGTCGGAATTGATGCTCAAGACCTGCCAGGAAATGATGACACCGCAGGTGATAAGCATGGAGATATGAGTAGAAGCAGGAGCAGGAGCCCGAGTATCGAGTTGATCGACGGACCTCGTCCACCATTGGTGTCAAAGTCGAACAAAAAAAATGGAACTGGGGTTACCAGTCTGAAAAAGAACGTTTCTCCTCCTCAACATTCTCAACCGCCAATCACAGCCAAAAGGATCACGTCGTTAGTCAAAATACCAGCTGAAAGGACAAAGCCAAAAGAATGGTCCTGCGCGACATGCACGCTGCTCAACCCAGCGTCCAAGACCAGATGCGAGGCGTGCGACACCGCCAGACCAGTCGACCCTAGTGAAGGATGGTATTGCGAGTTCTGTGGTGCAGGGCCGCGAGATGCTGGATATTGGAGCTGCTTGGAGTGCGGTTGGGTGCGCAAGTGGGGCTGATATCAGATACTTGTAGATGTAGCATAGGCCATCTTGCCACGAGTAGAGTTGTTGTAAGCATATGATTACTTGGGTTGACATTGCCTGCCTGCCGACGGGAAGAAACGTGCAAAACTAAATAAATAAATTCGAAAATTACCCAATCGAGCAAATTTACCTTGCGTCACTTTTTTTTTTCTCCCGTGTCAAATTGTTGCCCCACTGCCACCTTCCTTCCTTTCAGCATCCACTCTCTTCTCCTTTTTGTCCCACCCCCAATAGGGTATTCACACTCATCTTCTTCCACATTCCTGACACCCTTCTCTTCGCTGCTACCGCGTCGTAGAGATTACATAGACTCGATAGACTGTACGAGAGTTTGATTCATAAAAAAAAGTCATAAAACCCATCAAAACCATCACCTTGTTAAACTTGTACGTCGCCAGTATCCCTTTCGACATCCTCTCCCTTCCTTAAGATGTGTCACTACAATAGCATCTGGATCTATGGTGTGTCAGCACGTGCTCATTCTCAGACTCCATGATGGCCCCTGCTGTTGCCGCCACCACCGACGCGCCTCTCAAAGCGGGAAGCTTTGACGTCGCTCCCGTCTTCGTCTCTGACAAGGCCACCCGTGACGAGGCAGCTCTTGCTCTCGTTGCCGCTGCTAAGAAGGGCGGTGTTGATTTCTTTGCTTCTGTTGGTTTCAACGACGCTGTTGTCAAGGTGAGTCAGAGAATCACCCTCTGTGTATGGTGGCGAAAAGAGAAAAAACTTCTGATTCCGCGCGTTTCTGGTTGGACGATTATTGACGCGCAGGCTCTCACCGACAAGAAATCTCCTGGTGTTCGCGAGGCCGCTTGCAGTGCCATATCTACTTTATGCGAGAACGGCGTAGCTATCCTCCTTGAACCCTATGTCGTCTCTTCCGAGCCTAACACTCCTTTTCCCGTTCTTTTGGAAACTTTCGCCGACAAGATTCCCGCTGTCAAAGATGCCGCCGTCGCCGCCATCAAGGCCATTGTTCAATCTATGAACCCATGGGCTACCTTTGTTTTGCTGCCTGCTCTTCTTGAACAAGTCAAGACTGCTGGCAAATGGCAAATCAAGGCAGGGTGTCTCGATGTCCTTCAACAGCTCATCGTTTCCGCCCCGTCACAGATGGGTATGGCCATGCCTGATCTCGTGCCTGTGTTGGCTGTTGCCGTGTGGGACACCAAGGCAGATGTCAAAAAGGCTGCCAAAGTGACTCTGGAGAAGGCTACCGCATTGGTCGAGAACAAAGATGTATGTATCAGCTTTTCATATATTGTTTCGTCATGCTGACTTTCAAAGATAGAAAAATTCATCCCAGCCCTGGTCAAGTCCCTTCTCAACCCCATCGAAGAGGTCCCAAAGACCATCAACCTTCTCGCCGCTACAACCTTCGTTTCTGAGGTTACTGCTCCTACCATCTCTCTCATTGCTCCTCTGCTCATTAGAGGCTTAGATGAACGTGCGACCGCTATCAAACGTAAAGTCTCCGTTATCGCCGACAACATGTCCAAGCTCGTCGGCTCCGAATACGTTGTTCGTCCATTCCTTCCTGCACTTCTCCCTCGCTTGATCAAAACTGCCGAAACCATCGCCGATCCCGAGGCTCGCTCAGTTGCCAACCGGGCTATCGCAACATTGCGCAGAATCGGTAAAGTACCCGAGACCTCTGACGGTACCGACCTTCCCCCTCTCAAGATCGCTCAAGGTCCTGATCTTGCCACCAACCTCGTAGCTTTGATCAAGAAGCAGGGCGGCGTGTCTGTGGAACAGACCAATCCTGCTCTTTTGTATTCCGGTGTACTGGCTGCGTCCCTCGTCAATGCTCACAACTTTGAGCAACGCGCTTGGGAAGCGACTCTCCCTCGTTACATCGAGCTCGCCGTGCCCAAATTCGAGTCTGGTCCCGTGGTGCGTGAGCTGCTGCAGAAGAAGGCAGATGAACAGGAAACCACCGAGCTCAAGTTTGACGACGAGGAGGAGGGCGAAGATCTGTGTAACATTGCCCAGTTCAATCTGGCGTATGGCGCTAAGATCCTCCTTCACCACGCCTCTATGCGACTCAAGCGTGGTCATCGTTACGGTCTTCTTGGTCGTAACGGTACCGGTAAATCGACGCTCATGAACGCCATCGTCAACAACCAGCTCGACGGCTTCCCTCCTCCCACTGAGGTTCGTACTTTCTACGTCCAACATGACATCGACGGTTCAGAGGAAGACATTTCCATCATTGACTGGGTGATGGCAGACAAGCGTCTGCTAGGGACTCCCGAGGAGCAAAAGAAGACTCTCGAGTCTGTCGGGTTCGACGAAGCCAAGCAAAAGAACTCTATCGGTTCGCTTTCTGGTGGTTGGAAGATGAAGCTTGCTCTCGCTCGTGCCATGATGTTCAAGGCCGATATTCTTCTTCTCGACGAACCGACCAACCACTTGGATGTGCTCAACGTCACGTGGGTCGTCGACTATCTCACTTCGCTCACACACTGCACATCTATCATCGTCTCCCACGACTCGGACTTCCTCAACCGAACCATCACCGATGTCTTGCACTTGAACAACTTCAAATTGAAGCGATACCCCGGTAACCTCCAAACGTTTGTCGGGCACGTACCCGAGGCCCGCACATACTTTCAGCTCGACGTATCTGATACGTACCAATTCAAGCTGCCCAACCCCCCGATCCTTGATGGCGTCAAGACCAAAGAGAAAGCGCTGCTTAAAATGCGTGATGTGTCCTTCCAGTACCCTGGTTCAGCTGTCCAACAGCTGTACGACGTCTCGCTACAAGTCTCTCTCTCCTCACGTGTCGCCATCCTTGGTCCTAACGGTTCCGGTAAATCAACTCTGGTCAAGCTGTTGACCGGTGAGACTGAACCCAACATCAAAGGAACGGTCTGGAAACATCCCAACTTGGTCATCGGCTATGTCGCCCAACATGCTTTCCATCACATTGATAATCATCTCGACAAGACACCGCTCGAGTACATGCTCTGGCGTTACCAAACTGGAGAGGACCTTGAAGAGATGAACAAGGCCAACCGAATCATGAGCGAGGAGGAGATGAAGAAGATGAAGGAAGGAGCCATGATCCTCAAAGAGGGTGTGAAGCGGTTCATTGAAGAGATTGTGGCCAGGAAGAAGCTCAAGCAATCTTACGAGTACGAGGTTTCGTTCAAGGGCATGTCTTCCGCCGAGAACATGTGGTTGCCTCGTGACGAGCTCATCACTCGTGGTTTCGAGAAGAAGGTTATGGAGCTTGATGCGCGTGAAGCTCAACGACTCGGTCTCCTTCGTCCTCTCGTCCGACGTGAAATAGAAAAACACTTTGAAGACTTTGGTCTGGAAGCCGAATTTACATCTCACAACACTATGCGTGGTCTGTCTGGTGGTCAGAAGGTCAAGATTGTTCTCGGTGCCGCCACATGGCGTCGTCCCCACATCATCTGTTTGGATGAGTGAGTTGTATCTTTGTCTCTTGGCTGGTCGTTGATTGCTGACTCTGCAGACCTACCAATTATTTGGACAGAGAATCACTCGCCGCTCTTATCGCCGCTTTGAAATCTTTCGAAGGTGGTGTGCTCATTATCACCCACAACCGAGAGTTCTCAGAATCGATTTGTTCCGAAGTGTGGGCCATGCGTGACGGTCATCTCGAAGCTTCAGGTCACAACTGGGTAGAAGGTCAAGGTTCCGGTGAACGTATCGACAAGAAAGGGGGAGGAGAGGAAGATGAGGTGCAGTATGACGCTCTGGGTAACCCCATCGCCGCCGTTAAGAAGGTACAAAAGAAGAGCGCTGCTGAATTGCGGAAAGCCAAGAAGGACCGTATGGCTCGACGAAAACGAGGAGAAGAGGTGTTTACGGATGAGGAGTTGTAGGGGGGAGGGTTGATATTTACACACTCGATGTAGACGTTTTAACGATCATCCATGGCTTCTTCCCTTGACGATCTCATAGTCGATGTAGATTCCGTCTTTGTTGGCTGGTCCTCCCCCTCGGTTTCTTTATTTAGATTTCTGTTCGTATCCCGACATTCCTTTTCTCACGCATCTGGTCTTTAAGCATATGACCATGACTGTCATTAGTTTTCTTTGTTCATATAGCGTTGATGCATCGTGTTATTGCTTTCTCGAGTAGCACTGGACACTATCTGCAGACAACAAGTACGAGTAACAAATGCACGTGACTGAACCTCTTGGCCTCCGTCATCGTCTTCCTCTCAAATCCTCAACCTCTCTACCTCGTACACTACACCCCCGGCATCTCCATCCTGCCATCGGCTCTCTTCAAAACTTGATCATATACCTTCCTTTCTCCTTTCATCTCGGATTTCAATTTCCCCTGCGGTCTGCCGTCTGCGGGTTGTGTTTTGTGTGAGAGTGGGAAGTGGTCAACCGATCAATGGGGAATGGCGCCCCACACTTCCTAGACTTTTGAATATCCATCAACCATACGACAATCTCTCTCCATCTCTTTTCCTCTCTTCCTTTCTCTATGTCTCCACCCTCAAGAAATCATCTCAAGCAAGTCAAGCAAAACGACCTTCAAGTCTACTATAAAGATCGAATTGTTACCCGACGAAGTGAAGATAGTTAAAAAGTTAAAACACTTCTCAATCATGCACCCATCAATCTCCCTTCTCTTAGCTCTCCTAACTCTCTCTTTCATCTCTTACCTTCTCCCTATAATACCTTCTCATCCTCGTCTTTTCCTAACTCTCATAACATTCTTAACATCTATCTTCTTTCTCAGATCATATGGTCTTCCTCTTTATCTACGTTATCGGACTCAAATACGTTTCGCATCAATCTCCCTTCTCTCAGCAAAGGGTTTGGAATGGAGACCTGCACATAAGAGTGGAACGATAGTTCCTACGGTTAGGATCGAAAAGGTTTGTTGGGCTTGGGGAGGTAGGAAAGGGGATGATGTTGGTTGGGTCGTTTTGAAGTTTGAAGGGATTGCCGTGAGGGCTAGAGAAGGTGATGTTTTGAGACAAGGTGGAGGTGGGAAGGTGAGTTGAATCAAATCCCTTCTCTCTATCCTCTGCTTGGATCAGATTCATATCGTACCTTCACTAAATTTTAAAATGGTTGTGCCCTCTTTCATTTGAAACATCCCCTGTTTCTTCGGGCGTTTGTCACCTTTCGCTTCAGCTATCATTCCCCTGTAAACTTATCTTTCCTCTTTACCATCTGTCTTCCCTCGTCTCGTTCTTCAGATTTTGCTCTCACAGCATCTGAGAATGAGTTCAGTCGCTGATAGCAGTCTCATCGCGGTCCATCCAAATTGCGCGATGGTATCATGTGGTCTCTTGGTTTGACCATCAACCATTGGGCCGGACTCAGTCGACTTCTCTCCATTCAGATATCCGACTTCAGAGTCATTTTCGACGATTTGGATGGACTCGAACTGACGGTTCACGATGCCAGAGCAGGCATCAAAGTGGTCTTTGAAAGTAGAGGTGAAGAAAATTTCCTAGATGCGGCTTTCTGCACATCACCTACGTCTTCACCTACGGGAGGATATTTCTCTCCCCCTATCTCTCCCATCCGTACTCATCCCCAACCAAGCTTCTCAGACTCTTTCAGTCCTTCCCGACATATCATCTCCCCTTCAATTTCGACATCAGCCCCTTTACCTCGAGCTACTAGAAGACGAAGTTCTCTTCTTCAACCGAGATTACCTCCCTCGTTGACAGGATTCTGGCGACGTTTGTTTGGACGTGGTACAGGTTCGGTATCTATCACCGCCTCTGTGGAAGGTTTAGCGGTTATTCTTCCTCATTTCAATCCCCCTCAGCCAGTATCGGCCAAACCTTCAATGCCCGATTTGTCGACGAGAAACAATGGCTTAGATCACAAGTCTTCCATAAGATCGATGAAAGAGGACAACAGACCAACTGTTTTTCCGAGTAGTGGAGGCAAATCTATCCTCCCCACGACCAATTCCAGATATGCTATCACCAGTGGCGATGGAGGCTTTGAGAAACTTTTAGAGGTGGATGGACGCAGTAGTGCAGTGCTAGGAGTGGGTTTTGCGCCGAATAAGATGTTAGGAGGAGAAGGCACGCTCAGTGCGGCAGTGAGTATAGGTGAGGTGCGGACGAGTCTGGGAGCTCTGGAAAAAGTGCAGGAGATGATACAAGAACGTAGACCTGAGAAATCCCCTAGTGAAAGTCCAAAATCTGGTATATGGGCACCTCAAGGAGCAGCCAGGGTAAGTCAGCTTCGACATGATGCCCATCACTTAACGCTGATGAGTAGATCGCATTGAGATCCCTCGAGTTCGTCTCCCTCTCGTTCGCCCGTATCACATTCTGCCATTTTCTCCCTTCTGCACGCAACTCCGCTCCTCCATCTGAGTCGGAAACATCGTCATTGCAAGAAGAAGACCTGTTTCAATTATCTTTGTCCACCTCCAACCTCCACTGTCGACTCTCTGCTGCTGATTCGAGCAACAACGATCGGGCCCGCAATGCATTCGGTCACAACACCTCTCCTGCCTGTCGAATCAAGGGTATCGCATACTCGGCAGGGTGGACCAGCATCGAGCTACAATGTCTTGCACCTGGTGAACGTGAAGATGAGCGGGACCAGCTCTTCGCCGTGAGAGAAGCAGACTTTGAGGGCTTGTCCACATGGCGTCCGAGGGGATGGTCTAGGGAGGAACTTTTATTCTCCAGCGATCCCAACATTGCATTGTTGGTTGGAAAAGGTGATATCGCATCGATCGATGTGGCTGGTGATGTTCAGCTTTTGACCGATTTGGTTCATGCTTGGAAACGTAGTAGACCGAGGGAGGTGACACCGGAAAAGGTCGAATACGTCAAGGCGACAAAGAGAGATTTCGGCCTTCCACCTAGAATGCGAATGGTGATGGACATAGGTCACGCCATGTTGGTTCTGGCCGATCGTGTGTCTGAGCACAAAACCACCCTCGCTCTCGCATCGGATGGTTTACATCTAGGTTGTTTCACAAGTTTTCAAGATATCATAGGTCGACGACCCGATCGATCTTCTACAAAGGAAGCTTTCAGACGAGAAGACGAACTTCGTGGTCGAAGGAAAGAGATGCAAGGTGTCGATTATACCTTACCTGTATCAATGTTGAAACCTCAAGTACGTCGAAGACATTCTACAACTCCGGCCAAATTACGTGATGACTATTCCATGTCCATGTCTTTCGAGGCTAGTTTGGCATTACAACCCATGTCTCTACATTTGACGCTGGGAGAGAAAGATCCGAAGACGTATCATTTAGCCACCGTCGGAACGGCTTTCGGAACGTTTAGTGGAGACGTATTGGGTAAACACGATATCGATCAGCGTGGTTCTGAGAAGGCAAGATTGGAACAAACATCAATATCCGCTGCTATAGATTTAGGTATTGAATCAGGGATCAAAGTCAACATGTGGCAACCTGCTGTACTTGATGCTCTCGTCGCTATGGGTGGTGAACGTCGACATGCTGAACCACAACAACCTCGTTTGATACAGAGTAATCTACTTGACCGACTCCCATCTGGAATATCGGCACGTCTATCCTTGGGTTTGATCAGTATTTTCGTAGGTCACAAAGACCCAAATCCCCATTGTTCCCTTGAACTCATCCGTGGTCTTTGGATCCAAACACAAGCTACTTTCGAATTTGCCCATTATTCCAATCGTGCCCAAGCTCTCAACTCTCGTCATCCTTTGAACGGACCTCAACGAGCCAAACTTCGTCTTCCTGACGATATCACCACCCAAGCCCTGGCGGTATACTACCAGGTCTCTTCCACCGGTGGAAGAGCCGCATTGACGTCTGCGGTGTTAGTGAACTTCTTTGTCAAACCTATTTGGCATGGTCAAAGATTTACCGATGCAGGAGGAACCTCTATGTCTCACGCGAATACAAGACCTGTACAACAACCTCAAGCGGAGGATTATGTTGGGTGGGAGTTCAGACGACCTAATGGCGGTGATTCGGCAGGTTGGGCGGAGTCTACAAATGCTCTTCCACCGTTAGAGACAACAGGAACAGATCAGGCTCAACAGCCGCTGATCAGAATTCATGAAGGACGATTCACATTCTTCTTCTCTCGAGCTACAGTCAATGCTCCCTTGAGCAAACGATGTCATGGCAAAGTCGACAGTGTTAGAATACGTGGTGACATGTCACACATCTACGCATCTCTACTAGCTGTTTTAACTTTGAAAAAACTACATAAAGCATGGAGAAAGCCACATCCTCCGAGTAAAATCCCACGACAACACACGGGATTAGATGTCGAGATCAGTCTTCCGCGCGTATTACTACATATTGGGTTCCCTCTGCAAGAACAAGTTTTCATACATATGACCAATAGTATGATTTCCAAACATACCGATACCGGTATACGTGGGAGGGCAGAGGCGGTACTTGTTCACGTTCCTTCTCCGATGCATCAAGGATCGTGGGATGAACTGGGTCGGATCAAGGAGCTCTCCGTGGTTGCGGCTCCATTGGGTGAACCTCCTGAATTTCATATTGGCGGAGAAGCATTACGAATCCGTGTCCCTCATACGTATGAATTATCAAAGCTCATACTCAATATCAACGTGTCAATCAAGAGTTTAAAGCTGCTCCTACTTGACATCTTCACTGAAAATCCTCCAGATGGATTTCGAACGGTACGAATACCGGAAGCTGAAGGTCCGAAGAGAGTTCCACCTTTGCATTTTTCGTTCAAACATGTCGACATTGAAGCAAGGGATAATCCTATCGAAACTAAACTAAACATGATCTGGCGAGTAGGTTTAGTAGCTCAAAAAGCTAGGAATGAATTAGAAGACGAGTTTGAGAAAAAAGTTCGAATCATCTCTCAAGCTGAAGCTGAAGAATTTTCAGACGATGATGTTTCTACCACTATCAATATTCCTAGTCATGGTTCCAAATTTTCACAAAAACTCACTCCGAAACATAGCGTATCATTAGACGAAGCTCGATATCGATTAGATTGGTATAAATCTCAAAAATGGATCCACCGCATTTCTTCAGCAAGGGAGGAACAAAAACGTCGTGAGACTGAAGCTGTTCGACCTTTTCAAATACCTCACGTTTCATCTCGTCTCCCGATATCCGTCGTGGGACCAGTTTGGGAAGCTCCATTATTCCGTTCAACATTTGAAGATTTCAAAATGTCCATCACTCAACCAAACATGAATCGAGAGGAGATTATTGAATACATGGGAGAATGTTCGGCACCATTTCACCCTGATACACAGTTCACACTAATGGTACCACTTCAGATCAATTGGACAATGTCACATGCCGAATGGCGTCTTCGAGATTATCCATTATCAGTAATCAAGATACCGAGATTAGAAGATAATTCTCCTGCTTGGCATGTAGAATCGCCATTCATAATTGCCGAAGAATTAGCCGGAGAAGATTCTATTACCTTGGTACCTACACCTGTCATACCTGCCGGTTTGGGAGATACAAACGCAAAACCTTTTCAATTACAAATAGCCAAAACCATCATGCCCGTGAAGACTTATGCAAGACCAGAAGTTCATGTGATGAGTAAGAATACGACAGAGTTTACTTGGGGTAATTCTTATCAACCTGCCATACAGGATTTGACCAGGGTTATAGAGACTCTGAGTCACCCGCCGAGGGATCCAAGTCCAAAGATTGGATTTTGGGATAAGTTTAGGTTGATATTACATTGGACAGTGAGAATACGTTTTGATGGGATAGTCCATTTACATCTGAAAGGTTAGTAGTCATCCCTCCTACAGTTGTAACCCCCAAACTTTCATCACTGATTCTGAGTTGACTAAAGCTGTGGTTTTGTGTGGAGGATTGACATGTTGACTGATATCAGGCTCTCGTGATCCGTATTATATCGAAGGTCTCGGTGCTGGTTTTGCCTTAGCTTGGCGAGGTAACACAAGACTCGAAATTGGACATGCCAATCCTCAATTCGAACTTATACAAATTTCAGCTGATAGTTTGATGATAGCTATTCCCGAGTGAGTTTCACCCTTCCTCTTCTTCCCACCACCAGCCTGAACCCTAAGCTCAACTCTCCCCACAACCACCACCACCACCCCGAACCCTAAACCCAACTCTCCACTTCTCCGCAAAAGGCTAGCTGGCAGTATTGATTCTCTGTTACTGAAAGCTGACATTCAGTTTGTCCGCCTTACGAGATGATACTTTAGTCGGAGCGGAAGGACCAGAAGCTTCAGCACCAGTACCTCCCAATGCGGATCATACTTCTCTCATCAATAGACGGTACACAAAACCTTGTGCCAGGTTCAACAATGGGACTCGAGTAGGTTTTGGTTTCCGTTTTGAGAGAACTTGTCGACCGTGGAGCTGCGATAAGTGTGGGAGTACGGAGAATTTGATGCATCGACAATGTAGGATTTTCGACTTTAAACAGCATCAAGAGGTGATTCTGAGGAGTGAAGAGGCTATCAAGGAGGATGAGAGAAGACATGGACATGTGAGTGTCGTCATCTCTATCTTATCTTCTCTTGTCTCTAGGTGCATCCGTCTACACACTACAATTTGATTGACCATGGGCATGCGTTCGATATAACGTCCAATGTATCAGTAGGGAGGGGAAGAACATGCTCAAGCGATGTCTCAGGCTACGAGCTGACAATAGTCTGTCGACTCATACGAAGGCTTCCGTTCAGACTATATCCACTTCTCAGTATCTCTCGTCAACTCCACTGGCGACCAACTCGCCCCTGACAGTCTCAACATCGACAAAGACAACAGTCTACATCTCAGTCCTAAAGCTTTCGCCCACTTCTTCGCCTGGTGGAGACTCTTCGATCACACTTTGTCTCTACCAATCCGTCAGGGAAGTCTCTTTCCCAACTTCCCAACTCAAAGCAAATCATTCGGTCGAAGTTTAGGAACGATCAAATATCGTTTTGACCTCTCCCCGCTATACCTCTCCCACGTGTACTCGCAAATGCGTAAAGATTTATGGACGCTCGGAATGTCGGAATGTCTCGGTATCAAAGCACGATTTGGTCGGTTCCGTGCCGATGCTCATCAGCGAGCGCAGGAAAAGACTGTGCACCACGAACAACTCAATCGTACCATCGTTGTCACTCATAAACCATTCTATGCGGCCGATCTACTACTTGACGACATTGAGGTCAAAGGATTACGAGCGCATTTTGAAGAAGCATGGAAACGTCGAGGACCGGATGAAGTCATTTCGAACCTTCCCAAAGTATCAGAAATGGATGTTACCAAGAAAGGATGGTACAGTTTCTTCGATTACGTCGATGCGGATCGTAAACCTCTTGACAAGGATCCGAGATTAGATGTGGTAGAGTTAGGCGATTGTCCTCAGGTATTCTTCTCCAAAAGAGTCAAAGCGAAACCGTCAAGTCCCCACGAAGATAATGGTACGAACGGGATGGCCTCTGAAAGTCATCAAGAGATGGAAAATACAAAGTTCGGACATGAAAAATCACATATTTGTTATTTAGGAGCAGCGGAGGGTGTGGGGCCTACTCAACGACGTATAGTCAGTATGAGGATACGTCATTTAGAACGTGAGATCCAAGACCTCCTCGATCTGGAAAATACCCCGGAGAAGAAATCTGCAGAAGTAAGTGATTATCCAAAATAGGAAGAGCAAGACTGATGTGCAGCTTCGAAATCAAACTATTCAAAGATCACTCAAGGCCTTGAAACGACATTTCGAAGAATTACAGAAAGAGGAGAAGAGAAGGATGGATGATAACACTTTCGAAGCTGCCTATAAGCAAGGTGTAATAAATGGTTATCCTCAATCGCAACAGGAGCAAGAAGCCCCCTTCGAAAATACTTTTCACGTTCATTGTCCTCGTATCTCATGGACAAACGAATCGAGGAATATCCTATTTGGGTGGTACTTTTCCAGTCGGGATCGTAAAAGAGAAGAATACACCGTATCGCATGCCTCGCTTCGTGGAGTTCGGGATGGTCTTCGACGTAGATTGAACAGACCCAAGAATGGTCTGAATCAGGATGATATTGATGTTGAGATCTACCCCGTCCCTGCTCAGATGGCCGGAGTCATGGTGGATGGATTGGAGAAACGATTACGAGATCCTAAAGCTTGTCGAAATCAATTCAGACTTCCTGTAACTCATCAGCATGATCATGAAGATATACGAAAACCCTCGATTGGACTACCGACTGAATGTACTGTCAAACCGAAGAATCGAATTCTCCTCCTAAAACCTCAGGTGGCGCTCAAGAGCAATGTTGATACCGAGTCGATGATCCTTTTAGCCCTGGAGGAGATTTCCTTCAAAGCTTACGACATTGTTGATGAGAATGCCATGGATCTAGTTACTGCTGAGGTCATGGCTCGGTGAGTCCCTCTTCCCCCTCTGACTTATGTGTGGGCTGACAGATAGACAATATGTATCAATGAAAGGACTTCAAGCTTTCTATCCCAATTCTGAAATGATGGAACGCGAAAGAAGTATGGATGGTATTCCCAAAGGACTTGATTTCTTACCTCTGGAGATCTTCCTCGACGTAAAGAGCGAAGCCACGGATTATGATCGTATTGTTCTCAAGACGGACGCAGCTATGTCTCTTGACAGATTCAATCATCTCAGGGTTCCTAGAGGACTCGAATGGCCTGAAGCGATGGACGATGCAGGCGAGCCGATACATCATTTACGTCTTCATCAAGATCTAACCACCGTTATAGTCCCACGTCTTGTTCTCTCAGCTACCTCTCAACATTATTCGGCATTGTACAACGTCGTCACTGATTTGTTAATGTATCAAGATCCCGCCCATCGTCGACGGTCTCAACGTGTCGATGAATTCTTGCTTCAATTCGATAGACGAGATCGAGATCCGTCGACATTCTTGGTGGAACTGTTCAACCTACAACGTGAGATCCGAGAGCTTGAGGAGAAACATAGAGGATACGAACAAAATATCGATCGGATCGATGATGTCGGACGTCAAACTTTGGTACAGATCCGAGCGGATCATTTGGAATATATGGACCATCTCTTTACTGTATTCGACGCCATTTCCGTCAATTTCGCTAAAGACGACGCTCGAGCCATGCTAAAGGCTTCTTCTCGATTCGAAGTTCGAGCAGGAGGTATCGCATGGCACATGTTACAAGATACTTTTCAACCTCTTATCAAACTGGACATTGAACATACTCTTTTATCATATCTTCGAAACAAAGATGGATCTACCGATCTCGCTATTGCCGTGGGTGATCTCGCGGCTCTCAACAGTAATGCCGATGTTCTTTACCCGGAAGTGTTGTTGAGATGGAACGAAATGATCAAAGGGAAAAGAGGTGAACAATCTCCTTTGCTCATGGGACGTGAAGCTCCTGCCTCTCTGTTTTCTATCACTTGACACAGTAGGAGTATACCCATCGTCAAGGACGTAGTCATGAATTTACATCCTGTACGTTTCAAGTGGAAGAACAATATGGACATCTCATCGTTGATTACATCTCCGACGTGGGAAACCAATGGAGAATAGTGATGGAAAAAAGAAAAAGAAGAAACGAGTGGAACGTTCAAAATCACCTCAAAAACAACATTTAACTCCTTTTAGCGCTGTACATGGGAATGGGACTGGTAGTGGTTTTTTCAGTACAAACGTTTCGACTTTATCTCTACCATCACAAATGCCACCACTTAGTCGATCACATTCTGAAGTTTCAATAGCTTCACAAAAAAGTGGAACGGCATCAATTCATTCCATTCGATCAAATTCCTCTGGAGAAGATTCGAAGAATAAAGCTTTCCCTCTTACTTCGAATTTACGTGATGCTCAAGAAATGCGTCGTCGTGCATCTTCCATCAAAACATTCGAGAGGATCGTATTTGGGAACACTGCTTTTATTCTTGATTTCAAAGGTGATGGTAAACGACGTAAACTGGGTATACCACTTCCTGACGTTGTCGGATTTCAAGTTCGGACACCTGATTGTGTTTATCTGCGCAAGTTATGGACTTACGAAGATGTTTTCGAACATGTTAAACGGGATGTTCGAGCACATTTATGGGCGCAATCAGGTGATTTGTTATCACAAATCTTACGAAACACTTCTTTATTAAGAAGTAAAAAAGGATTACAATCGATGAGTGCGAAACATGATTCAACCATTAAACATCTTCAAGCACCATTACATAAACTCACCAATGGGACAAGTGGATCTACGAATACAAGAGAATCGAAATTGAGATATCATCTGGAACCTTCACTTTCTTCAGAAGGTATGGAAGGTGATAGTTCTGGACAAAGTAGTGGTGGATTATCTAAATTAGGTTCAAGATTGACCATTGAAGGCTCAGAAATCTCAAGAGCTATATCTAAATCTAGTGGATTAGATGTTTCACCAATCAAAAGACATAATAATATGCCTTTGGATCCTTTGTCTCCTCAAAGTCAACCGAGTTTAAGAAGTAAAAGTCCTTTCACACCTGGAAGAGATTCGGTAGAAGATGAAGAAGATGAGAGGGATGTCAGTTTGGGTAAAGAAGTGGGGAGAAAAATGAAAGGGTTTTTACACAAGTTGAGACCGAGAAGAGCGAGTGAATCTGTCAATGTTTCAGGTGACGAGGTGAGTCAAACTTCATTTTTTTTCTATGGATTCTTGTTTTGAAATATGGACCAGGACTGATATGATAGCCGACAAGTCCGACATCTGTAAGACCGATAAGACGAGAAGCATCACCTGCACCTCAATGGGGATAAAGATTGAGATCTTGTATGTAAATGGTTTTGTGGGGTGTAGAAAGAGTTGATTCTTGGGTGCCGTGCAATACAAAAGCTAAAAAGGAATATGGGATTGATGCATGCTTGACTTGTACGTTGCTTTGGTGTTACAATTTGGCTTGAGAAGTTATGAGAGATCCTCCGTCTATAGGTATGATGGTTCTGGTTGTCAATTACACTGGCAAAAGTTATCAAAACACTGTCTTGGAACAAGTCCGAGGTGGGAGAAGAAGCGCGATTGAGGTGGGAGGTGGTGGTGGTTTACAGGGGTGGCAAGGGGGAGAGACAACAACACACCCAGTCACCCATTCTCCACCCTTCCCACTCAACCACAAACAAGCAGCAATCACATCTTCCGGTTTACCAATACGTTTCATAGGTAAATTCTGAGCTATATCATCTTCGAAAGCTTCCAACGTCGCCGCCATCATTTTCGATCTGAACGGACCTAGTGCCAGAGCGTTGACGGTGATTTTAGGTCCTAATCGTTGAGCGAGATGTTTGGACAGCCTTGGGGGTTAGTGTTCCACTTTTTATTTCTATCTTCATGGTGATTCGAATCACAGTCGAGTTGATAAACTTCTGTATTCTTATATCTTCTATGTTGGGATTACCCTCTGTTCTGTATAGACCCTAGAAGCGTGCTTTGAGGGTAAGGGGTTGTCTCTGGGGTGATTTGGGTGAGAGATAGAGGAGGGAAAACGAGGTTAAGATGGAGGAGAGAAAATGAGGTTAAAATAGAGGGGAGAAAATGAGGTTGAGATAGAGGAGAGAAAGGGGTTAAGGGGACAGCTTAGGAGAGGGTAAAGTGAAAAATGTGAGATGAGCAGAAAGAAGGTGAGAAAGATTCAGACTTACATATGTAAAGCAGCTTTCGAAGTTGAATAAGCATAGGTTTCTAAACCAGGTACGTTTATTCCATTTATTGATCCAATCTGATTTTATCAGATCCCCCCCAATTTGAAGGCTTTGGAAAAGTGAAGACACTGAAAAAGAGAAAGACACTGAAAAAGAGAAAGACACTGAGAAAGAGAAGACATTGAGAAAGAGAAGACATTGAGAAAGAGAAGACACCGAAGAAGAGAAGGACTATGGACTAACATTGATAATCCTTCCTGACCATCCTTCTGTTTTCTCCAATAACGGTCTGAACTTTTGACAAAGTGTAAATACTCGTTGAACGTTTAATGTCATAAGTTTGGTCCAGGCTGTATCGGGATACGTATCGAATTCTTCTCCCCAAGTGGCACCGGAATTGTTGATCAAGATATGGAGGACTAGAAGGATGTATCAATATAATTCAACTCTAAACAGGAAACTATGATGGACTTTACTTCCCTCTGAAACGAATTTATTCTTCAGGGAAGATGTCGGGTTTATCAGGTATCTCATGTACGACGAAGAAAAGGGAGTTTTGATGACAGAGAAAGGAGTTTTGATGACAGAGACAGGAGTTTTGATGACAGAGACAAGGTAGTAATTGTTTGACATTAGGATAAAGATGGAAAAACAAGGTCAGGACAGAAAAAAGGAGATGAAGATTAAGACAAAAGAACTCACCTCCCTCTCTTCGTTCAATCTCTTCAACCAATCCAACACATTCTTCGTATTTTGATAAATCAGCAGGTAAAGCAAAACACTTTCCTCCTCCAGGGATTTCAGATAGACGTTTTGAAGTTTCCATACATGTTGTAATTGATCGAGAAGAGATGTAAACTTTAGCACCGTTATGAACGAAACCTGATGCGATCTGGCATTAGGACCGACAGCAGTTATGCCACTCCATTATTCCTTCGAGTGAGATGGATTGGACGGGAAGAGTGAATATGAAATCATGGGAGAACACAATGTTGGGAAGTATACGTAGGAGTGAGAAATATGCTAGGGGCGATAGAAATGAGGAAGAAACCGCAGAGGTGAAATATAGGTCTTACCATTTCCCCTACACCTCTACCACCTCCCGTGATGAGGACCACCTGATCATTAACATACAAGTTTGGAGTTGATGATGATTTACAGTAGCCTACACTTACTTTACCTCTGACATCGAAGAGAGATACGACCTTCATGATTGTGAGATTGCAAGTAAAGTAGAGAGAATCTAGAGGTGGAATAGTGAATTCCGTAAAACACCGGTTATATCTTTACAACCGGTCCTCCACTTTACCACCCTTGAGTCGAGACATAGAGTAGGCATATGAACATGACTTTAGGTCTTTGTCAGGTAAATGAGTAAGTTCTCTTGCTAAGATGTATCACACGAAAGAGAAAAGTCGCAATATAAACAGGGTATCATGATATCTGGTAATGTCTACTTCCTAAAGGGTATAAATTGCAGTCTTTCACCGCTTTTATACCGAGGCTTTCCTCCCAGCCCCTCGTTCTTTCCTACTCTACTCTACTCTCCCTATTCTCACTCCACATATTCCTACGCCACCCACCCAACAACTGTTTCACTCCTCAACTACGCCATTATACCTACTCACCATCTCATGACCACCCCACCTCACTCATCGATTCAGATGAACGGCTTATCCCACGACGCCATCACTCCAAATCCGACCCTTTGCTTCTGCTCCTCGTCGCTCGAGCAGGACTGTCCACAGCTCTCAACTCTCCGATCTTACGTCTCCTCGGTGTCGTAGTAGGTTTGTCCTCCGCTCCACTCGCATCAGAGTTCTGCGCACTGGCTTGGGTTTGAGAAGCGATACGTGCTGATTTCCTCGACGGAGTAGGTGGAGCTGAAGCGGTGGATTTTTTATGTTTCGCTGAATAGATTTTGTCCGTGAATGGACCTTCGAATTTCAGAGCGACGCTATAGACTGTCCAGATGAATCCAGCGAGAAGGATTCCGACGGGAGATTGGTATCTGATATCAGCGCCTGAATGTCGAAATGTTTCAGGTCAGCCAGCTCGGACAAGAGATTAGGGGACAATAGTTGAGAGCTTGGTGAGAAAGGGAAGGATGAAAGAAGAGAAGGCGGAGAAGGGTGAAAGCAGAGAAGAGGGGGAGAAGGAGACAACTCACAAAAAGGCACCTCCGAGGAAAGCAAGAGAAGAGCCGACATACATCGGATCAGAGAGGATATTGAATGGGAAATTGGTAACGCGGTGCGACATGAGTATACCGAAATAGTCGCCGAGGTAAGTTCCTATCTGTCAATTTCAGGTCATGTGAAGGATACAACTCTTCGGGGATAAAACAACAGCCACAGACTCAAAAGTGGGTTTATAGTCTTTCCAAAGAACTGGGAATCTGGAAAGCAAATATTGCAGATTCCTCACGAAATGGACTAGTAAGGAATGTAAGAAGAGGCTGAGATTGAGATGAAAAAGAATCTGAAAGTGAAATTTAGCTTGACTTACCTGTTATACCCAAAGCATAAATAGAAGTAATCACTAAAACCTGTCCGACGAGTAATAACGTCCATCCTGATATTTTGAAACCAAAATGAGCCAATACGGCCATTTGAGGCTGCTCCCGTAATGCTTTTTCAACGCTGAAGGTCAGTTTTGTTCTTTTCAATTTACGCCAATTTTGAACATTTCGCTATAGCATCCTCATCCAACACTGTTGGAGGAGGGGGTTGTGATTCCATTACCACTCACAGAGCATCACGTAAGATACCAAGTGAGAAAATGTTGAAAGCGAGTAAATAACAACCATTCTGAGCAGATCCAGATAATTTGGTCAATGTTTTATTATGATATTCTGATTATATCAGTTCTTTGTTCTATTCCCATCGTATCATCGTCACATCACACATCATCTTATCATCTTCTCACCTGGTCCCCCTCCCAATGCCTAGAAAGACTCGTCATTTAAGACACATTCAACCTCCAGAGAAACTTAGTCATTCAACCTCCAGAAGAACGAAGAAGAAGAAAGTTTATGATTAATATGAGACCAAGATCACAGACGTGTAGTAGTGGCATTGTTGGAATGACTAGTGTAGTAATCATCGAAAACAGTCCATATCATCGGTGTCAACCATTAAGATAGGGGGAAAAGATATAAACGTACCATTCCTAGCTACCAAATTCCAAAAAATAGGATTAAACAAAATCATCCCTCCCGCCAACCACAAACTCGGTTGTTTGAAATCTATCAATTCCAAACCTGTTTTATAATTCCCTCTAGGTTCGTTGAAATGATGTAGAGGGAACCAAGTTGGTAAATTGTCCGAAGCGAGGAATTTCGTTAATCCTTGAGGAGGTTTGAAACTCATCTTTGAATGACGTATCGTTGATCTTTGGGTAGATGAGAGATGTGTAGAGTTTGTTGTGGGATTGAATGAGGTAGAGAGAGAAAGGATGACTGGTTATGAAAGGAAATATGGAGTTGTATGAGTGGAAAGATGAGTTGTTGAGAGGAGGGAGAAAGGTGTAAAGGGGGGAAAAGATGTAGATGGGGTGGCTCGTTTTTGTGTTTGGGTTTTGATGATGGGTTGAATTGATTCAAAAGTGATATTCCTCTTCCTACGGGTCATTGAAGCTTAAGTCTTTGAAGAACCCGTACGAATACTCACAAGAGTCGTAAGTAGCAAGGGTAAGTGACTTATGCAAATGCATATGTATGCATGTAAAGAAGAAAGAAGAAAGGTGACTAGGTGCATAATGATGAATGTACTCGTACTAAAGTAGATCCCATGATGGGTATTTGATGCTGGATATATTGTTGTTGTTGATGACATTCCCTCCCACCATGCCCCCATACGACTCCTACTGCTTTGATTCCAATACCGTCGCATTAGTCCATTTCCCTCTCGATGACTTCCTTCCTCTTGTCCACTCCACAGTCGGCTTACTACCACTACCAGTGCCACCACCACCACCACCACCACCACCACCACCACCACCACTACTACTGTCACTATCAATACCATCCTCATCAGCCTCATCTCTTACCAGATACTGCATAAACTTCTCATACACTGGTTTCACCTTACCCTGACCTCTCATACCCTTAACTCCACTCTTTTTCTGATATCCTGGGAGATGTTCCAGACATTTTTCCAAAACCACCTCTGTTCTCTCTTTGTATCCCAAAGCTTTTTCTCGATCAGGAAAAGAAACTTCTCTCCTATAACTCAACCAGATATAAAGCACCAAAGTCTTGTGCAACGTTTCCATTCCTGGAAGATTATCGGAGATTATTTGTGATACCGACTTTGGTTTTTCCTGTGTCTGAGATTCTTCTGATTGTACTGTCGACTTTGTCTTCGCTTGTGAATGAGATCCCTCTGATTGTGATATGGACATTGACTTCTCTTGCGTTTCAGACCCCTCTGCTTGCGCTATCGATTTTGTCTTTTCCTGTGGTCGAGACTTCTCTGAACGAGGTTCTCGTGATGATGGAGGATTTATCAAATCATTTATGACTTTTTCCATCTTTCGAAGTTGTTCATAAAATCCAGAAGAATCAAACATGTTATCCAATGTCACATGTCCTACAGAAGCGTAAGTCGAAGCGAGGGAATGATAAACTCCCAAAGCACGAGGATCTCGACCGTTAACCGGAGCATAGGTGAGAAGATCCATTTCGGACAAAGTGAGACCAGAACGGAATTCTTCAACTACTTTTGCCAAAGGAAGTTTATGTTGCATGGAACCTAAAGTCATGTTGGGTGGAACGAGGACGAGGGAGTAGACGTGATCTAACAATTCACTGAATTTCGTTTCAGGAGGTAAAAGAGCAGCTAAAGCCGACATATTTTCGAAGGGTACATCTAAAGTCGCACGAGTGATGGGAGGGAGTGGTTGGTGAAGGAGAGAACGAAGAATGGGAAGATCTGATTCATGGAAAGTGGTCACGATACCTCCTTCGGACGGTTTTTCGTCTGGGGCGATACTCGGGAGGTCTAGTTGGGGGGTGGCATGAGGATCAGGGGTGGTGGTAGACATGCCGAAACGACCCGCTCGACCTGCGATTTGTTTGATTTGAGTCAGGGAAAGTGGGACGTCTTGTTTGCCATTGAATTTATGTAGGGATGAAAATATCATTCTTTTGATTTTACTATTTCCATCAGTGACATTACCCCTCAGAACATCCACCAAAGCTTGGAGATAACAAAAAAGAAGGGTCAGACTAGACTTACAGATTCAAACCCATTCCTACCGCATCAGAAGCCACTAATACTTCCGCTCGTCCATTCTCATCGTTGAAATCCCTCGCCTGCTCCGCTCTGGTCTCTGGAGGGAGAGCACCATATACCATTGCGCATTTCTTCTTAGCGAACGATTCCACTTCCCGTCTCACGTAGAAAATTCCCGATCTGGAAAATGTTACTACACAATCTCCTTTCCTCACCCCTTTATAAGAGCTTCCAAGACTTTTGTCGGCGACTGTTAATGGCGTGAGACGATCATAACGATGAACCGTGAGTTGATCCCCACCAAACGATGCAACCATCCTCTTCAAAAGCCCAACAGTGGTTTCATCTCCACATAAATGTATCTCATGCGCCCTCAGCTTCATGACCACGTTCGTCCATGCTGACCCTCTTTGAGGATCTCCCATCATTTGTATCTCATCCACCACCACCACGTCATATGGAGACCCTAGTGGACCGGAGATAGGGAGCATTTCGACTGTACAGCTGATTAAACCAGCGTCTGGATCGACTATCCTCCTCTCTTCTCCAGTGACCAAATTACATTCTCTACCTTTACCATTCATATCCCCAACCGTTCCAAGATTCAATCTTTCCCATACCTCATGTGCCAATAGTCTTAGAGGTCCAGCATAAGCTCCTGTCCCAGCCCTACTGAGAGCTTTGAGAGCACTGTATGTCTTTCCTGAATTTGTCGGTCCTATATGAAGATGGAAGTGTCTCGACATGGAACGTGCAGATATGTATTCACCACTGAAAGGTAAATGAGATATATCCGTAACATCCAATAAAGCTCGAATATGTTCTTTGAGTTGGTCCGGTAGAGGCTGGGTGGAAATGGAGGAAAGAAAATGTCGTAGGAGGGCAGCTTCGAGGGGGACCGCAAAATTGTCAGGAGCTATGGCCTTCAGTTGATCGACATGAAAACCTGCTTTTTTTAAAGCGACAGAGGCTTCTTCGTCGGACACGACCTCCGGAAGGAAGGAAGTGAGGGAGAGAAAGTAAGATTGGAAGGAAGAATCGGCTTGGAAATCTGAGAAACCATAAGATTGCAGTTGGGCTTGTAATCGTTGCGAGGTACGCCATGTTGGAATACGTGCGAGAATGAGTCGAACGATTTCTTGAAGTGATAGAAAGGGACGGGGAAGGAAATCAGAGACTGAGAGAGGTTTCTGGGTTTGAAGTTTATGACGGAATTCATTAGCGGATTTGTACTGCTCGATAATCTCTTTTTGCTTCAAGCGATACTCTCTTGCGCCTTTCCTCGAAAGAGTGGAGGACGACGAGAAGGAACGAGAGATGCCGATGGGGATTATAAGGGAAGGGTTCCGTCTGATGCATGACCGACAAGCTTTGCACAATGGCAGAAAGCTGTCTCTTGGGGACATTTGAGGTCGGTCAAGTGTTAGTTACAACATTTTCACCCACGTCCTGAAGAAGAAGGGATTGGGAAATTTCAAACGGGGGGACGGAATAAGTTTGGCAGTGAAGACGGAGATTGAACCCATGTCCGCCAGACAGCATCCACCTTCATCCTCGCCATCAACTCTCCCTCCCTCCCTATTGTCTCCTCACCGTCAGCATCATCGTCACCATCATCCACTGCAAGGGCACGATAGACTCGCTTCAGTCAGCCACATTCCCGATAAATTCACGATTCTTTCACAGAAAGCTGCTACTATTGTCTCGGGGTCTTGAGCTAAAACGGCGGAGAAGCCTGCCGACATCCACCCCCACACGGGCGTAATGGTCGGTGAGTATCGGACATTCCTCCAAGATCTCCAAAGACTCATTCTGACTCATCAGGATCAGCACAGCCCTTGGCGCCAGCCTTTACTCCGGTTCCGGTCCCTGTACCACCCCCTTCCAAGTCTGAGATTCAGAGGAAGCTCTCACAGAAGGCATCGGTCTCTCCAAGACTGGGTGAATCACCCAAGAAGCCAAAGGTACATCTTCCTCCTTCATTCACTGAGCAGGAAACTGATGTAGTAGAAACCCATCGCTACAGGACCTCCAAGTGCATATCACCCATCGACCATGTCAGGGAACGAATCCGATACATCCTCAGTGACATCGTCTGTCCCTCCCGCTATGACCTCCCCGAATCACCCAACCTCACCCATTTTGACACCTGCGACTGGGAGTGTGGGAGGTCTCAGTGCTATAGCAGAAAGGAAAGGTAGTCACGCTGGTAGTGCCGGTGGATTTGATGATGAGATGGAGTTGGAAGATGTTGAAGAGGGTGATGAAGAGGCGAGTGGTAGTGATGAAGAGGGGCAAGAGGGGCAAGGGGAGTTGAAAAGAGGACTGGAGGGTGAAAGGGTTATAAAGAGTGGTTTTTTGTATAAGAAACAAGAGAGAAGAAAAGTAAGTCTCATCAATATCTTCAGTCACTTCACGCGGCCAATCACTCGGGTGGATGATTGAGATGATACTGATGATCAGGCATGGAAGAAAAAGTGGTTTGTTCTCAGAACAGGAAAACTTGCATATTACAAAGATAATCGGGTAAGTCTCACTCACACGAACGAAAACCAATCAAGCTGAACTTGTAGGAATATTCTTTGAGTCGAGTGATCGATTTGGATAACGTACATACAGTCGCTCCTGTTCTGGTCAAGAAGCATCCATTCACATTCGGAATAGTCACATCCAAACGGACTTTCCTTGCCAAGGCCAATAGTCAAGATGAGATGGATGATTGGGTTCGATCTATCAACACTGTTCGTCGACGACTTAGTGAACAACGTGAAGATGAAAGAACTAGACGAGAACGTGGATCTTCAACCGCTACCGCTATGTCTGTCACTCACAGTGAACATCAACCACTTTCCACTCCAACTCTGAGTTCATCTCCTACTACTCATACTGGTGGATACTTTATCGCTCGTCAACCTAGTGCTTACTCGCCTCAACAAGTCCAAAGTGGTCAATCAATATCATTACATTCTGTACCTCCACCTTCACCCGAAGCTACACGTTCGATATCTTCTCAATTGGCAAGTTTATCCATTGGTCCTAGTCCTTCTATGAGCGGTACTCTCGGTTCTCCTCGTCGACCATCTGGAGGATTTACCGGTGTACAAGGGATATCCAGATCGGTTTCAGACACTCCTACTCGAGGAGAACCATCCGCGAGTTCATATTCTTCCACTACTGGACCTTTATCAGCTTCTCCACACAAAATGCAGATCCCAGCGGTTAGCTCAGATGAGGATGATGGAGAACCTTATTTTTCTGATCCACAAGCTGCTTTTCCAAGTCAACTTCAAAGGGCTCAATCTCAGAGTCCTCAACAAATTCTTAGCCCGCCAATGAGTCCGGTGGATCCGAATAAGATTATATTGAATTCGTATCTTATGAAACGGAGTAAAGGACGAGGTAGACGTATGTGGCGGAAAAGATGGTTTTACCTTACTTCGCAGGGTTTGACATATACGAAGTCTCACATGGTGTGTTGTTTTTCCCTTCTGCTTTCCTATCGCTCTCCAGTCCTGTCTCTCTCCATCCTCCTCTGGTACATCATACGATTCCCACTTACATCCCTGATCTATATCAAGAACGATGTAGGTTTTGTGAAATCTTACACTAGCAACTTAACGTTCGCCAAGGTCTCCTCACCATTTGTCATGATTCACAACAGTCGGAGGGCAGGGACTGAGATAAATCACAAAACAAATAGATTTTCGGATATGAAGCTGATTTATAAGGACCTCAAACCCCTTCGCTTTATCCCCCTCTCATCCGTCCTCGACGCACTGGAAACATCAACCACACCATCCGATACTGATACCGACACTGATTCTCCCATTCGACAAAATACCTTTCGACGTCAAGGAGAATCCATCCGACGATCAAGTAGAGATAAAGTGAAAGGAGAAGATGATCATATGTTTCGAATAATCACAGCTAAAAGAACTTTCGTACTTTGTGCTCCTGGAGAAGAAGATGAGATTAAATGGTTGGCTGCTTTTAGAGCTTTGTTAAATCGAGAAAGATCTTCTTTACCTTCTTCAGTTCCTCCAACTCAATCTCAACAATTCCATATTCATCATCATCAATCTCATGATCAACATCAAATTCATGATCAACAAACACAAACACAAACACAATATCAAAGTCCTAAACAAATACAAAATCAAATGATTGAAAGACAAGTACCTTTTATCATGGCTCAACCACCCACTCCTGCTGGTGTGGGAAGTATGGAAGAGACTATAAGTTCACCCACTACTCAAGGTCCACCAATCATGGATCATCAAGAGGGTAAGATTGGTGGAGAGGTGGATAGAGGTAGGGAAGAGAGAGTAGAGGGGATAGGGGGTGATACTGGAGTTACAGGACTTGGAATGGGACAATCATCTTTGGTGTTAGGTATGAGAGGGAGAAGTGCGACTTATACAGCTAAGAGTGCAGTAGCAGAAGTGGTCAGACGATTTCATCCCGAACATTCGAATGCACATGAAGGTCAGGTCTGAGTAAAAGGGAGTGAATTGTATTAATTTGGTTGATCTGGAAATGGGACGATGGGATGTAAACAGGATGAGGATGAGGATGAGAATCCTTTGGTGTAGTGTGAAGTTTGCATCGAGACATGAACATTGACCAGTCGTAGTGATTATGTGACTATAATAATGTTTCTCCCTGTTTCTCAACATTTTGAAACTTTTCTGCAATCTGGGACTGTTGCTCATTGTGCAATGTCTAATTCCAAAATCCTTCAAAATTGTCTTCTTATCTTCCGATCATCCTTTTGGCAAAGTGTAACACTTGCTATTTGACTGATGTGAAAGTTGAATGTGTCATTATGTGCATGTTGTCGATGACACGGGAGAACAAACGAGTATCACCCAAGGTAGGGTCAAGGATGTAATTCTGTCCAAATGATAGGTAAAATGACCACGCAAGCCGTCCAAAACTGTCCGTTAGCAAACACATCAAACAACACAAGAAAGTCTGCAAGTGGATGAGATGAGATAAGGAAAAGATGAGGAGAGGTAAAAGGGAACAAACCACTTGAAAACTTTTGAGGGTACGTGCGGGTAAATCAAGTATGACGTTTTTACGTCTTTTCTGATCTGGAGGACCATAGCGAAGTAAAATCCATATGGAATAAAAAGCGACGGAAAAGAAATGATAGAATAAGAGCATGGGACGGGGTGTTAGACTGGTATGTCAGCTTGGATATCACCTTTACATGGATGAATCTGCCAGCTGTTTGAGGAAAGAATCGACAACGTGGTGTGTCATCACGACGGTTTCCGAAAGAAATGATTCTAGAAGGAAAGGTCATTGTGTTTTTAAAAGTTGACGATGACGATTCGACGAGATGGACATGAGACGACGCATGAATGAGGGAAAAGAACAGTAAAAAGATTGATAGAGGAGGCAGAGAAGTATATGAATTTAAGTGCAGAGTGAATAAATGCGAGAAGTCACTCACGCAGAGAGAAGTCCGACTGGTCCAGCAACACATTCACCACCTAATTCGAAATATTTGAAACATCCTTCTCGTAGTATTGCCAAATCCTCTGGGAAATGATCAGCATATAGAAACATACCCACATGTGTATCTGTAAGACGCAACACCTTACGGCCGATGGAAAGCAAAGGGGGTGTGATGAATGATTTTCACCAGAAGGAAAAGGACAACACGTCTAATGTGGATTATGTGCTGAGATTCAAACGTACCATTCGCTCCTCCGAACAAATCATATAAAGCCACACTTAAGATATTCACCACAGCCGCTAAGTGTTTTCTTCTCCAAAACCATTTTCTCACCCTTTCACCAATCACAGCCCAATCTTCTAGTCCTTCCCTACCCTCAGGCAGCTCAGGACAAGGACGAAGATACTCGGTGAGTAAGACGGCATCGGCGAATGCTACGGTCATACCACCACCTGTGAGGGGATGACGCATATTCCATGCGTCTCCTATGAGGATAGCTCCTTGTAGGGAGGACGGGGATGAGGCTTGTTGAGCTGGGGGAAGGAAAGAATTGGGCATTGTACGGAGTCGTTGAGTATCCAAGGCGTCTCGTACGGCCGAGTGGAGTTCAAGAGGAAGATGTGGGAGGTAATTATCGATGATATGTTGCTGCTGTGTCAGCCTCTTTTCTATTTCTTGCTCGTCTCTATTTGCATGTCCCACTCCTTGTCTCTTCAAAAGTTTTGCTGTGCGATTCACAAAAGTTATGCGATCATACTTTGACAAGTCAGACATGTAGGAGTGGTGTCCAACACTGAAGATGGATATAAAGTGTTTAGATGTGAGATGAAAGGGGAAGTAGGCATTAAAAGGCAAAGAGTGAAAATTGACCCACTTTCAAACTTCCATCGGCCACACTTGGCAGTTTCCCAGCTACATCAACTAACATTCTAATTTCCCTCGCTTTCCAACCTATCTGATAAAGTAAAACCGGTCCACTCGGCGTTAAACATACCGTCCCATATTTATCAATAGGTAAAGACACATCTTTCAGGATTACCCCTACAAAATGACTTCTAAAGATTGGTGTGGGTAATTTGAGTCCTGGTAGATTTCTGAATTTCGAAAATAGTCCATCGGCGATGATGGTCAAAGGTGCGTAGATGTTTCTAACGACCGTTGTCGTTGCTGATTCTTTTGCTTTGTCCATATCTGTAGATTGGGTCAAATCGGTAGAAAGGGCAGGCTCGATGGATTTGAAAGCCGCTGTGACGCCAATGATACGGGAAGTATGTTCGCATGTGATAAGATCTCGGACTGTCGCTTCGATGACAGTGAGATTAGGAGCTGAATAACAAGCTTGTCGAAGGGAAGTGATAAGACGACCATGATGGAATGATCTACCTTCTTTGTGTCCTGAGAAAGATTCGACGTACCAAGTCTGACTTTGCTCATCGGATGTTTTGAGATCATTGGGGTGTTCATTGCGGTTGGGGTGTCCATTACCGTTGACGTGTCCATTGCCATGGGCACGGCCGTTACCGTTGACATGGCGGTCATCATTGATGAGTCCGTTACCATTGGCACGGCCATTAACGTTGGAATGAACATTATTGAGTTTTTCCTTCTCTACTACTTGATGTAAACCATTTGATTTCGTATCGTTCTGATGGGAAAGGGAATGAGAAATATACACTGTTTGAGAAGAAGTCCCATTGACATATTTCTCCAACATAGGATAAGGTATCTTTACCCTTCTTTCACCCAATACCACACAATAACCTTCTACGGGAGTAGCATCTATACCTTCCAAGCATCCTTGAAGACCTAGACGATGTAAAGCCGCAACACCTCCTGGTTGTAATAATTCACCGACTATACGATCAGGTTCGGAGAGATCTCTTTCGAGTAAAAGGATAGAACGACCGGTGCTTGCTAGACCATACGCTATGGCTGTACCTGCTATACCTGCTCCTACTACGATGATTTCCGGTTGAAGAGAAGGGAGCTGGGACGGACGGACGTCAGTGTGATAGAATGAAGGGTGAAGGAAAGAACTCACATCTTGTACTGTTGTCTTGGGACGGGATGGGCCTGCGTGAGAATCAAGAGGGATGGTCATGCTGCTGATGGGAAGTTGGCTGGACAAATTATAGATGAAGAGAGTGAATGGTTACAGTACTGAGCGTGAAAGAGGAGAAGACTATGACGATAATTAACAGTATGAACTTTTACATCGAACCATCGTCCCACCCGACCCGAAAATGTCATAGAGAGAAACACCCATGCTGGTCCCATCAGAATTGATTCCGCTCCTCCGGTTCATGCCGCTTTCTCACTAATTTATCACTCGGAAGGATAGCATGATTGATATGTAGATGTAACGTGAGCAACGAGCTTGTCACACAGTCTGGGCGAGTGGTAGTATGCAAAAGGCACCGAAGGCACTAATAACAACACAAGAGCTATCAGCCAGCACAACTTGCATATGTATGGACAAACAAAACCAAATTCGTCTCCCTCTCTCAGCGCCGATTCCCATGCTCCGATCCCAAACACAGACGACCGAGATCTCTTACAAACGGTCGTAGTAGTTTTCGTAACTGTTATACATCAGCGACCATCATGACGAACGCGCATTGTCTTCAACTCACGGGGGCACCTCGGGCTTGAGACCTTTCCTGGTACGGATTGAAATGGCGAGGGCGTTGGTCTTCGTTTCTTTGATTGTCGCGTCACCAGACAGAGTCGCCCAGTGGTCAAACACGGCCTGAGGGAAAGCCTGACCTGAAGTAGCGGCACGTAGGTCCGCGTTGAACCCGAAAGACTCGGCGATGGGCAAGTACGCTGTTTGTCAGACCATGACCCGCTAAAGAGAGCCAGTCCCGACTCACCTTTCATCGTGCACAAAGGGGTACCGGGACGTTGCTCTGAAGCGAACACGTGTCCTCGTCTGACGTTCAGGACCGACTACTAGTCAGCCAGTCACCTCGGGTTGTCAAGACGTGAGGTACTCACATAAACACCACCCTGAGCCGACTCTGGACAAGCGATCTCGACCAAGAACATGGGTTCTTGCAGTGTTGGTGTGGCCAAGAGCTGAGCAGCGTAACACACCCTCCGGGCGGTTGGAATGATCTGACCACCCCCACGGTGAATGGCATCGGCGTGCAGGGTACAGTCGAGGATGTTGAATCTGACACCACGCATGGGCTCTTCGGCCACACCACCCTCCTTAGTCGCCCACTGGAACGCAGCAACCACCGAATCCTTGATTTCATTCATGTACTGGACACCTTTCGAGCCGTCGAGGAAAATGTTACCCCCAGTCGTCTCGGGTCCGAAACACCAAATACGACGAGCATCGGAGACGTCCCAGCCATACGTGTCGGCGAGGTAACGTGCACGGATCTTGGGGTCGTCACGAGGGGCGACCCTGCCTGCTTCAATGTCCTTGGTAAGCTCCTCGTCCAAAGGTTCAGCCTTGACGAACAGTCGGTTATGCTTGTTCTGCGATTTCGAAAGCGCGATCATTGACGATTCGGCAGTGACAGTCTCGCGGTAACCGACGACAGGGTCAGACCTCCTGATAGGAATACCGGCATGCTCGAACTCTAAATCGTTTAAGCAGATCTCGAGGTGAAGCTCGCCTGCACCGGCTACGATGATCTCACCGGTGTCTGACATCATTGTTTTGACACACGGGTCGGACTTGGAAAGACGTTTTAAGCCTTCGACAAGCTTGGGTAGATCGGCGGCGTTCTTGCACTCGACGGCGACTTGCACGACAGGTGACACGGAGAACTTCATGACCTTCATATTGTGAGCTGTCTCAGACGTAGTAATGGTGCCGCTCTTGAGCAAGAACTGGTCAACACCGACAAGTCCAACAATGTTACCGGCAGGGCAATCCTCGATGGCCTCGACACTTCGACCCATCATGAGCACGGTACGCTGAATCGATTTGATGACAGAGTCCTCTTTCTTGCCCGGGACGAAGTTGGGACCCTGGATACGGCATTTAGGGCCGGCCCTGACGGTACCAGAGAAGACACGTCCGAAAGCGTAGAAACGTCCCTTGTCGGAAGTCGGCACCATCTTCGAGACGTAGACCATGAGAGGTCCTTTCGAGTCACAGTCACGGATCGCGATGGCTGACTCATCGTCCATGGGACCCTCGTACAGCGTCTCCACTCTGTATTTCTGTGCGGTGACGGGTGATGGCAAATTGATTACGATCATTTCCAACAATGCATCGCCAGCGGGAAGGAACTTTTTCATGACTGCTTTGAGAAGAGGTTTGCCCTCAAGCTCGCGCTCGTCTTGGGCGAGCTTGATCTCCAGCTTCTCGAGTAAAGTCGGAATTTCATCCTTTTTGAAGTTCATGATGCAGTCAAAGATACGAAAAATGGGGTCGAGGACGAATTGATTGAAAGCACGATCGCCGCCAGCATCGGCAGTTTTCGTCCACTTCTTGGTCTTGGGATTGAAGTAGTTGTCGCCCCAGAATTTATCCATCAACTTGTTCTTGTCCACACCAAATTTCTTGGCATAACGACCGGCAAAGTTTCGCAGGGAGAAGGCCCATCCGTGAAGACCGGAACCGAAGGCGACAGTACCCTGCTCTGGGTAACATTGGACGTCGCCGAGGGCGGGATCGTTGTATGTCGAGACAATCACGTTTACTGATTCGATTGTACGGCAGAAGGATTGATAAAGGTCTTCTTTGGAGACCTGCAATTCGAGCAGAGCGCGGTCGACTTTGTTGATGATGAGGACAGGTTTGACACGCTCCGTCAATGATTGACGCAGCACGGTTTCGGTCTGCACGCACACACCCTCGACACAGTCGACAACGACAAGAGCACTGGTGGTGAGCATGGCTTTGTAACATTGGAGGCACTCACCCGTCAGTGACTCGAAGGGCGGCAGTGACCTCGGATGAGAAGTCGACGTGACCCGGAGAGTCGATCAAGTTGATCAAGAACTCGTTGCCTGCACTTTAGATGTCGAACAGAAGAGTGAAGACTTGCAACGCACCTTCAGTCTTTTGCTTGATGTCCGCAACATCGTCTTTGGGCAGCGGGAAATACATGGAGATGGCAGTTGACTTGATGGTGATACCGCGATCGATCTCATCTTGACTGCGACATAAGCTGGTGGTTTCAAGAGGGGTTGATTACCAAAAACCCACCGTGTGTCCGTGAACCGCATGTCTCCGGCCTTGGAACCAGCAATGATACCGGCTTTGGATACCAAAGAGTCGGTCAAAGTGGACTTTCCGTGATCGACGTGGGCGATGACGGACATGTTCCGGATGTTGGTCGGGTGGTCCATGAGGGCCCTGGGCGATTAGTGGGTGTCCGTTGATAGATGGAAACTGTACTCACCGGATCTCGTCGACGGTAAAACTGATCAGGTCAGCTCATGCTCGGTGTGACTGAGGACAAAGGGGATCCGTGCTTCGCAAACGTTATCGCTGGAGTGTTGCATTATGCTTCTCCGAGACGGCGTGGAATGTCCAGCATGGAGAAAGAGGGTCAGTTAGGACATGGAAATGAATCGCTAGGAGACTTTATCCCCTGACAAGGAGAAGAAAACTCACTTGACCTACGATTGATTAGCAATCTCGCCGCCGTTGATGAAAATACGCTTACCATTTTCTAGACCTGTTATCTAGCTTTTAGTTGAGATAAGTCAAAAGGTATGATTTTAAGGAGAGATTGAAACTCTACCAGAGGCTGGTGATGGAATGGGTAGAGAGGAAGATAGAGATTTTGGGGGGGAGAAAAGTAAGAAGTTCAGCCTCGGGTGTCGAAATCGCTCAGTGGAGTTGTGGAGGAACAAAAATGCTCATCGGGGATATGCGGCGATTTGGAGGCAATTGTAACGAGGCACTCCTCGCTACGTTGGGACGCTACTCCGGCGACTCTCCTCGGCGCGCGGCACGTGCAACATGCGGCGACTGAGCAGTTGGCTGAGACCTTTGTAGCTCGCTCTTCAGAGATGATCTCTTGACGATAAAGACCATTATGGCACAGCTAGGTCCAGAAAGACTGATAGAAGATCTCCTACCAGGATGATGGTGTAGACAAGAGGGTGTTCGGTTTTTCTCACGTGCTCGCTGAATTCGCTTAGTCGGTTAAAGCACGGGTCTCATACTCTTTATGTGTGACCGAGGATTCTTGGGCCATCCCGGGCCCCCGGTTCGATTCCGGGATTCGGCACGTTTTTGGAAAGACTTGATGTGTTCGATCTCGCCTCTGCGTAGTCCCCCTTCCGACCTTTGTCCTCTCGCCGCACTCGTTAACACTCCCGGGGTATTGTGAGCTTTTGACAGTCCCAATCTACTCTCGCAATGGTCGAGACAGTGACTTTGGGCCGCGCCAAGCGGTCTACTGCCGGTAATCTCATGAGGGCATTGCTCGACAAAGCCCACGAAGAAGATGATGCCCTCCTTGCCGAGTTGGACGATGACGAGGAATTCACTCCTCCCCAAGAGGCTCGGGATGTCTTTCTGGAAGATTTCGCGGATACTGACGAGGAAATCGAGATGGATGAAGAGGAGACTGAACGTCAATTACAGAGGGAAGAGCGGAGGAAGGTGAGTCTGTACTTTTCCACTTCCTGTCGCTTCACAAGTAGACAGGTCAAGTGGCTGATGGACAGGCGAAAGGGAAGAATAAAGCCTATAATCCTCTGGCCTCCAACGCAAAACCGAAACAGATCCGCTTTTCAGATCCAGATTCTGAAGATGTAGCAGACACTTCCTTTCCTAAATCCTCTGATGAAATGAAACAAGGGCTGGTGTTGAACAATGGGGAATCTGTGATAGATCCTTCCACTATGGCCCCATCTACTCTCGTCCTCGCTCTTCGGAAACAACGACGTGAAGAGAAACGTATGAATCGATCTGAAGCTCGTCGTTCAACTATGAGAGCATCAACATTACGTACTGAAAAGGAAATTCTTCAAAAGGAACAAGAAGATCAACAAAAGGTACATCGAAAAGGAAGGAAAGCTTTACATGAAGGTGGTGAAGTTAGAGGATTAAGACCTATGACACAATCGGAATTGATTACTGCTGCTTTAGAAGAAGAGGAAAGGAATAAAGAAGCTTTGAGAGATTGGTTAAAGCGGGAAGAAGAGAAAAGGGAGTTGAGACGTGTGGGAAGGAAACGAGTTAGAGGACCTAGATGGACTTGGGTCAGTAGGACGGTAGGGAAAATGGTACAAGTTGTTGGGGACGGTGAAATGAGACCTGTTCATGAGGATACTCCGATGGAGGATACCCAGGGCTCGATGAATGCGGGCCAAGTCATTGGAAATACCGAGGAGAAAATGGTTCGAGGAGAAAATGAAGCCGGTCCCTCTGAGATTCCCGGTGAAAATGGAGTAAGACATATGTTGGATGGAGGATCTGGTGAGGCAGAGATGGGATCACGGTATATGAGAAATTATATTATTCTTTCTCAAATACCTGGAGGATTACCAGCTGAGCTCAAGGTGATATTGGGAGATCATGTGGAATGGGATCAAGTTAAAATCATCCCTTCGCGTAATAGGCCTATCAGTGAGTTGCTTTTTGACTCATCTCCCTCATTTCCATTCCCTCTGGCATGGATTTTGCATTAAAAATATGTGAACAGTAAGTATTTCAAGCTGATGATAGATCGTCGACTTCCAATCTGCCCATTCACTGGTCAAACGGCAAAGTATAAACACCCATCTACCGGTATACCGTACGCCAACGTTTCTGCATATAAAGAAATTGAAGCTTTGTTAGCTCATCGTTATATTTGGGACACTGCTGCTGGATGTTGGATGGGAGGAGAAGAGGATGTATTTGCAGAAGGAGTGGAAGATGTGGAAGGTTGGAAAGAGGCCTTACATGGTGGATGGATAGCCGGACGAAAGTTACCAGAACGTACTGCAGTGGGAGAAGAAGTACCAGAGGAAAGGGGAGAAGTTCTGGGAGAAGGAATACATGAAAGTGGGCAAGTTGACAACGTGTCGAAAGGGAAGAAGAGGAGGGCGTCGACCATGGAAACTAGCGAGGTTTTGGCAGGGACGGAAAACGCCTCGAAGGTTACTGTCAAAAGAGCTAAGAGCAAGGGAAAGAAGTGATGCCAATATAGTTGCATGTTTGATACATCTCCAATGTTCTAACATGCCATTGTCCATACCATCTTGTAAGCAATGTGATCCCTATATGCATATAGCACAGCCCAAATACATCAAAGACCCCAGAAAAGATGGAATGTTGTCGTCAAGAGCAGCCCAAGACTCCTAGTACCTCATTCGCCTACCGAGGTCAGCCAACGTGTGCATATAATCACATGAAGAGACTCACCCATATTTATATCCTTGTCGTGACCAGGAAAGCACTCCATCACAACTTCAGTGCCTTCTCGAGCATTTTCTGAGTTTTCTCCTGTGTACTTTTTTGAAGTTCCCTCATTTCCTTCAACACGTCCTTGATCTGTTCATTTCTTTCCCTTTCCTTATCCCTCTCCGATTCGGTGGTGATCTTCTTCTTTATCCTCCAGGTTCCCTTGGCTATTCTCGTCTGCTCCATTTCTACAAGCTCTTCCTCCAGAGCTTTGATACGTTGTAGCTGCAATTCGGCTCGTCTCTTCTCCAACTGAGCCAACTGTTCGTCTAATTCTGCCTGACGTAGTTTGTTCTGTAAAGTTTCGACTGGGATCTCGGGTTTCATCTCCGGTACAGTCAAGACTTCAAGCTCTTGAGTAGTAATCGTAGAGTCACCTGTTACCTCACATTGCTCCTTGTTCGCATCTTGCTCTGTCTCCTGTTTCACATCTTCTTCTGGCTTAGCAGGTGAATCAAAGTCTTGTTCCATATTCGTGTCGAGTTCGATTTCCCGTGGCGATTCAATTATCGTGAAGCTGTCACAAATGTCGATCTCTGGTAGGAGATAAAATGACACTGACGGAGAACGTGGGAAAGTCTCTTTGATTGACTCTGTGTCCATAAGGACCGCTTGTTCCTCTCCGTCATCAAGTTCAGACGCAACCTCCAGTGTTACGTCCGATGATGATTCCATTTCGCTCTTCATGATGCCTTCCTCCCTCCTGACCCCAAACGTATCTGCACTCCCCGGACGTAAATCTCGACTGCTGCTTACGCGTCGAGGGATATCCGCACTTCCCAAAGGGCTAGGACTGTCGCTGGGCAATGGTGCTAACATGAACGGAGTAATTGGTGCGGATCGCACACAGGTAGGAGTTTCCTGCTCGGTCTTCTTTTTGGTAGATTCAGGAGTACGATTAATGGTCGATTCAGCTGCTAACGAGCTTCCTCTCGTGTTCAGGTCGATAGGGGCGAGTAACCTCGGCTTTATCGGTCTTGGTGTTCGTAGAGACATGGGTTTGTTCATCACTTTTGTTTCCGCAGACGGAGTGAATTGTTTTGGGACAGGCACGTTATCATACAGATCTTTCGAGATGAGATGCCAGTGTTGTATGGCCCAACCGAGAGCATGTCGGGAAGCCATCAAGGTAGGAGCAGTGTATTTCTCTTCGTCACTAATGAAACCTTCCTCGGGTGTAGGGCATGGGTTGAGAATAACTATGTTCCGATCGCGAGGAGCAAACAATGATGGACCATACGTGTAGCAAAGAGTCTCCAAGTCGACGAGATTTTCGGGTACTTCGAGAACTTCATTGAAAAAGGACAAGAAGTAGACGAGAAGAGAAAATTGTAAGGGTGGTAAAACCCTGAATATGAGTCTGGCTGCTGCCAATCGAGTTGGATCCACTTGATCTTCATCAATGGGCAACGTTTCCAGAAAATCATTGCGAACGGGGGGACCACAACAGTACTTGTTGAACGCACCAAATAGAGTCTCGTCTAGAATCGGTGTAGGGAGGGAGAAAATCCAATGTCGTAAGACTCCAACAAGGTCACCAGTCCCTTCTTGCTCGACAGCCCAGGTCTTGCCATAATCGGGTCCGGCGTTGTAGGTATTTATTATATCCCCCACAAATGCCCATGCACCGCCGAACAACAAATTTGGAGTAGCCAATCGCTTGTGTTGAAGCTCTTCGATGATTTTCACCACAACTACCGGCAGTTCGTATCTCTGATCACCAATCAGGACTAAAAGTCGGGCCGTGAGAGGAATTTGATGAAAGGTAACCGAGAAGGCAGGTGGACGAGACTTGTCAGGGACGGCTTTTGTTTTCTTCGACTTGACGAACCTGTCTTTTACTTCCAACGCCCGATTCCAAGCGCTCATGCCCGGATGTCCTGATTCCGACGATTTACCCGCTGTCTTCCTTGAGGACTTGCCCGGAGGCTTGTTTCTTCGCTCCGATGTCGGCTTGATGGCGACGGGAATCGCTGTTGGACGCAGAGTTGGGATCGGTGGTCCACGTCTTATTCGTGGTCCATATAGAGAACTCTTGGCGCCGGACGAGCTAGAAAGCAATGACACGCAGTGGTGTTTATCAGGTTCCGCTTGATTGAGAAGTCCACTTGCGTAAGTGATTTTTACTTTTGCCAAGAGCATTTCAATGTCGATTATGGCTTCCACAGCGGCAAAAGTGATGCCGAGTACTTGGGCCAATTGCCGAAGGGTCCGAACTCGAGCATGATTGTATGGGGGCACACCTATTTGAGAAGGTCCCTGCAGCTGTTGGTCCGGCCTAAGTAAGGGACCTCGGGATGTAGAGGAGGGAGCCGCGTGTGTTGAGATCGGCAAAGAGGGTAGGAGTTGTTGACGTTCTGAAGATGTTGATGAGTTGGACGGTCGAGATTGAGGAGAGCAAGATCCAAGGAGAGGGCGAGTGAACGGTGGAGAAGGCTTAGTGGGTGGTCGAGATGGCGGAATGACACGTCGAGTAGCGGACTTGCCCGGCCCAGTTTTGGGCGAAGGTGTTGCAGTCCCCGCCCGACGACGATCGTGCTGGGAAGAGGGAGAATGTTTCGCTGTCTGTTCCGAGCCTAAAATCGGAGTAGACACTTGCCTGTTCTTGAATGTGGGGATACCAGTAGGGCGTCCTAAGCCGTAGAGGTCTTCTGCAGGTTGTGTGAGGCCTCTGATCACAGTTGCTGGCAGTTTGCGACCCACGCTACGTATGCCAGCTTGCTCGTCGGAAGGTGAGAGGGGTTTGCTCCTGTTTCCTGTGGAGTGGCTGACATGCCCCGGCCTGGTGTGATTGGATGATCGACCACACACGTGAGAAGGGGGACCTGTGGGGGTATAAGGCGATTGAGACGACGAATCAAGAACAGAATTGTATTCATTCTTGCCCTCGTCTGTGTCCTGACAGGATTTGTGATTCGGCCCGGGCACCGGGCCCAGGCTCGGTGAAACACTGGGAGTGGGAAATGGAATAGTCACTGGAACGAGAGTCGAAGTGGGAGATGATCTCGTTTTTGGACTGGGATCATCAGAGTTGGAGGTACATGGACTTGGGGACATAACATCGATCGGGTCTCCGCGATAAACAAAGGGATTTGTCGCTCGGAAGATGGATGTAGGTGAGGTCGGACTTCGCGAATAGTGATCGTCTTGTGAAGACGGATGATTGGGTGACTGGCCTGTTGTTTGAGATTCGAGGTGGTCCTCCTGCGATTCTTGTAACATCTGGGATCTGTGAAGGATGGAAGGGGATTGGCTAGGTCGGATGATGGCCGGACGGACCGCAGTCGAAGACGGTGGTGTTTCAAAATGGATCGGTGATATGGGACGCGGTGAGCCTTGGGGCCGTGGGATACGCGATTCGAGGAGTCCACCCATGGTGCGCTGACGATGGCTTGTGGTGTGATCGAGCGGTTGAGTACGCCAAGTAACAAGTTCGCTGGCCTGAGTCAGTGATCAGTGGGAAAAGGGAGGACCGTGTCAATGCCGTCAAATAACGATGGACGGGTGGATCAACAACAAGCAATCAGCGTACATGACGACAAGATCGGTCACCCATGCCGAAAGCGGTGAATTATCAGAGAAACTCTACGCTACCGTCAGCTACCCAACAGGTAACAAACATACGGTTGAGGAGGAGGTGATGCATATATCCGACTTGTGGTTATGCATCTGCTTCTTCGCCAATGACAGCGAAGCTGAGGGGGGTGAACGGCTGCCCTTTAGTTCTACACAGCATAACCTAGCGAAAGAGGACTTACGTAGCCTCCGGCCATGTAGTGCTTGCCATTGGCTTCTACCCAATGCAGGCGCAGAGCGTGGAGAAATGCAGACAGTCCCTGTGGTAATCAGCTCACGCTCATGTATGGGAGCTCCAAACATAGCATGAGAAACAGAGTGCCTCGAGCAAACAGATGTCCACTCACCTCCATGGTGATGAGAATGGCAATAGTCATGAAGAACCACATTGCAAACATGCAGAAAACAAAGATGGTCGCCACCACACCAGAGCCTTCGTACAGGAAAGCACTTTCCAGTGTCATCTCGTAAAGCACTTCCGACAGTTGTGCGTGAGCCAGAGACAAAGCCCAGAGTCGAAGGTAGGAAGCGCTAATGGTCAGCGCCAAAAGAGACTTATTGCCATGAAAGACTCACGTATTGGAGATACATCCGAGGCAGAATTCGATGGTATGAATGACCTGGTGGACAATGATGTCACCCATGTCAAACGGCTAGGGCGGTCAGTCTGCTTTTCAGAAGGCGATCTAAGAAGACTGACATGATCTTCTTCCATAGGTTCAGCAACTGGCTGACCTGCGCCCTCCTCTTCTTCCTCCAGATCATCATTGCCATGACCATGCCCATTGCCGTGATCAACCCCACCAATACCTCTATATCCCTGTTCTTTGATCGCGTTGTGTTCTTTCCACAGTTTATACGGCTTCAGGGCCAGCATCCATGGGACGCACACGAGAGCCACGAGTAGCAAGACGGCCTGTACGAAACCTTGACCCGCATACAGCTGAGTGGAAGGTTCAATTGAGCCTGGTGACAGGAACATATAAATGAGCATGTTGAGTAGTCCGGGAGGCGGTGTGGAGGACTGCGACCAGTCGACCGACCATTTGTAGATGACACATACGACCAAGTAGCCGAAGATGGAGTGCATAAATAATATTTGCGGGATAAACTCGGCGTAAATGTTGAGGGGTTTGCGGAAGTGAATGTGGTTTGGAACTTGAAGGCAGATGGCAAAGGTCATCTGTATCGTGAGCATTTCTAAAGAGCAGCTCGTGTGGGGTATTGCACAGCACACGGGGACTTGAGGACTAGAGACCACTCACATGTATCACACCTAGTATGATTGACATCTTCATTTTGTACGAGTTTGTGAAGATGAGCGAGTTGTCGCTACCGTTCCACACAGGATCAAGTCCGAAAGGGTAGACGTGGCCGGTGGAAATGGCGCTGACTTGACCAGTAGAGTTTGTGGGCCACTCCCAGCCAGAAGAGAAGATGGAGAGAGATTTAGAGAATATGTCATTGTACATGAACCCGGTGAAGGTGGAAAAGGCCCCCATGAGAAGGATGATGTAACGACCGCTGCATCCATCAGCTGCGTGTACGATGGAATCAAGCACAGGCGGCTTACAAAAAGAAGGTCTCTAGGTTCTCGTCTATCTTTCCTTCTATCTGCCTCTCAAACAGCACCATCGCCAAGCCGCCCAAAAACATGATAAAACCATGACCAATGTCGCCGAACATCACGGCGAAGAGGAATGGGAATGTGATCACAGCAAACAAACCAGGGTTAACCTCTTGATACGTTGCGATACCGTACGCATCGATGATGGTTTGGAATCCAACAGTAAACTTGGTCGTCCTGTGAAACGTCGGGGGTGTCTGGTGGGTTCGCAGTTCACTAAGAATGGCTGGGACTGAGGTCCCTGCGGTCTCCATTGCTCTCCTCAGGCCTAATTGAACTATGGTCAAATCTCGGGTAGGGCACCAGCCTTCAGCAACGAGAGTCTTTCGGCCTTGGTCGTACGAAAGAAGATTGAGCGTCTTGTAGATCTCTTCCTCACGCCTGACAGCGTCCTTCCAGCTCTCCAATCCTTCTGCGATTTTCGATAATTCGACGCGACGAGTTTGGCCCATATTGTAAAGTACGGCTTCAACGTCTTCAAGTCGAGCAGCGACGTCACGAAGGGCATCTGCTCTTTTGTCTTGAGATGAGTCAATGGTGTAAAGTGCTCCACCCATAGACTCTGCCACTTTACGAATCTTGGCGAGTAACTCGGGTCCGTGGGCAAAGATGATAAAAACGTCTTTGTGGGTCTCCTTACCGGAAGTGGGATCGATGAAAGGCTCTTCAATCTCTGCATGGTCAGTCGTAGTGAGCGTTCTGAGCACCTCAGGACTGACCGGAGTAATTCATATACAGGTTGCCTCTCAAGACGCGCCATAGGATGCGCTCAAAAGTTGGCATTCGTGTCCGCTCGATTGTGCCCGAGACGAACTCCAAATCAAAGCTGGACAGGCCACCTTCGGGTGGCAAAGTGCCATACTCTGCAGCATGCTCGAGCAGGGGAGCGGTTCCATCGCCATCATCAAAACTCGTACGTATCTCGGTGTGTCGATGCTCGGCCTGGTCGTCAGCTGAGTCATTGACAACAGTTCACTACAGCTAACCTCATTGAAAAAGCCAGCAGTCTCACGCAAGACCCATCGTTTTTCTTCTAGTTCTGACTTGCGCTTTCCCAGCTCTTCCCAGCTCTTGTTCATGTCCACAAGCCGACGTTCATGTTCTCGTAGCTTGTCCTCGAGCTCGTCGAAAGCATTTTGAGCTCGTGGGCCGACAGTTGTGAATGGCGGAATAGCAGAAAGAGGAGGTATACCCAGAGGAGGGGCCAGGGACTTGATTTGGGATTGGAAGAGCCGTAGACGTCTTGAACTCTCGGCGAGACGACGCAAGCGTGGGGTGAAAGGACGCTGGAAAGCAGTGACGGTGGGGTTGAGCTGCGAGTCAGCCAAGTGTAGCAAGCAGGTCACTTGGATGAACCCACATCCTTGAATTGGAAGTTGCCCATCTCTGCGAGTTCCGAGATGGTGTCATGAGCTACTTCCGAGGGGATGTACAGCTGCACAAGCGACATCTCCTCAGAGCCTCGACCTGTCAGCTGCGTCTGGCGTGGTCGGTGATCACTCACGGAAAAGCGATGGATAATTTGACGACATGATGGGACACTCTGTCTCTCTGGACTGAGAGCAGAGTATGTCAGACACCTTGTGAGGTAAAGATACGGGTGGTCACTACTACTCGTCACGATAGAGTGAGTATGTATCGAGTACACCACCAGGAGAAGGGGACGAACCGGCGTTATAGTCGGCGTTAGGAGACAGCTGGAATGTGGCAACATCTTCCCTCCTTCCTTGCTCCCTTCCTTCCCTCCTTCCCGTTTAGGCTCGCTTGCTCTTGCGTAAATGGTCATGGTTTGTATAGAATTGTAATGTCTTGCCACATATAGCATCATCAACCTTCATCGTTCGACCTATAATCTCTTGTTTCTCCTCCCCCTTCCTCATCTTGAAACGCTCAGTCATTCTCTACCCGGACCCGAGAACGCCTTACCTCCATGCCGTCTATAGTTTTCACCCTCAGGGTCACGCTTTACACCCTTCTCCTCCTCTTTGTCTCCTTCCTCGCCATCTTCATAGCCATCATCTCCACTCTTATTGGCAAGCGTCTCAGTGTCAACTACTATGTAGCAAGAACGTTTTGGCATATCACTGGACCCCTCATGGGGTGGAAATTCGAGGTGCAGGGAGAAGAGCATCTGTGGAACGTGGACATTGGTGACCAGGCCGGTTCAGCCAGCAAGGGTGGTAGAAGTGCTGTCATGGTCGGTAACCATCAAAGGTCGGTCTATTGTATCCGTTCATCTCTCACGCTCATTTATGACTGACGGTTAGCTTCGTGGACATTCTATATCTCGGACGAATATTTCCACCTCACGCAGCAATCATGGCCAAATCATCCATCAGATGGCTACCAGGCTTGGGGCAATGGATGATGATGTCTGGTACTGTCTTTATCAATCGGTCGAATAACAAAAGTGCTATCGCCAGTATGACCCAGGCCGGGGAGGACATGAAGAGAAAGCGGGTGAGTAGAATCTCACATGTCCTTCTCGCTCTTTCAGCTGAGCTTTGGCGAAACGTATTTTTATCCAGTAACTTTGCACCGTGTGGGACCATAGCTAATCCAAAGATATCACTGTGGATCTTCCCTGAAGGAACTCGACATCTATCCCCCACGCCGGATCTTCTGTCGTTCAAGAAAGGCGCATTTTACCTAGCCGTTCAATGTGAGCTATTTTTACGGAGACGCATGACTCTTAAGCTGACTTATAGCTGGCACCCCGATCGTTCCCGTCGTATGTCAATCCTATCATCATCTTTATGACGCCAAAACCCGTTTCAAGTCAGGGACGTTGCAGATCAGAGGTCAGTCTTTGCTTGTTGAATGAGGTGTTCTTCTACCTTTTCCGTCCAGGCTCACATATCACTGTCTGTCGGAAGAGTCTTATGGAATCAGTACCCAGATTGGTTGTCATTCAATTATTGACTATCAGTCCTTCCTCCCATATCAACCACCGGGATGACAGCGACCGATGTTCCAGCTCTCATCGACCAAACCCGTAATGCGATGCTTCAGACATTACAAGAGATGGCCACAGGTCTCAGTCATACACCGTCCGACGCTTCACCGACACCTTTATTGACAGAACGAATACATTCAGCCGGCGAGACAAGAGAGTACGGTTCAACAGAAGGACTTCGATCATCATCCCAACCAGCGCTGTCAATGTCCGGTAAGGTGGTCGACTCTGGAGGAGAGAGCAAAAGTGTAGAAAACAAATTATCCATAGCGTAGGCCTAATTGCCTTATAATGCATTTTTATGCTCATTCCGTAGGATGATATCCGATTTCTTCCATCCAGTTGTCGGTGGTGTGGAAGGACATATCTATTCACTCGGTGTCGAATTGATGCGTCGCGGACATCGAGTTATTGTCATCACACATCATCATCCTCCCCGAGTGGGAATACGATATCTATCACCTGGATTGAAAGTGTATCATCTACCATTCGTACCTATTGCTTCATCTGCCACATTACCCAACTTCCTACTCTTTCTTCCATATCTTCGGGACATACTCATTCGTGAGAAAATCGATCTCGTTCATGGTCATGGTAGCTTGAGTTCCTTGGCACATGAGGCGATGTTACATTCCCCATTATTGGGAGTTAGGACGGTTTTCACAGATCACAGTTTATTCGGATTTGGAGATGCTGTGGGTGTATTGACCAACAAATTGTTAGCGGGAGCTTTGAGGAATGTGGATGGGGTTATATGCGTGAGTAACACAGGGTGAGTTTTTTTTTCTTAATTCCCGACAACTTCGAACAGTTACGTCGATACTCCTCATGCTTCTTCATCATGAAATGTAAGCATGGAGTTTCTACCTAATGTTGAAGGGGAAGGGCTGCGGGAGATTTGACCGTGAGCTGATGAGCAGTCGGGAAAATACAGTTCTACGTGCTCAACTCGACCCTTCACTTGTCTCAGTAATCCCTAACGCTTTGGTGGCAGAGAGATTCCGGCCAGCGCCAGAGCCTCCAGATTCAACATACAGTGAGTTCAATCGTGATAGTCAGACACCGGAATTTACTCCGAATTGACCAGACAGTCACAATCGTCGTCATCTCACGCTTGGTGTATCGAAAGGGTATAGACTTATTAGTCGCTGCTGCTCCTACCATATGCGCTTTATTTCCCGAAGTTCGTTTTCTCGTCGGTGAGTTGAGAATGTTTCTTGAATGTCCTCCCTAGCTTGACCTATCGATGAGATATCACCAGATTCTGGAAATCGCTCACTCGACACGCTCCATTGTGATGGGCACAGGAACGTCGCAGGGAGAATTGTGGGGGGAGAGGGGGAGGTATGAGTCATGCTGACGAATTACAGGAGGAGACGGACCTAAAATGCTTGAATTACTTCAAATGCGAGAAAATCATCTTCTTCAAGATCGAATAACCCTCCTCGGTTCTATACCTCCTTCTCAAGTCCGAGATATCCTTATCAAAGGACAAATTTATCTCAATACCTCCCTAACGGAAGCTTTCGGGATTAGTATCATCGAAGCTGCTTCTGCTGGATTATTCGTGGTCAGTACGAGAGTCGGAGGGGTTCCTGAGATCTTACCGGGTGATATGATAGAATTTGCTCATGCGGATGAGGATGGTGAGTTTCTCCTTACACAACCCCCCCCCTCTTTTTGTCCCCTCTTCTTTTCCGTCATCGACTTCGTCATGATTGACTTCAGGACATGGAGAGATCATTGAGACTGACGTGAAGACGTTGTGAGAGCACTTACGAAAGCTATCGAAGTTGTCAAAACGGGTAATCATGATCCAAAGAAAGCACATGAGAGAGTTCGGGATATGTATTCTTGGGCTGATGTGGCGGAGAGGACAGAGGTGGTTTATAAACGAGCCATGTTAAGTCCGCCGAAGGATACAGGGGAAAGGTTGGCAAGGTGAGTGGAAGCAATCCTCCAGAATGTCCTCAGCCACTCCTGGTCGAGTTTGTGCGGGAATAAGCGGTCGAGGTGCAGTGAGAATTGTTGACGTGGATAGGTTGTTATCCCTCGGACCATTATTTGGACCTATAATGTGTATCATCATCGCCGTTGAACATATTTTCTTTGACGCACTCAAGATATGGCATCCAGAAGACGAAATTGATCTCGTCAAACCATGGAACACGAAAGAAACAACTTCAACACTTACAGTTGGATGAATTTCGTCATTCGTGAATCTCATGCATCTCATCATAAGTCTCAAACCACCAATGGTTCCTCTTCACCTGTACTTAACATGTTTCCAGACGGATTCTTTGAGGATCCATCAAGATCAAGTCCGCCTGTAAAGCCTGATATGTACTGCTGAAGCCAATTACTACGTAATTCTTGCCTCATGTGATATTCTTCGGTCAAAGATGCACCAATGATCTGCCATATCGCTTCCAACATTACGGACTCTGCGGAATCAGGTACCTCGACCTTTAGGTACGAGACATTAGATGCGAGCTTTTTCAGATCTCTCACCAACGTAACGACGGTCTTGACAATTCGAGAAAACTCTTGACACAATTGTCTACAAACCTCCGTTGCGTCAATCCGTGCTTGCTTTTCATCATTAAGAACCGCTTGATATAACTCGGAGCCGAAGGGTTGAGAACGGATCCGTTCAACTTCTTTCTCAAGACTTTCCGAGGTAGTCTGAACAATAGTCCCTTTTCTCGGTTGCGATTCCGCCGCTGCTTTGGCCTGTATTTCTGCTGCGACGTCCTTCATGTGAAGACCTTCTGTCAATCAGCAAAAGCAACAAATTTCCAAAGAAATATTCACCCTGCTTTCTTTCATTCACGTCTGCGTCAAGATCGTGCAATTGTGCCGTCGTCGGTTCTGTGGGCGTATTCCAATCTCCTCCATCCCACAGTGTCAATTCTTTTGTGACAGATAGACGCCATCTCGTCAGGTCATCCAGGAGGAACGTATTCAACGCAGCTGACAACACATCATAAGTAACACGACTTGAGTAGTCATCATATGCAATAGAGTCCATTTTAGTTTCAGATATTATACCAAAAACGAGTTTGCGAATTTCAAAGATTGGATCTTGTTTTTCTCCTCTTCTCGTTCCTCTTGGTCCGTCTCTGGAAGAGGAGGTTCATCCTCATCATTCCCGTCTATTTCCGGGTCTAGCCCATCGACCAAGACTTGGATTCTAGATCCGACACGTTCAGTGATTGCCCCTGGATATCTGAAACTATCCCTCACCGCCTTGCCCAAAATTTTTTCAACCAACCCGTGGACTTCTGTAACGAACTCGTGGTCCTCTTCGTTAAACTCTAACGAAGAGGGACTGTATCAACATCCCACTCGGATCAGATGTGTCCATGATTGCGGTATAGACTAACTGTGACAGTAAGTTGATAAGATAATACTCAAATAGGTGATGTTGAAGTAAGAGTGAAAGTAAGGAGGGAGAAGTCTAAAAGTCTCTCTTGCACCTCTGAGTTAGATGCTGGTGAGCTCTCCTTTGATCAGATTCAAGCTCCACCTTCAGCAAATTGCTCATCAAGTTTTGCAAGCCTATCAGAGGCGATGATATTATCCACTTAGTGACAGCTTACGACATTGGAACATCCGTAACCGCATTCCGGACGAACCGTAAGTAAGTAAACTTGTATAATTTTGATGTAGAGTCAATGACACGATTAGACATGACGGTATCATTAAAGTCAACCTTGATCTTTCGAATCAAAGAGACACTTGAGTGATAACAAATGAGTGAATTTGAACATGAGTGATGAGCGGTTAACATCGACAATAACTCATTCGGATTCCACTGATTTCTCCACCTAACTGATGGTCCGTCTCTTCCATAATGCAAACTCACCCTTCATCTGTAAACACCCCCAAATACTCGGCAACTTTGTCAGAAAACGTCCCATCACCCTTATTTTCCCCCCAAACGTTTCTCGCTGCCCGATCCCATTCTTCTTCCAATAACGTCCGTCTCTTCCCATCGAATATCTCCCACTGTGACTCTTTATGAGATTTGAGCGATTCCCATTGAGTTTTGATCGTCTTCAGTGAACTTGTTGTTTTATAATTGTTCTTGAAGGACCGCATTTCTTCTCGGAGATACTCTATTTGTTCTTCAAACCTCTGAGCCATGGAGACGGCTTCTTGAATGCAGTAGATAAGAATAAGGGATCTGTCAACACAGCTGCAATGTAGGAAGTCCGTCCTCCTTCACTGAGAGCTTCAATGAATTTTTGAGGCCAGAAATACGGGTTGCCTGGTATTAGCACACTTTCAAATGAGCATGTGAGACAATCAATACACAGGGTAAAATATGAGAAGCGTGTAATACCATCTGAAATTAATGTGCTCACCCATAGCATCGACATATTCTTCCTTAGCTGCCTCGAGATCTCTCGTCAGGATCTTATCAATCTTGCATTGGGAGTTCTCTTGACACTGCGGGAGATGATCTCTCAATGTTTTTTCAATTTCTTCGATTTTAAACTTGAAATGGAGACGGAGCACAGTTTCCATCATCGAGTTCGGGTCTCTCGATCGTGAACAGAAGGAGGACGGATCTTGAGGGTTTGTAAGGGTATCTGCCAACCAACTCGAAGTGTTTCCCGACATTTTGCAAGTATGTCTGAGGCTGGATGGATATATTGACAGATCAGTAGGAAGTTACCAGATATATATGTACCCACCTCGACCGGAGATCATAAGCGAAGTCTCTCTTTCTTTTTCCGTCTCCGACACGCTTAGAGGCCTACGAACCTATCTGAATCCGCTCGATCAGACTCGTTTCGGCGTGGTTCGAAAAATCCCTTTGACCGACCCAAGTTTCGGATTCACTGTCAGTAATTGTCATTTACCGTCCTCACCATCACTTTTTGATCCCCGCCTAGTACATTGAGTAGATTACACGTGATACGTACGACAGATCCTCCACCCCTCACTACCCTCAGATAACGCTCATTCCGAGATTATATCGGCCAACGCGTCCAAAGCCTTCTTTGACTCTCCTCTTTCCCAACTTTCAATGATGCGCGCCCGCACCTTTTGTACGTTCTCCCTCAACCTGGTTCCCTCTTCACCGCGTTTTCTCACCCACACCTCATCCATCTCTTTCCGCATCAGAGTAGCACTATTCACTTTGACACCGTTACTGAAGGTTTTGCCGTCATGACCAGTGGAGAATTGGTATAATTGGATACAACATCCAAGTGAAGTCACTGAAATCAGCATGGTCCCCATGCATGCAATGACAAAAACACTCACTGAGCATGGTGTTGACGGGATGTTGACTGAATTGTGGAACGGCGATCATTGGCTTGCCAGCGATCAAGCTTTCATACATGCCGGATGGACCCATATGTGTCTGGTGATGAGTAAAATCTAAAGAATGTGACTGGATGACTCACAACAAAGGTGCTGACAGCTGAATGCTTGAGAACCTCTCTCTGATTCACCCAACTAGAGATCTCGGCTTTATCGCTGGCTTGGACCTTTGCCAGTGTTTCGGGAGTGAGTTCAGCGTCGGTGGCGGCGAGAGCAAAGAGGAATGGGATTCCAGCATCGAGTAGCGAGTTGACAAGATTATCGATAAGCTCAGGTCGACGGAATGGCCATCCGACCTGACCCAGACTGAATGTGAGCTCAGGAAGGCGATTCGCGATAGAACTCACCTGATGTACACTACGCTATTTTCGCCATAATGGGCGAGACATTCGTCGAGAAATTTCTTCACTCGTCCATCGTCAGTCGGATATCTAGGATTGTTGACCAGCTCAGGTATGTCTTCTTTGCCCGATACCTCGGTGGGGTCGTATCCTATCGTATATACCGGATGACCAAGCAGTCCGCTCAAAGTAGCAGCGGCCTTGGGCTCGAGTTCGGGAACGCCGTTGATGATCATTCCATCGCAGTGCTTGAAGGCGGGCGAGAAGAAATAGGGCATTTTCAGGGCAGGTACAATGGAGTCAAATTGCCATGAACCGACTTGAGGATGAAATTCCCACTGAGGTCGGGCAGGTATGTCGAGGGGATCAATGATTCTGTCATACGAGGCAATCTCTTCGACCGCCTGCTGGTCAGTCAAAAGTCTCGAAGCATCTGATCATATGGGGTGATCAGATATTGACACGAAAATGGACGATATCGGCGCCTACCTCGTCTAGTTGTTTGCCTTCAGCGACGGCCGCATCGACTCGAGCATTAGATTCAAGAACGCTTCTTGTCAGCAGGAGAATGACAATGAGCACTTACAGTTTGAGACCCATGTTGGTGATTGACAAAGATATCAATAGCTTGACCTGCTCCTTCCTACCAAGCTCAGTGGCGACCTTCTGCACAACTCCCATGCATTGCGGTCCACGGAAGAGCTCCGAGTCAGCGACTGTTTGTGGAGTCTAGTCTGAAATTACTCACATCCATAATGACGACCTTTGGCTTGATGCCGAAACCTTTTTCAGAATCATCACCAGCCATGACGGGTTTGAGATAAGCTTCAAAGTGCGTCTTTAGCTCCTCCCCAATCTTGTCCTGATCCTCCCCCAAGTCGGGTCCATTTGGATCCACAACGGAGAGCACGCGGAAACGTTGTTTGCATTTGACGACGAGATCAGGACGGGTGGACAACTCCTGAGCGATGCGATTGGCGCCTCGTCGATCAGGGAGGAAGGTGCAGTGGAGGGCTGGATTGGCGAGAAGGAGAGAGAAGGCGGCGGACATGGTGGGTCGGAGATGACCCCTGGGTGTGAGTAAGGATACCCGTCACTGGTACTTGTGACGGAATACAGAGCGGGGAAGAAACTCACCATCCTGCCAGAGGGACAACAACAAAGTGACCGTTGCGGAGCATCTCTCAATTGCTGGTGAGAGGATGGTAGTGATAGAGAGGAGATATAGTGAATCCAAGGGGGGCGAAAAAGGGCGAGCAGGAAAAGCCTTGTAAAGGCGAGGTTGTTGTTACTTGGGTAATTTGAGTACTCGCCCTCGTGTGTGTCCAAGTTGCGAGGTCATGGCGTGTGATGAATCAGCGGGTAGCGGCCAGCGGCCAGCGGGTAGCGGCTTAGCTAGAGGCATGTTAAAGGGACACGCCATCATGCGACCATGCGATGGCCGAGAACATAGGTGAACGAGGTTCACCAAATAGCGTACAGAGGGTGGCAGAAGTAATGGGACACCTCGGCGTTGATTGATGTTCTACCTCATACAAAAAAAAGGTCGTTTGGCTGGTCCGATCCCCAAGGGTGTCCCATTACTTTTGCCACCCTCTGTACATACAGAGACCGGTCGGCCGGTTGGCAGGAGAGTGAGTGATCCAAAGCAGCGATCGAGATCACGTGCTCAACCCTCGGACCCATTTTCAGTAGAAAACAGCATTGACATGTGGCATGTGGCATGTGGAGACAAGGCAAGATAAGTTTGTGTTTCATACGTCAGGAAAGACTGGCCAGTTGGTTTGATCAATTGTGTTCCGTAAGAGGAACACGACCCGGGGGTTAGAATTTAGGATGCTATCGTCCAGAAATAGGTGTTGTGACAGTGTAACTCGATAAGTGATGAATGTAAGGATTATAAGTCTAAGAGTTACTTACGTACATGAAGCGGGTGGAAAGAGTCTCAAAGCATGGATCAGTCATGGTTCATGACCTTTGACGGTACATTGTGAAGAGATGAAAGTAGTAATCTTAGAACGGGCATCAAAGAAACTATCACCATACGGAACAATCATGCATCCACCTAACACATCCGTCATGATCCAACTACCAAATAAATCACCTAACTATGAGAATCCAACCTCGAAGCCTAAGGGAAAGGAACTTTCCGGTTGCTCTCTACGTATGTAGTGATATAAAATATGAGCACTAGCTCCTCTTTGCGCCTCCACCAACCCGGGAAACATGAGTAGACTGTGGACCAGGCTCTGACAGAGTGTCCGCCCAGAAGCGGGACAGGTCGGCAGACACGTTATCCAGGTTTGCAATTGTGATTGAGTAGGTACACCATGCTCACCTAGCCTTGCCCTGCCATGCCCCGTCCGACTAGGAACCAGGGCATTACTTGCCATGGCGCCGCCATTCGACCATCCTGTCGCTTGCCAAGGGGCTACAGATTGGTGCCCATCCAGGCTTAAAGCCATAGCTCCTCTCAGGGTTGGGATATTGGCTATCTCAAATAGCGCTGGTAGAGTGATGGCAACCGTAGAGGACTGAGAGGGGAGAAACTTGCTATCCTCGCCTTTGGAGGGGATCGAATTAGTATCTTGGGGGTCAATTGGTTGAGACATGTTGTATCAGTGATATCTTGTGACCTCCTACATCTTGCTTGCCTTATATCCTCCTCCAATTCAAACGCTCCAACCCAATGGGGCAACCGTCAAAGGAGAAACTCCCTTCTTCTCCACCCAAGTGGAGCATAATCAGCCGAGAAAAAGTTCTTTCAAATGCCATGAATATCGGTTCTCACGGAATCCATTGATAGTATCAACATCGTGAGATAAAACGCGGTTTGTCTTTTTCCCTTGCTTTGGGCCTTGAGGTTGTCCCAGCAGGCAAGAGGAGTTGAATGCGTCATGATGGGCTCGTTTCGACCGGAGAACATAGGCTAAAGTGGAGATGACGTCGAGATGGTGGAGCTGATATTGATGACGATGTTAAGAGTGGGTTTGTTGTGGTGAATTTCGTCTGGATGATGTCAGAGTCAAGTACGAGATGACGTCGAGAGGGTGGAGCAGAGGATGATGAGGTGTTTGGGGGAACATCTTGAGAGGATTATGTTATGCGTCATGTATCTTGGAGTCGAATGTTCGGTTCTGTTGTGATCTTAGCCGGGTCGGGTGATCATCGTGTTTGGTCAACAGGAAGGAAAGGAAAAGGAAGAAAGCATTGCATGGAGATGACGAGGGAGCATGGAGTGTCGTACGATGTGTGATATGGTGTGATAGTTCGGGATATGGCGCGAGGATGATGAAGAGGATGCACGTCGAGAAGTGGGGATGATCGACAAATCGTGATGTGGGAGATCGGCGTACATATTGGTCATTGTGAGAGGAATGTATGATGAGTGAGGAAGGGTCCGCAAAAGATTGATGAAGATGATGTTCTTTGAAGCCGACAGGTTAGAGGGATGGAACCGCTACCCTCCCAAACACTTCTTCGGTCCATTCGAGCAACTCGCAATCCCTATCATCTGACTGACGTCCATCCGACACTTGCGTTTCGATACAAGCGAGGTTGAGTGGGTTGTCCATGACTAGTACCGGGTGATCTTAGCATCAGCATCGCTTGGAAGAAGTGAGACTTCCCTCCCCTCAAACTCGCCCTTACGCGAAGGCTTGTATCGTGCGCTGCAACAGGTGGAGCGGGATGAACAAGAAGCCTGGAGGCAGAGGATAAGACTCACGCCATACACCAGCACTATAAGACAGTCCCGTATCAGGAGGCATGATGAACGCACTCAGAGTTTTGGGATCTGGTCTGTCGTCTTTTCCGTTCAGTGCGACGATAACAAGGAAAGAGCCTCCAGAAGGCAGAGCTTCTTCGCCCATTCCTTCCCACTGAGATATCAGTAAAGGCCTCTCACTTGATCGATACCCTCATATCCGATCCCCTCCAGTGGGTTTTCAAGGCGTATCCCCAACAGGTGAGGAAAGGTCACCAAACGTATAAGCAACTGAAGAGGAGTCAAAGAAAACGGCACGAGTGAGAGCCGCAAAAAGTGAAGGAAACAGACGGAAGAATAAGAGAGAGAGGGGGGGATGACTCACACCCGCCTTACCCATCGGTATGAACACTTGACTGTTATACGGATGTCTCTCCATCAACCTCACATCAAAGATTTTCCCTCTCACCAACCCGACTTTCGGTGTCGAACGCGAGACTGAAATCGCCATCTTTGCTCCAGCCTCCAAAGGGTAGTTGCTGACTACCGGTACAACTCCACCCCCGGAAACGTCAGGGTTAAGATGTATGACATGACCGAATCTTGCGAAATTGGTCGATGTCATCCTTTCGGGATGCAAGAGGGCCGTCTTATCGTCGTCTTTCGGGACAGGAGCGGGTCCAGAAGATGACGGAGTTGAGGAAGTGATCGTCGATGGGGAGGCCGAGTACGGAGGAATTTGGACAGTGAATGAATCCACCACGACCGACTGTGTGGTCATACCCAGCTATGCGTCAGCTGATACGGTGAACACGAGGTGAGAATCGGCTGACGGATGTGACTGAGGCGAAGGGACATATCTACAGGTCAGCTACATGTGGTGCAAGACTCGCGGCTTACATCGTTGACAGTGATCAATGGTAGATCTGCCAATCAGCTGAGTCCACCAGCACCCGGAGGAGTACTCACACCAAGTGCCAGGACTAAACGCTACGCCCTGAGCTGCAGTAGCTAGGAACGCTCGCAAGCTCCTCATATCAGGTGTACCATCCGTTTTGCTATTAGCCACAACTACCACCTGTGCGCTATCCCTTAAATCATCAGAGCCCATAGGGATGAAAGCGGTAGTAGATCCACATCTACTCATTAGCCCTGATCCTCCGTGTCCTTCGATTACTCACTTTTCAAGATGGGTGACATTCACAGCTGCTCCCTTCTCTGCGGCAGAGACAAATAAGCTGGAAACGGCTCTCACCGTCACACCCTTCTTGACCTCCTCTTCGGAAAAAATAGCCATACGATGACATTTCGACGCTGTTCCTTGATTTCCAATGGTCACATTGATTCCCTTAGGTGCCGATGTGGGAAGAGAGAATCCTTGCAATACGGCACCGTATGGTTTGAACGCTTCCACAGTCAACGGAAGAGCCGGAACGTTGAGTTTAGGTGAAAGCAGAGGAGGCGGGGAAGGGGCGATGGGATATCCATATGCTCGTAGACGCTTGAGACCGCCATCAGGGTAGGTGGATAGTCTTACGTGAGAGAATACGGCGTTCGAGGGAATGGAACGTTCGAGGTCAAAGAAATGTTGTCTATGTGGTCCTAGTGGTTGTCGACGGACGAGGGTGGTCCATGAGGTGTTTATGGGTAGTATTTTTCCCTCGACGAGACAAGCTTCGATCATACATTCCTGAGAATCAGCACTACCCCTTTGCCTCTGTTTCCCCGTCTCATAACTGCCACGAAAGACATTGTTCAGACTCGGAGGAGTGACTTTGACAACATGAGAATACCGCAGGTAAAGAGGATAGGGAGTAGGACAGAGAGGAATAGAGACTTCGAACGAGTGAAGAAAGGAAATGTCGGAAGAGAAAGAGACAAGGAGAGAAGAGGGACATTATTTCACCTTTGGGTAATTCCCAGGATGAAAAGCCGTGTCGACTTCAAACCACCTGATCACTCCCGTGGCGGCCATTTGTAAAATCACCCATTCTTTTCTCTCCTGACCATACAAAGCTCCACCGGATCCGTACTTTCCTCTATTCACTTGGCTCCTTCTCGTTTCCCATCCATCAGACATGTCATGTCCTCTACCTGGAAGAATGAGATTTTGAGGCGGACTAAATTTGGCATCTGAACAGGAGATGATCCTCCCTGATACCAAAGCTGAAAGCAGATCGATGGGCGGGGTATCGAGGGGCGGTATGGAAGAGTAGAGAGCGGGAGGGATAGGTCGACCGTAAGCTCTAAACCTAGCCTTTTGGGTCAGCATAATTGCTATCATAACTGCTATCAAGAAGCTTGCCCGAATCCTTGGAACAGGTTAAACGTGCCTACATGAGAAGAAAAGTGGTATTCTGGGAGATGCCCAAGTAGACTTGGAATGAACTAAGAAAAGTAAGATTATAATCATGACGAAAAGTAATTACAAGACAGTTTGAGTGGGGAAAAACAAGGAAAACGTACCATTCCCCCATCAGGTATCATATGAACTTTCAAAACATTCCATCCTTCCTCCTCACCTTCTTTCCCCAATTGGAAGATATGTCTTCTATCCGGACCCAATTCAGTAGGTGTCAGCAGCTCCCTCCATCTTTTATCCTCATCACTCAGTCTTTCAGTCGATCCTTCATGTCTCAAAGCGTAAACAGCAGCAAAAGGAGCTTCATTCCCATTGAAATGACTTGTATCTATATCCACATAGTGAAGGTGGGATGAAGTAGGAAGGCGTATGATGACCCAATCGTAAGCAGGATTATGTCTACGGGATTCCCATCCGTCGTAAAGAGCACCGTTGGGTCCGAATTGGCCTTTGAGAGAGACCGAGGGCTATGAGGTTAGTTCGTGTTACGGAATGACAAGGAAAAACTGACAGAGGGTTTGATGAGGTTATCACAGGGAGCGAAGAAGTCATCGGAGCAGGCGATGATACGGCTTCCTAGGATAGAGCTGGAGATTTCTGTCACGTCAGTGGGACTGTCTTCATCTCTGTGGAAGGGTGTTGGCAGACCTTGAAGTGGAATGGAGAAGGGAGATTTGATTTAAGAACTTACCTGTGTAGCTAAATTTGATAGTTGAGTCGAATACTTCTACAGGAATACTGGTCGCCATGATGATACGCCGGTCAGCTCTACTCTTGTGATCTGTGAGTATGTACTATAGCTGAGAAGCGAATATGTAAAATGACAAGTAAGAGATGCAGAGAAGGAGAAGCAACACATAGTCAGTACGAGTACTGAAACGAGAAGGCCGGCGGTAGATCCGATCGAGCCGGGCTTATCCTTATCTCTGATCGCGTAATCTTTGAAATGCCCGTCGCATCTTGCCATCTCTCCTTTCATGGCCCATTACAGTGCATTTGCATAGACGACCCCGCTTCTCTCCTAACACGAATCAGACGAAGAAAAATCTATCATATAATAGTCGCCCATATCCTGCCCCATACATTGGTAGGTTGTGGTTCGTCGTACGAATCCGCTTCGATCACATCTAATCCAGTGATGAAATCTAACTCTGCCGCCCTCCTCCATCTAGTTCGATACACCAATTTGTACCCTACCCACAATATGGGAAAGAGCCATACTGGTAAATAGTCAGTCACAAACTGATCTTATCAGCATTGGCATTTTGTAAGAATAGATGGGCATACCTCTCGGGAATCCCATTTGTTTCTCAGGAAAAGACTAAACCCTTGGAAGCTGCATATCAGCCGAGGGATCGAGAAAGACTGACGGATAACTTACAAAAGGATGATACTGATAAGTATCACGGCGTACCAAGCTGCTCCCGCTCCATTGTTAAGAACCGATCTATACGGAAGAGTTGACCTGGAGATATTTTGAACTTTGAGACCTTTGTTGAAATTGATATAAGTCAAACATATCCCCCACCAGGTGATCAATCCCGCCGACGAAGTCAGGTTTGATAGATATTTGAACGCTTGTCCGGCCGAGGTGGAAAGTGACATATAAGCTAGACCACCGAATGCTGCACAAAAGAGAACTGAAATGAGAGGTGTACCCCTTCTTGTGGTTCTAGTGAATATCCTAGGTGCTTCCCCTACCATTGCGAGGGAGTATAGAGCTCGAGAAGAAGTGAAGAGATCGCTGGAAGCTGCCGACCAAGCGGAAGTGAGAAGTGCGGCGTTAATGATCGATGGTAAGGCTGGGATACCGGCGTTTCGTATAGCGATAACAAATGGACTGGCTAATGCTGTTCCTGAATTCAGATGGAGACCTTCGTTATCGGATGGGACTAGAAGACCAATGATGAATGTTCCGCCAAGGTAGAAGATCTGACCCTCAGTATTTGACTGCTCTTAGAGAAGGGGTGACTTACCAAGATCCGGATGTAGACTTTCTTGATAGCCTTCGGGATATTACGACGAGGGTTTTTAGCTTCTCCAGCGGCTATGGCAACGATTTCCGTTCCGATATAAGAGAAAGCAGCTTGAGTGAGGACAGCCCAAAATCCCAAGAAACGTCCTTTCGCACCCCCTATACCATCGTACTGTACGAACGGACCGGGATGTCGCCAATACTGAAACCCTATACTTCTATGGTCTGGTCCGCCACCGGAAGTTATGATGATTCCAAGGATGATAAGACCGGTGATGGTGATGACTTTGATCGATGCGAACCAGAATTCACACTCGCCGTAGACACCAGTGCCGAGGAGGTTGATAGCGAGGACGACAAGTAGACAGATAGTGATCCATAGTGCGTTGGAGATGGTCTTCTGCCAGAGATTGATGAGGACCGCAGCGGCGGATATTTCAGTGGGCATGATCACCACCCAGTTGAACCACTGATAGTGAGTGAGAATCACTCAACAATCATGAACGTGTCAGAAGAGGAGAGATGAAATGTGTACAGCACGAGGAAGAGAAAATGCATGTTGGAAACTCACGTAATTCCATCCTAAGGCGAAAGCCAAAGAATCATCAAAATATCTAGACGAGAGTTTCACAGGACCTCCAGGGAGGGGGAGGTAGGAGACCATTTCGCCAAGTGAAATCATGGTGCAATAACAAATAGAACCCATGAGGGCGTATCCGAGGAAAAGGCCTAGCGGTCCACCATTCGCCAACGCATTGCCGGTTCCAAGGAACAGACCAGTTCCTCTGGTTTATCAGCTCGGTAACTTCCATCTTTTTAACACCGAGAGGGAGAGGAGAAGGTGATGTAAAGCGCGATCAAACGCAACAGATCAAGCAGAAGAAGTTTTTCAGATGAGGATAGCCAACAGAAAAAATCTCGATGCTATCGAACGATCAACTCACATGACACCTCCAATACTGATCATAGCGATATGTCTTGCCTTCAATTGACGTTTCAAATCCGTCCTCTCTTCCACACCTTCTCCAAAAGCTCCATGACCACCTGTGCCATTTCTCGGTGGAGGGATCGGTTTCTCCCCATCTGTCTGACTGACTTGATGTACGCTACTTGGGATGGAATCGGATTTACTCTCCATATTCTCCTTCTGTGAAGTCATAGCTATATCTTCAAAAGGAGTACTCATCGTACGAGTGGCCAATCGAAAGATTGGAATTTGATCTGTCCAGAGGATAAGGAACAGAGTTAAGCGGGGGAGTTGATATAGGGTTGAGATGTTGAAACGTTCGGTTAGGTAGATCACGCGGGTCGAGCACTGCATTGTCAAGAAATGGTTAGTACGTAAACTTGTATCTATTGTCATTTCCAATAGTGGGATTCGGGCGTCGTCAGAGATGAGAGTCAGAGTGTTTTGTCGATGATCAGGGGATCAGGGGTGAAGGGCGGTTGAGAGTTTGACAGAGTGATGGGACCGAAGATGAAGCGTTGAGTGGATCCCTTTGGGCTAGTTTTTTAGACGAGGGCACATGGGAGAATCATTCGGTTAGTGCTCATAGCCTATCTGTGAGAACTGAGCTAGCTGAGTTTGGTGAGAAGGAATGTATTGTAAGAAGGAAGTGATATGATTCTTGATGTATTGTGTCAGTTGTGGAAAGAGGGAGTGACGGAAAGTGTTTGGTCATAGATAACGAGTTGCGTTATTGCGTAGCCGGCGGTTGCGACTTGTCGCCCGGTAAGTTTACTGTACTTGTATGGTGGCAATGTGGCGGATGTCTTGCTGGTCAACTCAACATGATCATCAATAAGGTCTACACGTACACCGAAGCCTGAAGTGGCCGAACTGGATACAACTCAGACAGCCGACACGCTAATGGAGATTGCTTCCGGTCACAGGCACCCAGACTATGAGACAGTAAGTACATAGTAAGTGAGTCAAAGACCGATTTGCATTCCACGCACTCCACGGCGATCGCGATCGTACGGCGAAACGTTTTTCAACATGTGATGCAGGTTGCATCAACTACTACTCTAGAATCTACACATCATCTACACATATCAAAGTCCGTTGCTTGTTCTCTCCTTGGATTGATTCGACAAGGGGACGTTGGACAGAGTCCTCAGGCCAATACGCCGATGGCAGCAGCGAGGAACATCAACGCGCCTCCTGGGGTCACCAACTGACCCGCTGCTCCGGACGCAGACGCGGAAGGACTGGAAGACTAATCATCAATACTGACTCCTCATTTCGACCACATTGACTTACAGCAGGAGTAGAGCTAGTAGCTGAGGTAGAAGTGGTGGTGCCTGAGCTGGTACCGGAAGTGGAGGCGGTACTGGATGGTGCGGATGATGAAGGGGATACGCTACTGGTTCTATCAGCCATGATCTCATCATATCACTTGTATCCATCCTTCACAATGAAGAGATCTCGCGGAAGATATAAGAGAAGTATGAAATGTACTCACCTGGTACCCTGGGTCACATTGAAATAATCACTTTGAGCCAGAATACCACCGTTAGGAGAAACGATGTTAACCCTATAATTACCACCGACCGCTAAGTCAGAAGGGGGGGTGTAAGTGTATTGCCCAGACGACGAATCGACGTTAGACGTAATGTTGATCGGTGTATTGGGATCTTGAGGGGTGATGAGTTGAATATCAAAAGTCGTAGGATCGGTAGCGACCGTCTAGACATCAGTGCGAGGATCCATAAGGAGAATGTGAAACAGCCAAGGAAGGGAACTTACCGACCATGTAATTTCTTCAGAACCGGAAGTCTCCCATCCTGATGTATTGGTAGGAGCGGTGATAAGGACGGCTGCGGCCGATGAGATCAATGCTGCGAGGGAAAGGACAGTGGTGAAAAGCATCTTGGTGATCTTGTGAGTAGACTTGGAATGGTTAGTGGAAGAAAGATGAGATGTTGTTTATGTATTTTCTAGTCGGAGATGTCCCGAGGGTCGTCAAGCGGGGCGGTGTTGCGGGCTCAAAGGGATCACTGCCATTGTGACCAGTGCGTTAATGCCATGGTGCTACGTGCATCATACAAGGACGCCGTTCTTTCACTGCATAGCTAAACGCTCTCTGATTGTGATTGTCTCTTTGCCCACTCCTCAGATCTATACCTTCGACAAGAAGAGGTATGCTATAATTGTCGAGCTCAGGATGGGGATGCCGATACTTACTATGCAAAGGGGGCAAGAAAAATCAAGCGCGTGGCATGGTCAGTTTTCTGAGAAAACTCCGCATCGCCGAGAAAACCAGCCCCAAAGGAAGGGGATTATAGAAAACTGATGGAAAAACCCCGCCTCGCGATTTGTTGTTCCATCCCGTCTTCTTTCATCCCCAGTCTACCATTTAGTCACTCATCTATAAAAATTCTCAGTCTTCATTGCCAGTGTGGAACAGGTGTATCAGCAAAGATGATACGATTAATAAGCCTGATCGGATGGTTGGTGTTTGCCACTTCTCTCGTTTCTGGTGAGTGGCCCATATGTCCTTTCTTCCCGTTCTCGCCCACCCCTTCCTTCCTTATCCATCTTCCTCTTGGTTCATGGACCTGACGAATGTGAGAGTCACTTCACTCTGTTAGCTATCCAAATAAAATAGGAAGAAGGCATCTAAAGGTTTATGATCTAACAAGTGATTACCAAGTCGTAAACAAACGCCTCGTAGGAGGTAGCATGGTAGCACTGCTTGTGAAACATTAAGCAACTCTCATCTGACCTCAGCTCAATTATCCACCATCTATTGGCCAGTGAATTACCCCAATGCGAACTCTCCATGGGTCGTCGGTCAAAAAAACTTTTTATCATGGATAACCGGTGGTGGAGTCGGGATAGAATCTTTTGACATTCAATTACATCATTGGAATCAGACCATCCTCAACGGTTTTTACCCAATCGCTTTGCGTGTACCGATGGAAAGGTTATCAACGGGTAGAAAGAATTTTGGTGGAGAGTTGGAAGTCGATTTGGATTCTAGTATTCCCGTCGCGTGAGTTTATCACCGAGCGATGAGTTTGGTCATTCTTCCTTCCTCAATCTGTCGTCCGTGGTGGAGGTTTGAGTTGAGCTAATTGGATATGTGTAGTACTGGAGAGTTGGCTGACTGGAAAGAGTGAGATGTGAGGGGAGGGTTCTGGATAAGAAAACGGCTGACTCGCAGGGATGGTTACATATTGGTGTTCATGAACACCTTACATGGTTCCGTGTACGCCAAGGTCAGTACACAATCTTGTCAGCATTCGAAATATGTTGACAGATTAGTCGCAAAAATTCTCCATACTTGCTTCTGCACCATCCAACTACACTTCAGCCGGTGAGTCTTCGATGGCTTTGCAGTGTTATCTTCAATCAGATTTATTTGTCCCCTGTTGGCTGCCTTATTACCCACTTCATTCTCCCCTTCTTTCCCCTCTCCAATATGTCCGCACATCCCATCTATAACAAGTTGTCATTCATCATAAATGACGAGGAGGACGAGAGTCTCGGAGAGATCGATCAGGAGGACAAGAGACCATGACAACGCGTGGCGCTGACCTACAGACCTTCCAACAGCTACCGCAACCGCTACCCTCACAGGTGTTCCCAACCCGACGCAACAATGGGCCCTCACGTTGAACGGTATCGACCCCGATGCCACTGCGTCAGCTGCCACTATGATTGCTGGAAATGCAGGTTCTGGTCATTGATCCTTTTTTCATATGCCACATCTCACCCGATCGACATATCCGGCGTACGACTTCGACACCTTGATCAAGAGTGACTTGGTGGATGAGAAAGGTATGGACAATGATGCACGAGCGATATATTGTATTTGTCTACATCATGCATGATTTTCTTCTCGACGTTGTACTGTTCACGACTCCATTACACTCTAGGACAGTGATCCAATGAGTAGAAGTGTAGTGAAATAACGGGCAGAGTAACTTAGTTGGAGTCGCGTGGCGCGTGAACTTTGTTTCAACCCGGAAACCTTAAGTCAATGGGTCATTTATGGCCTCGACATCTTTCAATCTTCTCACTACATCTTTTCGACCTCTCACCCTCTCTTTCGTATCCCTTTGTATCAAGTCTCTGAGAGACAGACGCTGGTCGCCTTTTCGAACGGTGCTGGCACCGCCATCTTTCCTTGAACACATTCACATTCGTCTTTTTTCCATCTATCGAATCGTCTGATTTTGCCCTCCCCCAATACAGTCAAAAGAAATGATCTGGAAATTGACATTGGCAATGGTGTGCTGTTTGATACAGATGGGACAAGCACTACCAATGACCGATATGGGAATAACAGTTGTTGAGTGAGTTTCATCATTGTCCATCCACTTCCGTATCATATCCGGCCAAATCCTTCCTTCTACCTCTTCCCTTGTACTCCACAGTACGTTCTGTATCTTACATGCACTCTATGATTCCTTCTTTGTCTTGATTGCCAGTAACCCAGATGACATGTCAAATGGTCAAGAAGTGAGGAAACGTCTAAGCTTGCTTGATTTCATTCGTAAGCTGACCATGTAGTCGTCCGCTGGATTTTGCCAAACTACCTTCCGACCTTACATCCTCTTCTCAATTAGTCCTACATCCCTCATCTTCCAATGATCCCAAATCCCCCTATTCTTCGTCAGACGACTCAAACTTAGAAGAATCGACCAAGGCCAAGGTTGAGGACGCCGGTATGTTCTTCGAAGCTCTCTCTGCTTATCTTTCTTCGTTGGAAGATGAGAAACAGCTTGAGGATAGTCTACAAGATCATGATGATGAAGTACGTGTCGATGATCTCCGAGATCATGATGGAAAGTCACAAGGAAATCAGGGTGGGAAGAAATCGGAGGACATGGGCGGTATGGACAACCCAGAAGGGGAAGATATGGAGGATGGGGTCGAAGGGTGGTATTCCTCAGATGGGAGTTGGGATTTAGAGCAATCGCTCGACGCATGGAGAGAAGAATATGATCTCGCGCTAGACGCTGAGAGGCAAGTGGAGAGAGTAAGAATGATGTTGAGGATGTATGAGTCTAGAGAGGGTAAGATGAGATGGATGGTGGGAGTGAAATAGATCGAGCTGAGGGATATACTCTTCATAGGTGGTTCGTGCACATGCACCATGTCTTTTCATACAGGGAATCTAACCACTGTCCACCTCTCCATGTCTTTTTGACATACCTAGCAGTCCGCGGTCCGGAGTGCCGGAGTGAAGTATGCAGCATAGCAGCCTGCAGCCTGCAGCCTTCATGCCCATTTCCAAAGCAGTCGCATGATCGCATGATTTCATGGTCATATCTTGGAAGGAGAGAACCGTGCTCCATGTGAGTTCCGAGGTCCAAGGTCCGAAAGGCAGTGTCGGACATCGGACATCGGAAGATCGGACAAATTGAGCGGCCGAGCGGGAATGTGGGATTGCGGGTATTCAACTTAGTTACTCCGTCCTCGATCACCCCCCTTCACCAACTCAACCTTCCCGTCATGTCACCCTGTTTTTTATTCTCATACGTCACCGCCCATACAAAACATCTGTAAAAGGGTATTACGGCGTCGGACTCGAGAGTAATGACTGGAAAAAAGATAAAAAGATGTGATTGTCTCCTCGTATCGCGTTTGGACCACCTGGATCTTCCATTAGTACGAGGTTCAAGGCGTAAAGTGCAAGGTGCAACTTCCAAAGGTCAGCGATCAGCAGAGGTTTAAAGGTATCTTGAAACGCAAGGTTCTCCAAAGCTTTAAAGGTTGTAAGATTGGTCAAGAAGTTGTGCATAGCCCCGCTCCTTGGCTCAAAATATCCCAACTTTTCCACCTTTCTCTCCTCGATCCTCGACTTCTCTCTCATTTGTATTATATTCCCAGTGGACGAGAATGTCACGTATAATCATTTTATTCCTCACTCTTCTTCTCAGTCTCTCTTCCACCCTCGGTGCACCTTATGGTGGAACACGACATAGACC